TGGTGTGACTGGTGCGACGTCTTAGTCCTAAAACACGCCTATTGTCCTTGAACTGAAAAATCACACTGCAACACTGCAGAATGACGAGGTATCAGAGAGAGATAGCTACAGTTCGGGACTAATACGTCACGGCACCACCATCATATTTGGCTGTTTGAAATATGCTGATTTCAAAACGATATAGATTCGATTCCCTTCAACTTCAACTCATAATATTGATTGTACATCAAACGTAAATCATGATTCATCGATTTGAAAGAGGTTTGCACGGATTTCTTCTCTCAGTGGACTTCCCCATTACTAAGCCCTCTATATCATAGTGAGAGTGGGGAATATGATTCCTGCAGCCTCCCACTCTGGACCGATAAGCCAGCTTTGAAGAAGAAGAATAAGAGGAGACATTATAAACGTAGTAGGTAGTGCAACAGATCGCGCGTAATGAGATGTAGGTGTCACGGAAACTAATGAGTGCCCAAGTGAGTGATACGATAATTAATTATTGTTATTTTTCTTTCGCTTCGTTGGACAGGTGTATCATCTTGTTCTGTTTACTCTTATCTCATTGTCGATCTCTCGCTGAATCATATTATTTGAATAATTGTACTCGCAACCTGACACGAACTAAACTGCTCAACACATGAAACGTAAAATCGCATTTTTTCTATCAAATTTGAATTATCATAACTTTCGATGTCTTTAACCAAATTTCAATTAATTTTCAGATTCTGAAAGCTCGTTTCATTCATCGTTCGAATCACATCACTCCCACCTTTAATTGAATTCAACATTGAAGTGAACATGAAAAGTATGAAAATTCACGAGATTGCAAGATCAGCAATAGATTCTGTAGCAACATGACATGACCTCTCCTACACGCTTTGGTCGCCAGAAAACTTATCAATCGGTTTCCATACTTCGAAATTTTCTTGCTCGTAAAAACAATGTTTTTTTATCACTTGATGTCATAATTGTTGTTTGAGGACCACCCTGTATATAAGAATAGGTTGATCATGCATCATTTCGAGATTTTTGACCACCGTTCGAAACAGATTGAGGATCACAAAGCCGATAGAAATTAGTGCATCAAATTATGCATTATCTTAATAAAACATTCATATTTTAGTAACGCGTGTGACAATTACAAAAATTGTTCTACAGTATCGAGAAAAGATATGAAGCAATTTGTTTTTGACCCCAAAAAATAATAGAAAAGTTTTTCTCTCAAACGGGAGGTGTTTGAAATTTCCTGTAGAATGTCATCCGGAATGGATATCCATAGGTTCAATGAAACAAGCTTTCAGGAACTGAAAAATAATTGGAATTTGATTGAAAAAATGCGATTTTACGTTTCATGTGTTGAGCATTTTAAATATTATTCACTGCGTGAAGTGGTACTCTTGTTACGAGTATGAGTAAGAAAACACTGCGCATGTTTTACATACAATATTTTTTCTACAACTGTCGACCTTAATGAATTCATGATGTGAATGGTTCGCAATTTCACTGGAACTCCATACGAAGTCAGCCGCCTTGATTTGTTCGCTTGTTGCCTTGCTGAATCCCGTAAAGGAGCCCATAGACTGCGTTGTTGGTGGGCTGTTTTGTTCTCGTCGAACAAGTATGTTCGAACAAAAACTACGTAAAACCGAAGGGTGTGGTGTGTTGCTGACAAAAACGACCATTTTGCAGCCATACATTTCGGTTCTGCGTCATTTTTGTTCGAACAGATTTGTTCGTCGAACAAAACGGCCTACCAATAATGCAGTGTATGGTACCCTCATGCAAGCATTCATTCCATCGCCTAGCAGCGTGAAAAAAAGTGTACTTCCGTGAAATAATGGAACCGTATTTTGATATTGAAAAATTCTACACTTTAGGCACACAAACCATATTAAAAAATTGCAGTTTGTTTGACAGCTGTTGGAAACATATTTTTCAACTACTATAACACAAGATTTTTCTTGTTTTACTGTGTTCGATACATCAATTTCAAGCAATGACAGCTCTGTCTATTAGATGAGCATTGCTTGACAGGAAATTAGATGGCTACAAGCCGAAGGAATCTATAATGCCGCTGTTATCTGTTAAAGCCGTAGAAAAATTTTAGTGTATAAATTGCACGGAATGCTAAATCAAACAACAACAATATACTATTTTATAATCCTTAGCAACAATAGTAACGAAATAGATGTATGTAGATGATTATTTCGCGCATGAAATGAAAACATACTGCTCTGTTGGAAATGAAATATAGATAACCTTAGTTTTCTATTTCATATTATCAGATATCAGATACCTACCTATCTAGTTGTGTTCTCATAACTTTCTTCCAATATGAAAATCTAATGCTCAAACCAAATTATTGTTTTAGTATGTTTCAGTAGTTAATTCTAATAGATGACATTATATAATCATCCATCAATTAGTGCGTCATTGGTAATAAAGCAGTAATTTAATGAAATTAATGATAAAAACTGATACATGATTCAAACCATCCATACATTTATATACACACACTATACAACTCATACTAAACATGCATTTGTATGAACTAATTGAACTATATTCATGTTCATAACTATACAAGGTGATCCACGGTAGATGGCCTATTAGAAGTATCTGAAGAACGAAAAGACAGAACATTCTGAAAATTGGGATGCTTCGATAATTGAACATTCTCTATCCGTCTAAAATATTTTCATCGATACAGTGTGTTGCCACTTCTATCAGAAACAACTAACAACTTTCACCGGAAACGACCCCAACTTTTGATTTTTCAATAGGACTCCTTGTATTGTATTCCGTAATCGGTTATGGATTATCATGACGAATTCAACGATGCCGGGTTTGATGTAGGGTTATTTCAAATAATTACAAAGATATTTGCGTTCGAAAATTCCATATGCTAAATGGGTGTGACTTCGCAATATGAAAACTGCTTTCTCTGTCACACTCATTGAGCATATGGAAACTCAGAACGCGAATATCTGCGTTATAATCGTTTGAAATAACTCTATCAAACCTGGTATCGATGAATTCGTTATGACAATCCCTAACCGATTATGGAATACAAGTCAAGGTGTCCTATTAAAAATCAAAAGTTGGTGTCGTTTCTAGTAAAATCGGAAGTGATCAAACCAATTTTCAAAACCCTATCTCGAATAATTCAAAACTTACAGTACTAACCGTTTTTTGTGGACTCCTCTGTATAGATATTTTGACAGAGGTAGATTGCTTTAAAAGAAAACTGTAGTAGTGAAAAGTCATATCAGCAAACATTTGTCTGAGGGTGGATAAATGTGGCTGCTTTCAGAGAAGCCAGTCTAGTATGAAATGGTCATTTATCTGAACGCCTACTTGTTATTGCTTAATTTTATTGTGGCAAAAACAGCAACAATTGTCGGTGTTTTCTGAAGAAACAGAATTAATTCCTAAATGAAAAGGCGGCATACATCAACTTGCAAATTACCCTATTTGATATATAATAAAGCTCATTATAGAAAATTGTCTTTATTATGCAGTTGTTGTTATGCAGCCGCAGGTGTCACTGTTTGTTATTCTACTTGTGATTTATTCCGAGTGTAAAATAATCTTGACAAAGCACATTGAATGTTTATGTGGAAATTAGGATAAGAAAATGCGATAATCACCAACAACGTGAGAGTGAAAATATATGAGATGCTGTACATTGAAGTTGTCATGGGAACGTCTTGTTTGACCCAATTTTCGATTCGCCCAATTTTCGATTCACCCAATTTTCGATTCAGCCACCGTCTCCGAACATACCCGAAAGATGCGTTGTTGTCAAATAATGACACATTTCCTCGGATTGAATGAACCGGAAATGATGCATCAACAATCATTTCACATTCGAATATGTCGTTGCTCCAACATTTCGTTCCACCCAATTTTCGATTCGCCCAATTTTCGATTCGCCCAACTTTCGATTCGTCCAATTTTCGATTCGCCTAATTTTCGAATCGCCCAACTTTCGATTCACCCAATTTTCGATTGTTGAAAAATGTATATACATTCTAGGATGAGGGTTCATTTGAACGAGTCAAGGTAGATTATTTAAACAAAGAGGTCTCATTTTTTGTTCTTCCAAGTGATTATCCGAAACATATACTTTTTAGGCTTTTTAGGAAGGTTCATTTAGGCATAGTGAGATTGTTTAAAAAAAAGACTCTTATGTTCTCTTAAGTAATTAAGTATGCGAAAAATATACTTTCTAGGAAGAACGTTCATTTAAGCCGAGTTAGGTAGGTAAGGTTAGGTAAGGTAAGTTAGGTTAGGTAGTTTGAAAAAGGTTGTCTCCTTCCTTATTCAGAAAAGAATATTTTCCTCCTTCGTATTACGTCGAAATTCGGGTCGATCGAAATTTGGGTCAATCAAAATTACGGTCAATCGAATTTGGGGCGAATCGAAAATTGGGCGATTCAAAAATTGGGTGAATCGAAAATTGGGCGATTCAAAAATTGGGTGAATCGAAAATTGGGCGAATCAAAAATTGGGCGAATCGAAATTTGGGGGAATCGAGAATTGACTGAATCGAAAGTTGGGGGAATCGAGAATTGACTGAATCGATAATTGCGTGAATCGAAAATTGGGTAAATCGAAAATTGGGGGAATCGAAAATTGGGTTAATCTAGAATCGGACAAATCGATTATTGGGTGAATTTAAAATTGGACAAATTGAAATATGTACCATACATACATATTATGTGGTATCAAAAAATTTTAATATTGAGTTATGGTAAGCCCAGAATGATTCTTCATTCAGATTGGGCAACAACGCATCGTTCGGGTATATTCGGAGATGGTGGGCGAATCGAAAATTGCACGAATCGAAAATTGGGACAGCCGAAAATTGGGTGAATTGAAAATTGGGCCAAATGCCACCTACCCGTCATAATCATCAACTTCAACTATTCCCACATGTTATGTTCTCGAAATGAATGTTTGGTATACATGGTGATTTTTTTTCAACTTTTTTGCAGACGACGTGAATCATACCTTTGGACCATTAGACGGCAGTATCTACGCCACTATTGCCAAAAAACCCGAACTATCCCCGGGTGCTGTTTCTAGTCCATTGACAGTGTCGATGGACAGTGGCATCTCTTCAGCGGGTAAGTTTATTCCACGTTTTATAGAAAAAAATAATTGAATGCACTTCGAGGTTACAGATATCGAAAATAGTTGGTTTCATTGTGTTAGTGTTACACTCATATTCATTTATAGTTTACGGAGTTACCAAATCAGACGAATCCAAACAAGGAGATGTCTTTGTTATGAAGTATAAAGACAGTCGATTGATTGTATTTCTTAGGAGACCTTGTTTCAGAATATATCACAAAGGTATATATGCGTAAGATAATTTTTCCCAAAGATCATTCGGAATTCCTAGCTTCACTTTATTTATTCATCCTTATGTATTATACAAGGTCATATGCAAGGTCTGCATCTTCAGATGACTGCAAAAATCGAGAACAAGTTTTTTTGGTGCTCGTCCATTTTTGGAAGTGACACGGTCAAATACAAATTATACCTATGTTGGTAACTCGATCGTATATTATGGTAGACTGACTGTAAAGTGAGTATAGGTGCCTATATTTTATTGTGGTTTCGCATTTTTATAGTTTCGGTTGAAATCGTGACTTCTTGCTGAGTAGATGATGCTTCTTCAAGCCTCTGAATATTTTTCCTTAATATTTAACATACAGGGTGTTACAAATTCGTGGCTAAGCGTGGGGATCTCGGTATCCTTAAGAGATACAGAGTAGGTTGAATTAGGGCGAAGTTGGAAGTTGGAATTCCGATATTTCTCCTTCGGGCGGTCATCATCAACTTAATTTTTTAAATACGGACCTGGATTTTTCATTTCAGTTTTTGATAGTTTTCGATTACCTTGATATGATGGTGTATCAAAACATTACTTGAAATGTTTACTTCAATGAACATTTTTTTTATAAAAGGTATGGAGATACTCGTCTTCGTCTAACACAGCGTTTATGTCATCAATTCGTCTTTGTCCTCCTACATAATTGAATTGCTCTTATTCTAAATGCATCATTAGTCATACGATAACTAAGCAATTGTTCATTATTTAATAAAATAATATCAACGAATCATGAAAACACAATTTAATCAACATGCGAAAAACACCGATTATCAAGTTTTCCTTTATAGTAAATGCTCAGAAATCTTTCTGTTTGCGTTTGCATTCCTTCAGTTTTCCTAAAACTCTCTCAAAGACCTTTCAACAGATCATACCTTCGTAAAGATCGAAAAGCGGATATAATTTGCTGCCGCAGCTCTTCTATGGGGGCAAAGGAGCCGTTTTTGTAAAATGTGCTTTTTATGGCGCCCGAGAGAAAACATCAAGTGGTGGTTTTAGGAGAAGCAAATTAATGCATAAACGCAAACGTACATATTTTTTTAGCATTTACTATGAAAGAAAACTGAATGTTCGGATTTTTTTTTCATATTGGATATTATTTGTTTGATTAACTTGTGTTTCCATCATTCATAAATATTATTTCATTCGATAATAAGAAATTCTTCAATTTTTATTTTTGGTTTGATATAACTAATGATACATTTCTTTTATTTTGAATGAGAGCAATTCAATTATGTAGGAAGTACTAATTCGCACTGAATAATGGGTTAAATGAAGACAAATTAATATAAAAAAAGATGAGTATCTCTATACCTTTTCCAAACAATTTTTCCACTGAAGTTAACATTTTATGAATTGTTTATCAAGGATATCGAAACCTAACGAAAAATGAAATGAAAAATTCAGGTCTGTGTTTAAAATATTCAACTGATGATGGCCCCTCGAAGCAGAAACGTCGGATTTTCAATTCCAATCCCATTTCGTAAAGGAGGAAAAGTGGCAATGATGAAGTGTCATTCAATTCGAAATATCTCTTCAAATAAACAGACAAATGAATTGAAATTGAAAATTTTTCCAATTTTGAAGCAGCATTTTGTTGAGCATGGAATGATGCAACTTTTCGCTAATTCAACCTACTCTGTATCTCTCAAGGTCACCGGGGTACCCTTACTTAGCCACGAATTTGTATCACCCTGTATACAGTAAATTAATATTCATAACGGTAGGTGATCATTTTGCTGGGTTGCTCTACTGTTGAATATCAGTATCACCAAATGAAATAATGGTGACTTTGGTTGATAATAATTTTGTAGTGTAATATTAGGAAATATTTTCTGATGATCTAGAACAAGTTTCATCTCATTGGTAGTGGATAGATGAGTTCATCTAGTATATACCGTGTAAAGCTCCTATCGTACATTTGATCACGAATTGTGATGTATAAATTTTTTTGGCATTGCTGCAAATCAATTAGCTGTCAATAATAAAATCGTGTTGTCGGGAAAAATCAATTATTCCGGGTTTTCCGGCACCCACCGAGGCTACCAATTTATAGCAGCAGTATTTCTGGTTCGTGACCTCAAATATAGAACGAATTTATTGACGACTGCTTGATTCACCAGTTGCAAACATAAAAACTCGAATTGGATCACCAATAATCATACATAATTACCTATTCTCATAGTTTGCTATTAATGATTCAATTTAGTGAACCCACGCTGTGTTTCACGCAAAGCAATCACTTTATTATCGAAAGTAAATCTCAGAGTCCGTATGTACATCTAATAGAAGTTGATGATATCACGATGAATCAATGCGATTTGACGATTAATAACGATGATGATGAACCGCTAAATAGGCCACCGCAGAATGCCAAACTCGAAACGAAAATATAATAACAGTGACATTCGATATTATCATTGAACGATGATGAATCGCTACACGAAAAAAAAAATTCGTGCTCGAATTATTTTTGTTGGACTGAGCCAATTTTTTGTTGAATCGAACAGATACGTTATCATCATTTCAAAGTAGCAGTTTGTTCAAATCAAGAATGTCGTTTGATTGAGTTAACAGTATAATATCAATTCCATCAACAGAATATATGGTTATATTATAAACCTCGAAAGATGTCGAACAGCACTTTATCAAAACTCCTTCATCCATAGAACGGCTAGGCTCTGGAATTCATTGCCTGAGGATGTATTCCCAACAACATATAATCTCCAGAAGTTCAAAAAAAATTCCAATACCTACCTCCTGTCCCTATCCTCCCTAGGAACGCACGATGTTCTTTGAACATTATAGGGATTTCCTTTCGTAAGCTCCAAGCGATAAAAAAATTATGTCGATCCAAAAATTATGTCGTTGTTCATTCAAGGATATACATCTTCGAGAGTTGATGAAATAATGATAATTCTAGTGGCGTAGCCAGGGGGGGAACTATAATATGCTTCATTTGTGCGATCCCTAGTTCTTTCCCTAATATTTACGTCTTACTGTAAGTTTTTCCGTTCTTCCAGTGACTACAGATATAGCGGAACGAAGCTTCTCAACATCAATATATAATTCTCTGCTATTTCATTAGAATTCTGTTTCATTTTATTGTCTTCTTCAATTTGTTATTTGTTTTTACTTGGAATGAGCCTAGATTTGCTCATTTATGGATCTTTTTAAATTTTTCCTTACAAATCACTTAGAATCAGGTATGCCCCGTTCCCCTAAAATATATTTCTATGTAAAAATTTCACAAACGATAAGATTTCCACACAATTCTTAAACACACAACATGTTTCGCTAACACAGTAGCTTCGTCAGGTGATTTACCTGGTACAATGATCTATACCAACATTGGCTTGCTTAACTTTTATATATCCTACTTTCCCAACTTGTAGGATCAGTTACCTGTGTACAGTTTCGATAAACCTTCATTTTCGGAAATTAGGCACAATATCTACATCAAAACACGGTGTACCGGATTAACTGGAAAGGGTTGATAGCAAATTAATATTATTACCTACTTAGAAAACAAATTCAACAGTGGTGAACTATTGAGCTCTAATTGATAAAAGTTAAGCAAGCCAAGGTTGGCTTAGTTCATTGTATTTGGAATAAACATATATTTTGTTGATTTCACAAGCAAAATTGCGTTCAAATTAACAAAATAAAAGACTAAAATAATTCTGTTGGTAAAACAAAACTTTTTTCTCCGTGTATACACATATACAGGCCACCAGCAGAACGCCAATACCACCGCCTCCGCCAGTCCACCGCCCACATCGTCATCGGCCCAGCCGTCCCCACTCACTCCCGAGGACCACCATCGCCAACTCGACGAGCTCCTCTCCGACATGATGCTCACCGTCCAGAGCATTCCCGACCTCAAGCCGAGCCACAACGACTTCGGCAACGACGCGCGGTTCGGACTTAACGACAGCGATACACGCGCGCGGTTTGGCATCGACGACAGTGAGGGGCGTGCACGGTACGACGTTAACGATAGTGACTCGCGTGCACGGTTCGCCGTTAACGATAGTGACTCCCGCGGGCGGTTCGGCATCGACGACAGTGACTCGCGTGCGCGGTTCCCCGTTAACGATAGTGATTCGCGCGCGCGGTTCGGTATTGACGACAGCGACGTTCGGTACATCGACGACGACGACGATCGGGGTATTCCGTACCACGCGCGGCAGGCCAGCCAGCCGTTCAGTTACGGGGTGAGTGCCGAAATGGTGGCGATGCCTGAGGGGAAGACGGGAGCACCGCAGGGGTTGTCGAGTCCGGGGTTGGTGAGGAAGGCGAGCGGGTCTCGGAGCAGTACTTTGCAGCATGTCAACAACCATCAAGTGAGTTGGATTTCCACTTTAGTATGTTTCATTCGAATAATTGTTATTTATACACCAAGGTAGTAAAGACTATCGTTATTACCCAGGGACCAACGTATATCCCGAGGCTTCTTCATCCGAGGTTATAAGGTCCCGTGGGAATGATATTCTTTACTACCAAGGTGTATATTACATTTTTTTCACCACATGCAATGTAGGACACTGAGTAACGCTGAGATAGACAATTAGAATGTTCATTATATTTCTTTATCTGATGGCATGTCATAATGACAACGTTATATCATTCAATTTTGATGACATAAAGAAGCTCATTATGGTACGTAGTCCCATAATGAATTCATTATGGGACTCAGTACCATAATGAAATTTTATATGAAAAACATGTGTTATATGGTAAAATAAGCACACTCAGTATATATCAAGTTACCAGATAACAGCTTCTCAGTATTTTCATATAGTGAGAAGCAGAATCAGCATTGATCATATTTCTATCTGCTTCCTACAATTTCTAGGATCAGCGCTGACACTGCAGATCCGATATTATAAAAGGACCCTGCGTGGCAACCTTGGCGATTAGTATAGTTAGAATTAGTCTAGTAGTCATATGGCAGAGAGCCATCAGAATTTTCAAGTAACCATTGTCTTTTGAATAAAGTAACTTGTCAAGTAGGAAAGTGTTTTTTAAAAAGTGAAATCTCAAAGTAGAGATATAACAATTGGCGCAGTCGGTAGGATCGGCAAACGTTATCAGAACAAGAAATTGGTCTAACTGATAGCGGTGGATTCCAATCCTTCAACAACGAAGAACCAACAACCCCGAGGAGTCACCACTTGAAGAAGACAGCGGAAGGAACACCTAGTGAAGCCCCTGGCTGGACGACTTCGAGAACACGACGAATCACAGATGAGAAGAACAATACTGTAAGTGATACCGAATCATCTCGTATTTTTAATTGCACCTTTGAAATTTTGAAACTGTTCGATTATCTATACCCTGAACTTCCCTATACATAATGGCAGAAAACGGTCTTGGTGAAAACGAAGATCATGAAGTCGAAGTTGAACCGTATAGACTATCAGAAATATTTTCAATCGTACCCGAATTTGAAGGAGATCAAATCTTCCTCAATACATTCCTGAACGCTTGTGACTGTGCGTATCGCATGGCCGCAGTGGATCAGAGACTATTCCTAGTGATTCACATAAAAAATAAGTTGCGTGGGAGAGCCGCACAACTTATAAGTTCAAGAAATCCAACTACCTATCATGAAATTAAACATCTGCTAAATTTGCACTTTGGAGATTCTCGTGACCTTACGTCGCTGATACAAGACCTCCAACGCATCAAACAACTACCGAGCGAAAGTGCTTTGACATTTTTCAACCGTTTGCAAGTGCTGAATGCAAAAATGCATTCTTGTGTACAAAAATCTATTCTCACTGCTGAACAAAAGCAAGCTCAATCTCATTTAATCGAAACAATGGCACTTAATACATTGCTTACCGGACTCGAACCACGTTTAGGTCAAATAATTCGCGCTTCGAATCCAGCAGACTTGTTAGAAGCACATATTCGAATAAGACGAGAACTACAGTTGTCGTACTTTGAAAACCAAAAGAAAGAAACTCAAAGCATTTCACGTCCTCAACAAATGCCTAGGAGACCTCAAATGCTCACAACGACAAGAACTTGTCACTCTTGCGGTCGCGCTGGACATATTTCTAGTGAATGTCGACTAAGACAACAACGAATGCTACCAAATAATAGTCAAAATTTCACCCCAAATCCTAACCCAAATTTTCAAAGACAACAAAATTTCCAGCAACGTCCAAACCCTTTCCAACAAAACAGACCATCAATGAACGATCAGAATTTCAATAGACCTCAATATCAAAGTCAAAACCAACCTCGTCCTTCAGTTATTCATCAAAATCCAAATTTCCAAAATCGACCAAATCAACAAAGAGCACATGTCGTTAATTACCAAAATCAAGACTATCATACTGCTGATAGCTCCAATCAAATCTATCATACTGCTGATAGTGAGACATACGAAGATTTCCAAAATCAATATCATGAAAATCAATACACAAATGACTATTATACCGATAATGGTCAAGAATATGATCAATTGCTTAACTTGAATGAAACTTCTGATTATCAGGATTTTCTTTCACTCCCGAATCAACACAACCCTCCTGGTCTCAATCCAACAACCTGTCAAACTCAACCAACCAATCCTATGACCCAATTAGAGACACAAATCCAATCATTGAACATCAACGAATTCAATCCCGATCTGAACTTCCCGGAACAAAACTTCATGTAAGTTCTTTACTGTCCGTAAATTCCAAGAATCTATATTATATTAATGACAGTACGAATACATTCAAAATACTGATAGATACCGGAGCAGGCATATCAATATTCAAACGAAAAACTTGCGAAAAATATCCTCACAGATTTCCAGAAAATATAACAGTTCAAGGCATCACAGATCAAAAAGTCATAATAAACGAATCAACTCTCATTAATTTCAAACAAAATGACCCCCATAAAGTGTACGTCTATGATTTAGATATCGACTTTGACGGTTTATTAGGTTCAGATTTCCTAGAACACTACAATTGTGTTATAGACCTGAAAAACCGACAGCTAATAACTAACTTTAAGACTGTACCGCTATTTAAAGTGACAGACAATAATGAACCTGACTACAAAATTCACAACCAAATTTCAATCGAACCTCGTACCGAGAAAATTTTCAAACTAAAATGTAGCCTCGCAAACACTGACGCTATACTGTTAGCGCAAGAAAAAGAAAAAGTTAGACTACCAAATGCCGTAGTACGAATCAACAATAACGGAGAATTTTTCACTTCAGTTATAAACGCTAATGCAATACCCAAAAAGATCGACTTTTCAGACTTTGAACTAGAACCTTTGCCAACTAATGAAACAATTCTTAATCTCAACTCGAACTTCAGAAATTCAGACTCATTCCCGTGTGACAGAATCCAAGAAATAAAAAATCAATTAAGGACTGATCATTTGAATGACGAAGAAAATCAACTGATTACAGACTTATGTTTACAATACTCTGACATATTTTACCTCGAAGGTGACGATCTAACATTTACTAATGAAATAAAACACAGTATAGATACCAAAGATTCCAGGCCCGTATTTACAAAATCATACAGATATCCACAGATACATAAAAGCGAAGTTAAATCACAGATTTCAAAAATGTTACAACAAGGTATAATACAACCCTCTATTTCACCGTGGTCATCCCCTGTTTGGGTAGTCCCAAAAAAAATGGATGCCTCCGGCAAACAAAAATGGAGAGTGGTTATCGACTACCGTAAACTCAATGAGCTCACAGTAGACGACAAATACCCTTTGCCTAATATTTCTGACCTTCTTGATCAACTTGGTAAGTGTCAATATTTTACCACGCTTGACCTCGCGTCAGGATTCCACCAAATTGAAATTGACAAGAAAGATATTGCGAAAACAGCATTCTCTGTCGAAAATGGTCATTTCGAATTTGTTCGGATGCCATTTGGCCTCAAGAACGCCCCCTCCACGTTTCAACGTGTGATGGACAATATTCTTTTAGGCATACAAAACGAACGATGCTTAGTCTACATGGACGACATCATAATATACTCACCTACAATACATGAACATATTTCGAGACTGACAGAAGTGTTTAAAAGACTTAGGAAAGCTAATCTGAAAATTCAGCCAGACAAATGCGAATTTTTAAGAAAAGAAGTCGCATATCTCGGACATGTAATTACTCAAGACGGAGTCAAACCAAATCCTTCAAAAATCGAATGTATCCAAAATTTCCCAGAACCAAAGAACCCAAAAGAAATTAAATCATTTTTAGGCCTAGCTGGTTATTATAGACGCTTCATTCATAACTTTGCCAAATTATCAAAACCATTGACAAAATTACTCCAGAAAGATATAGTATTCAATTTTGACACCGAATGTAGAAATTCATTCAGCGAATTAAAAACAGCACTCATAACTAGTCCCATTTTGATATACCCAAATTTCGAGGAGCCATTCCTGCTAACTACTGATGCTAGCATGTTTGCAATTGGCGCTATATTATCACAAGGACCCGTAGGTAAAGACCTTCCAATCGCCTACGCATCTCGTACGCTGTGCAATGCTGAAACTAAATACTCCACTATCGAACGAGAATTACTCGCAATTGTGTGGGCAGTGAAACATTTTCGCCCATATCTTTTCGGTAGAAAATTCAAACTCATCACTGACCATAGACCACTTACTTGGCTCTTTTCAATCAAAGACCCAGGTAGTAGGCTAGCTCGTTGGCGATTAAAACTTGAAGAGTACGACTATCAAATTGAATATAAACCCGGAAAAATTAATAAGAACGCCGATTCTCTTTCAAGAATAAAAATCAATCATTTCCAGGAATGTGCGAATTTGCAGTCAAAATTCTCAATTTTAGCTACAAATAATGACGAAATAATCGAAATCGAAGATTCAGATTCACCCGAACAAACTGAACAAACCACAGACGAACAAACTGAACAAACCACAGACGAACAAACCGAACGAACGACAGACGAAAACCCCGAATTTTCAGTTGAAACAATCCAAGAAGAATTTGACAGATTTGAAGACCTATACCGAACCCAATCATTGATTGACTATTCCAAAATTGAATTCGACAATTCACAACTATTGGACAAATCAAACAAGAACATCATTGTTTTTCTATGGCAGAATAAACTCAAAGACTTTCATGTTACCATAAACGAAGACATTTTTGAAGAAAACACAGACTTTGACAGTGACATAATAAATGTATTCAGTAGCAAAACAGTCAAAGATCGAAAATATTTCATCATAGTACTACCCTATGATCTGGAAGTAGTTATCGATCGATTATTTTACATAATTTACAAAAATCAAAATCAACTCGATCTCTCTAAAACATATTATGTAGAAAATAATCTGGAATTACCAATTTTAGAAATTTTTTCATTCATATTCTCAGATAAAGATATTAAGCTCAAGATTTGCCAAAACATAACAAAAACACCTGACCCTGATCAAATCCCTATTATTTTAGACCATTGTCATGCAGGAAAGAATAACTTACATAGAGGAATCAATGAAACAGTGAGACGCGTAAAAGAAAAATACAATTGGCATGGATTAGTTAAAGATGTAGAAAATTATGTTAAAGCATGTGACATCTGTAAAAAGGTTAAAATTTGTAGAAAAAATTTAAGTACACCGTTCGTAATAACTGAAACACCTAGATCACCGTTTGAAAGAATAAACATTGATATTTTCGAAATACCTACAAAATACTATGCACTCACAATCAGAGACGAATTGACCAAGTTTACACAAGCTTACCCTATAGAAAACAAATCAGCTAAATCAGTCGTAAATACGCTACTACTCTACTTTCAACACTACGGAACGCCTTTAAGAATTCATTGCGATCATGGAAGAGAATTCACAAATCAACTAATGAAAGACCTTTGCATGCTTTATGACATAAAATTGACATATTCCAGTGTAAATCACCCTCAATCTAACGGCTCTTTAGAACGATTTCACGCAACACTCGCTGAAATGATCCGTGTACATATGGCCGAAATTCCCACAGAACACCCACTGAATATTCTTCCATACTCCATAATTTGTTATAATACTACCAAAAACAAAACTCACGGTTTCACGCCTTATGAACTCGTATTTGGCCATACAGCCAGTAGAGCTCCAGAAACCCTGTATAACGAAAAGAACCTTATTTCCAAATATGTACGAGATCTCAACAACAGAATCTCTTATTTTTACGGAATTGCACGAGCTAAGACGCAAGAACAAAAAGAAAAATCGAAAGTTAGATTCGATAGAAATATTGCCAAAAATATCCCCGAATATAAAATAGGTGACAAAGTATACGTGAAAGAATCACAAATAAAAAATAAACTTGAAAACAAATTTAATGGACCTTTCGAAATAGTCGAGATATTTCAGAACTCTGCTATGCTAGCTAATTGGAAAACGAAAAATAAAACAAAAGTCAATTTTGACAGACTATTGCCGTATCATGAGAATTAATTTATTTACAGGATCGCCCTGCTTCTCGCAGCCGCCAAATCGCAATACACAATCGAACCAATCCAAAGTTCAGTAGGCGTATATTTCCATGAAGAAGGCAACCTCAAAATATCAAACGACAAATGGACACTCCTGGTATACAAAGACTTGACATCAATCAAAGACGCTCTAGACAACAACGACATAATACTCGAAAATATGGTAGATCTATTTGAACAAAATAACCCTCGTATGATCTCATTCAAAGCACAAGTGAAGACACATATCAGTCTTTTGAAACAAATATCCGATTCGCTACAACTAAAATATAAAGAAATATTTGCCGATACAGAAAGCTATGATAGACGAACAAAACGCGGTTTAATTAATAGCGCAGGTACATTCTGGAAAGCAATTACAGGAAACCTTGATTCATCTGATGGTGAATATTTCACAGAATGCATTAACAAAATAACTCATGATGAACACCAGATAGAGAACTTGTTGAAGAACCAAATCTCTGTTACCACCTCAGTTATCAAAAACTTCAATTCAACCATTCAAAAATTACAAGTAGATGAACAAACGTTCAATAACGATATTAAGGAAATAGAAAAATCCATCTACAATATAGAAGATGACCTATCATTCTATCAGGCACAAGTAAAAATACTTGAAGTTTGCGAATCACTTATGGAAAGTTACTTATTTTTGGAAACTGCACTTGATGACACTATAAACTCAATCACATTCGCACGTTTGAAAATACTTCACAGTTCAATCATAACGTCAAAAGATCTTATTAGTTCATTGCAATCAATATCTCAATCTCTGAATAAAAATAATCTCCCACTACCTACCTATCTGTCTAGTGTAGCTCAATATTTAGAAATCATAGAACTACAGGCTTATCGAACCGATAATAAAATAGTATTTGTACTCAAAATCCCATTGGTAGAACCAGAAATATATACCCTTTTTCATCTTTACCCAACACCTATACTAGATAATCGAACAGGCCTCCATCATGTTTTATTGACATTCCAAAAATACATTGCGCGAGACGATGATTCAGTATTGTATATTTCTCTTCAAAATCTGAACGATTGCAAAGTGATAAAGAACTTCGCAACAATATGCTCAGACGTACTACCATACCCAATAGATAGTGACTCAATTTGTGAAGCCCAACTATTTAGACAATTAAGTGAATTGCCAAAAACTTGCCAATCATCCTTGATTTATGCCAAAGACTATAGTGTTCTCGAAATTGACAAAAACCTGTGGCTCATAACAGTGTCAGACCCTCTTCCTGTTACAATCAAATGCACAAACAAAGATGCAGCAACGAAGATAATCAATAGAAATTCGCTATTGAAACTCCAACCCGAATGCAACGCCTTCGTAGGAAGTACCAGAATACATTCCAAATATCTGTTTGATGAAACTAAGAACATCACGTACAGATATCATGCCGTTCGAATCCCATTCGAATGCTGTGGCCATCTTCCAGAAAAACACAGTCTACCCGAGTTGAAACCATTAAAACTCAACAATATTAATGTGGACGATTTGAATATTGCCGAACACAAATTAAGCCAATATTCAGATCAATTAGACAAGCTGATTAACGAACCATTTGTGAACAAACACATTTCGTGGTTCACGTACCTCACAATAGCCTTGATCATTTCATTGGTCATCCTGTATATCTTTTGCAAATGCAGACGCAAAAGACCAGTTAGAATAGGTATTACCACTTCCAACGATGGACCATCACCACCACCCTCAAGAAACAGGTTCGCACCAAGAACCCTGGCAAGATTCATCCCCAGAAGAAGACCGTCCATCCACCTGCAAGAACCAGTAGAAGAAGAAGAAATCGAATTGAATCCAAATTATAGTAAAGCCACTGTTTGAGTAAAAGTCGACGCAAAGCCTCAACTTTTTTAATAAAAGGGGAGTTGTTATATGGTAAAATAAGCACACTCAGTATATATCAAGTTACCAGATAACAGCTTCTCAGTATTTTCATATAGTGAGAAGCAGAATCAGCATTGATCATATTTCTATCTGCTTCCTACAATTTCTAGGATCAGCGCTGACACTGCAGATCCGATATTATAAAAGGACCCTGCGTGGCAACCTTGGCGATTAGTATAGTTAGAATTAGTCTAGTAGTCATATGGCAGAGAGCCATCAGAATTTTCAAGTAACCATTGTCTTTTGAATAAAGTAACTTGTCAAGTAGGAAAGTGTTTTTTAAAAAGTGAAATCTCAAAGTAGAGATATAACACATGTAATGGTGAGTTCAAACAAGTTTATTCAAAATGCATAACTATGTTCAAAACTACTTATTATAAATGGTAAAATTGGGAGATATTTGAAATCTCTACACATCGGTCTTCTTTTTCAATTCGGTTGATGCATATTAGCAAGAGAGCAGTCGAAATATTTGAAAAATGATTGGTAATTGTAGGTATTCTTTCATTGTATTACTCCAATGTACAATGAAACAGTATCAACCAATACCAATGATTTTGACAAGAATTCATTGAATTTTGGATACTTTGACTGCTTTCTTGTGGATATGGATTAAATAACTAACATAAACAAGGTGCAATTCGACCCCTTGTACAATTTTGAAATTTTGAAAGGGTTGATATGTAGGACAGGAGGTTGACAGATGGATGAAAAATTTTACGAAGAAAAAATATCGAAAATAAAATTTATTACATCATATATTTTCCCACTGTATAATGTTCCTAGAACTAAGTGTCTTCAAATCCACCTCTCGCTTTTTCTCACTCCAATGATTTTTCAAATCATTAGTGAATATTTGTCTCCATGCTTCTGACATCATTCGGTTGATTACATTTCTTGTTATTTCATTTCCCAGAACAACTCCAATAACAGATTAGGCAACGGCGACACTCTTCAGAGGGTGCAAACTCGGGTATACCCGGGAGATTTCCCATCCCCCGTAAAACCCTCCACTTTACCCTATTCAAAACGCGACCCCATCGACAACATCTTCACGGAGGAGGCTCTGAAAGCTCAACCGCTCCGGAGGGAGTTTCGCGAAGAGTTTTACAAAGAGGAGGTGAGTGATTTTGTAATTTCAGCACACTGAGGAAAATTGTGCTATTAGAGTTTCTGCTGAGATATTTCTTGCTACCATTACCAGAAATCATATTACCGTTATACATTTTCGAATAGAAGCAGCACCTTGAAATCCTATGATAGCAATAACGACTTCGCTGAAAGTGAATTTCCTGCCACAGGAAGGTATACTACTGTCGCTATCAGGCAGCCATTTGAGACAGCATGATTTTTTTAAAAATTGTCAAGCTGAACTACTACTAGTGAGTTATATGCTTGTGGCTGCGAGGTTCATCGCATAGAACTGCACTCACTTCCAATAATACAACTGTCAGTCTGCCACGAAAATAATATTTGACGAACCTACTTGTAGTTATTTAGCGCATACTTATCGTTATTCGATATTTTGCTGATTTTTCAGACATCTTGCTTGATCAATCATTCACAGCAATCCCATGTACACGACGACAATCTCGACGACACGACAGTTATGAATACTTCCCCTCTTGAATTCAATTCATTATTTAATATCTGAATCTGGATTCAATTATAAAATGGAAACATTTTTAAACGAATAAAAAAATCTTCTGTGTCCCTTTCAGTGCATTCGTAGATCTGAATGCTTCAGTTATTACCAGGATTGATGAAATGATGAAGGTGAACTTTTTCGAGGTATTTGAAATTCAAATATTTTACATTCAACATTTCCTTCTTTTTGGTACCATGAAACTTTGAAATTGTCAAATATGTTCCAGAGCTTCTCTATAGAATGTGGTCGAAAAACTTATTGTGGGCAAAAATGTTCAGTTCATGAAATTATTTGAGTGATTTTACTGGTAAAATTTTGTTTTCCTGCACACATCTGTGATAACTTGCCTATTTCTCGAAATACAATGGTTTCAGAAAGTATCAGAAACATTCTTATTTTCATTAATTAGGTACTCAAAATCCTTTTGTTTTTCCTGAGAGTGCATAAATCGACTAATCTATTGAATTTTAAAGATCATTGGACCGAAATTTTCTTCAGGAATCAATAAATTGCTATTCATACCAAACATCAGGGTGGAAATTATGAAAAGTGACATTGGATATCAGTCAAAATTTCACCTTCCTTGATGACAACAATCCTGGTAAATAACTGAATAACTACAGCAAGAAGGTCATGCAACTATCTATATGAGCACCCATCAAGAGTAGCAAAGTTCCCTACCTACGATTATAACATTGCCCTACTCCCATTATTAGATTCACTCACTAGCGGTAGCAAAGTCAGATACCTACTTCAGAAACATCGTCTAATATCAATATACAGATGCACTCGCGTTATAATCAGCAAAGTCGACTTTATAATCACAGGTGATAACTCGCTTGTCCCCTCTGCTATTAGAGTTTCTTGCTGGGGTTATTCGATTTCTGACTATGGTTAATAGGAATTTTCCTCAGCAGTGCATGAATCAAAATGGTTGAATTTGTGTCGTTTTCAAGGTTAAGCGATTTGATCCTCTCAAGCGCAGCTTGACGGAGGGTACGATCCAGAGGAACCCTGAGAAAAGCTACAAGGTGTCACCGACTAGTCAATACTCAGATTCGGTCAGTCTGTCACCACCTGGAGCTTTCAGAAACTCCACCAGGTCACCAGAGTTTCATGAAGGGTAAGTCAAACCACCATCTTTTGATTGAAATATCATCATTATCTCCCTCCTCATACTCATAATACCATGCCAGAGTCGACTATTTGAATGTTTATTTTCGATGATTTGTTTAGAACAACCTTCTGCTATATCTCAATCGAAATATCGTACTGACTAAATAAACATTATTCGATATATTATGCTAGTGCTAAGGAGAATCATCGGATCTGAAATAGATTTCACATTTCGAATGTTATACGTTTTCAATCGTTTTTGTTATATTTATGAAACTTGGTAATGAGAAGTCTGGCACCGTTCCACTCAACCGTTTATGCTAAATTTATCCTGATGGCAAACAAATGCAGCGAAATAATATTGTTTTATTCTTTATTATATTTCTTCATTCCGAATTCTCCATTTAGAATCCTGAGTGATTGGATAATTTTCAATGGATCTCATAGGTCATCAGGGCCATCGAAATGTTGATTCCTAAAAAATAATTCATCAACTTTCTCGTCATCGGTATATGGAAGTCCTTCAACTTTCCAATATTACCTCGAAGAACAATCTCTCCAAAGAACGACGTCATTCATATATTAACTTTACTATCCATCGTTTCCATAAATGGATCTGGACCTATATGGAATATATCTGATTGTATTTTCTCTATAGCTAACGATTTATATTGTCTTTTTGCGAAATCACAATGATCAGATCACAAATAAAGAGTTGGTTTTCTGAACTGATGAGATTTCAACCCCATCAAGGTTGCATTATATTCATCATTTACTATAATTTATCTTGGATAGTCAATCGTTTTAATATTTCAACTCGTAATTCTTTCCGACACATCAATTTCTACCATTAATATGAAAGTGTAGTGATATTTTGTTTCCAAATATGGCATCTAAAGACTGACCGAAATATTATTTTCTTCTTCAAGTAGGCTGTGTAGATGGAGAATGCGGATAGATGCCTTTAAAGGAATAATCACCAGTAGTGTTAGTTTGATTAATCAATGTCGACAGTCATAAGGAATGAGGCGAATAGAATTCAACATTATTCTATTATCTACGGTTTGCTGAAATTTGTTTTTCAACTGATCTGAAATTTCTGGCCGTGAATTCAAAACTCATTGGAGTCTTCGGTCCATCATTATCGTCGATGAAATTGGCAATTTCATAGTATGAACACCCACTTTAATAATAAAATAGCTGACCCTATCTACTTGATCTACCCACAACAATACTTTTATTGACGTTTGTTTATCAACGAACCGTGTAAAGACTTGGAATTTGTGGCGTCATAATTTGTTTTTGTTTCAAAATAGGTCGATAGGTTCTATAGATAATTTTGGATGCATATGTTGAAAATTGATTGGCAACCTGATGTATTCTCAGGTACTTACAAAAAGAAATTGGGAAACTGAATATTGTGACTGAAATGCAATTTTTATAAGAAGCTATACAAGCCGTAAATATCCCCTTGTTTATAATTTTGTATTCATAGATATATTTTCAATCATATATCTACCATCTCTATATATCCCAGGCAACCAGATGACGTTCCAGTGACGTCTGTTTCACGTCACTTGAATGACCAAGGTGACGTCAGTAGTTGACGTCGCATTGACGTCATGAAACTGGCGTCTTTTTTTACCCATCTAAGTGACGTTCACTCGACGTCGAAACGATGACGTGATTATCACGTCATAGAAAGTACGTCATAGTGACGTCATAAATTGGTGTGTGACATCTCTGACAAAAAATCACCAATTAGGGACGTCACTGTGACGGGATCATTCGTCATCTGGTTGCCTGGGATGGCGCATCGCTTATACGATATCTCAACTAAAATGGGACCAATATGAGAGGTACTTTTTGAATCTATAGAGACGGAAAGTGAAGGATGGAAACTGCGGACGGGAGAATCAAATTTTAAGTTAGGTCAGGTTCGTAAATAATTATTTGATCATAAAAGGAATTAAAAATCATCTATTGTTGATAATACCACAGTATAATATTGTCAACTTCGATTTATTCCGTTATAATATGGTTAAAATATAGAGAAGCATAATGTCAGTAACTTTGAGGCACAGGAAAGAGCCATTGCAGATGATAATGAAATGAGCTGCGATAATGATGTTATTCAGTTCGGTGGAATCTCGAAACTCACACCCTTTAATCCAACATTATTGCTTCAGATCTTGGTATTGAATAATATTAAATATAAGTCAGTGTTAACCTAGGTATATGTATTATTTTTCAATGTGGTGAAGGTGATCTACTCAAATCTGTTTAGCGTGATATAACTACACTACACTATACTTGTCATTTACTGATTCAAATTTGATGCTTTAAGGCAATTCACATTATATAATGCTTGTTGCTGGATGATTGATAACTCCATTGATAGTGTATGAGAAAAATGATAAGGCTGATGATTGGAGCCATCAGTTCCTTCGTTCAGGGTTCTTTTTGAGTCTGAAATATAATGTGAATATAGGTGTTTACCTTTGTGCAGGTGAATATTATAAACAAGATAATTTGAAAATTCAAAATCACTTATGAAAAGAGGACTCCTGTCTATTCTGTTCTCCGCAAATACTGCATATAAGAAATAAACGAAAACACTAAAGAATTGTACAACTAGAAACGCATATTCGAATTTCAATCACAACCTATCACATACGCGCTAAAACCAATTTAAAAATTCGAAATTCTGAGCCATATTGGTTCAACAAGTTTCGTATTATTTTTTTACTACGTCGGCATCAACGCCTTTTGGCCGACTTCGTAACCTATAGAGACAGAGAAGTTGGTCCCGCTTTGAGGACAGCTATGATTCATAAATACAGTAGTAGATATATGTTTTCAATATAGAAAACTATTAAAGTTGCTACTTTCTTATCTAATATATTCCATAGATCATTATTTGAATGATTTGTCCAATTCAAATTTCATCAGATATCTACCTACCGATGAATTGGAAATGTGATTGCAAAACGAGTTATACTTTACGTTGGATGTTGAATGAAAATGTATATTATTAATTAAAAACTAGTCATTAAATTTAATTGCTAATGAAATCATATTAGTAGGTATCATCAACATCAGTCCCATGAGTAGGTACCAATAATATATTTTGGCATATTTCGAATAATTGATGCTGTATTACTCATTATAAGCGACCTCATAAATCAGCTTGAAACTTGCACGGTTGATTATTTCGCTGTAAACCTGCCACTAAACAACACTAATAAACCTCAATTTCGTAACGATGGAACTAATGTGGTTTCCATGAGATGAATTTGAATTCCATGAGTATTCGTAAACAGGAAAACGTGATGTTTATTTATAGCTACAATGAAAAATTGTCACGTTCTAAATAATTATGAGTAGGTACTATTGGCGATATCGAGAAAGTTTTCGGAATCATCTATTGGTTTTTGTTGAAGAAAATATACGCGAGGACAACAGACTTGCATAGTATCTCTCACCTTGGCTTTCTTACAAGGAACAAGGTTGGCCAATGTCTCGAGTGTTGCGCAAAAACTTGTAAGATGCCACGGCGTTTTCTTTACGTGCTCATTACCTGAAAATAGTGAGTTGTTTGGGTAGCTAAAGCAAGAATCATTTCCTTTTGTGTATAAATATACATTCATTACATCACGTCCTCAGTTCCGACACCAAACAGTGGTGGAATCACCTCACAAATTTTTGGTATGGACAACGACCAGGCAACCAGATGACGTTTCAGTAACGTCTTTTTACGTCAGTTGAATGGCCAAGATGACGTCAGGAGTTGACGTCGTATAACGTGATGAATGACGTTCAAACTTGGTATTGACACCTAAAAAAAGTTTCCTCGAACATGGTGTGATAATCACCACTGATCTCTGATGACATATATATTGATAATGCATTCTTGAGTCTGCTTGGTGATCCCTCCGGTTTCATGTCCATTCAATCGTCTCTTCAGCAGCGCTATCCCTCAGTTCTCATCTCCATCAGAATGAAATCAGTTACTCGTATTTGTATCAAAAATTATGTAATTTGCGTCGGCGAGATGTAAGCAAACCAAGAATCGTTTGATAGTAATGAAAAGGATGTTGGCGAATTTAGATTCACTTTGTTGAGTAATGTATATTCATGCATTACTTGTCACCCAACAAAAATCTAAATAGCAAATTATTGAAAAATTTTCTGAATGACGCTCACCAAATTGGTACGTCACAACAACATGATTTTCAGACGTCATAGATAAGTCACTGCAACATCATGAAAGTGACGGTTTCGATACAGGCAGACCTATATTATCATTTGTATATATACATATATAGCTTCATTGGTTTCCGAGATATACAGGGTGTCAAAGTTTAAAAAAGTTTTCTCTTACTTCTTGGGTACCTATATATAATTGCATGTTGATTTGTTTCAATGAGTTATACTTCTATCGACGTTAGAAGCATATATATAAAATTACCAAGACGTACATGTTCCTATATAAATGTATGTAACATAAATGACAAAAATTTTTGAAACTGAAAATACCCATCCCTGATTCTGTGTAGATAGGTACGTCACAAACTCTGGCGGTTTCACATGATAATGTAAGTATACATGGTTTAGGTCTGGGAAACATGGACGTCGACAGGACGTTCCTGCAACGTCATGAAACTGGCGTTTTATTTTACTCCTCTAAGTGACGTTCACTCGACGTCGAGATGATGACGTGATTATCACGTCATAGAAAGTACGTCATAGTGACGTCATGAATTGGTGTGTGACATCTCTGACGTAAAATCACCAATTAGGGACGTCGCAGTGACGTGATCATTCGTCATCTGGTTGCATGAGCAGTAATATCTACTATGGTTCTTAAACCCACAACAAGAAATTAAATCATCAATAGAATACCAAAACACTCAAAAACAACTACTCACCATCAGGTCCAGATAACATCTCAAGTGAATTCATAAAACAATTACACAACTATCTAGCTCATCCACTATAGTTCAGATAATAAATCTCTGTTATGAAAGCGGTGAACCTCATCAATGAGAAGGAAATTCTCGTTACACCTGTTTATAAATCTGGAGATTGAAAGCTTGTTAATATTACCTTCGCTGAAGTATTTGAACATTAAACTTGAGCATTAAAAAGCGGTTGATATCTTTCTTGGACATCAATAATGAGATTAATAATGAGAGGCAGTATGGATTTCTGAGTAACAGAAACACAGAAAAAGATGTTCTTGATATTATTGTGGAAAAAACAGTTGACGCCTTGGATAAATCGGAAAAATGGCTCGCCATCTTTCTGGACCTTGCCACGAGCCTTGCCAAGACATTTAATACAATATCGCATGAGATATTAATGGAGAAGCTTTATAATTATGGTATAAGAGGACCAGCCTATCAGGCTGCGAAAATACTTATATAAGAGATCTTATAGAGAGTCAAGTTTGGAGATTTCTGTAGTAATCTTTTGGAAATAAAAAATGGGTGTGCCGTGCCACAAGGAACCGTATTGGGCCCAATCCTGTTTTTACTATAACTATACATACGTTGTATCGGATATTCAAAGAACTGTAAATGCCAGCATCTCCTATGCTGATGACACTACTTTGATTTTTTTCTGCAAAAACATGGCATGCGGTTTTTAATGATACAAATAATGGAGTACAACAAGTCGAAAAATGGCTACATCAAAACTTATTGAGCTTGAAAACCAAATATATAGTATTTTCACTAACAGCAATTGATCAGCCAGTGGGAGAAAATACTATTTTAGTGCACGAAAATAATTGCCAAAATCAATAAGCATGCACATTTCCTGAAATAGAAAAATGTGATAATATAAACTACTTAGGTGCCATGATAGACCAACACTTGATATGGGAGAAGCATATACTATATTCTATTGACTCGCAGATTCAGGCAGCTGAGATCTATATCAAATAACAAAAAACTAATTTATTACTTTGACAAAAACTTCGTTAAAATAAATTCAACTTCAATCTACAATACAATAGATCAATTGATATTCTTTTAGTACTTATCGAATCTCACAGATATGGATTTCATTCATCAATATCCTACACAAACAATCACAATATATTAGATTGGCTGATGCTGTTTGTTCTTCATCACATGCCTCTTATGTATATGTAAGGCATCAGAGGATCCATTATTTTATATGAAGAAAATGAGAAAACATAGTGACCAGAGTCGTTATTACAGATACGCCACAGGTGGTTCCAATTTGACATGGCTGCAGCGCCAGCAGCAAAAGCTGAAAGAACGGCGAGAGCTGGTACTACGCGAAGAAAGACAACCGCACGAGACTCGCCTACTGTCTGAGCTGCGCACCGTTCAAAGTCGGCACATGCGCCCTACGGCCAGTCACAGGCTGGACGGATACACTAGCGACACCACTGCTTTCGCGGACGACGACGACGAAGACTACAGGATACCGCTGCACATCAATACAGCGCACAAAAACGGCAGTCACAAGTCGAGTAATGGCAACAGCTACTCCACCACCGTCAATAACGAGAGACCTTTCATGACTGTCAAGAGGGCACATGAAAGATATGCCCAGGTATTGCGTCTCCTCAAAATTACAGTTGATTTTTCTCTTCAAAGTCTTATTATCTCTTATCTCTACGTTTGTGTATCATCTCTTATGCTTCACTTGCTTCTAAAAATCAATAGGTCAGTGAATATATTCATAAATATTTCTCGAAATGTCAGTTTATCCATTGAACTACTTTACTCAACATCACATATCGTTGATAACTGTATAGCCATCGATTTTTTTATGTATTTCAGACAGCATGGACTACTGATTGCCATGAGACCATCAAATATAATACTGCATTTCTTCATTCATACTAGGACGATAAAAACATGAATTAAAATATGTTCATTTCAAAATACACACTTCCTGCACCATCTGAAATTGTGCCAATTCATTGGTGTGACTGCTGTGACGTATTAGGCCGAAGAGGCCTATTGTCCTTGAGCTGACCAATCACACTTCAAAATGGCAAGCTATCAGAGACATAAAGCTACAGTTATGGACTAATATGTCACGGCTCCACCTTCATATCTGTCTTTTTGAAATATCGAATCGAACATGCTGATTTAAAAATGCTATAGATTTGATTTCCTTCAACTTTAACTTATAATATTGATTGTACATTAAATTTATATCATGATCAATCGATTGAAAGAGGTTTGGACGCATTTCATTCCTCGATGGTCTCCTCCATTGGCAACTTTAACAACTCAATTTAATGACACTTGCTGAAATTTCAAAAACACCATATTCTCAAGGTTCTCACATTTTTTAACAACACTTTTGCACCGACCTTGTAGAACGGTACTACAACTCCCGCACAAATCCTGGCTGCCCATCCCATGGGCCAGATAGTAGGTTCTCCCTCCAGAACGAAAGGGGAATCGGAGGGGATCGACCAACCAGACGGCAGCGGTCTCTTATCGCTAGTTAAAGAGCAGCAGCACCAGCAACAGGTACTCTACAAGTTGGGCAGCAGTCAACAGCCCAGATACAATGGCCAACGGACGGTGGGTATTGACAGCGAAACTGGCAATGTCAGCTCTCCTACAGACAGACTCGCAGCTGGCGATAGCACTCGGCTTGATGCACTCGGTGATCTCATAGCTAACTTATCTAGTGGTTCCGATAAGTCCAGTAACAGTCCTAACACTACATCTGCATGGCAGGTACTAACACATTCTTCTGGTTTTTTCTATTTCTTAGTAGCCTGTTTTTTTTAAACTTATTATTTCTTGCAAAATATCCTCTTTCAAACGAAAAGTGAATGTATACGAATGTCTCAAATTTGGAAACTGTAGCTTTCACTTGCATGTTTTTCTGATATACATCCCAGCCAATCATCGTGAGTCATCAACATCAGTGTGATGTAACAACCTTACATAAATGCAATATCTGGTTGACACATCTAATCGACGTAGATTTGATATCAAAGTCACAAAGGTTGCATCACAACCAGGAAAATATGTAATGTGACAGGGACATTCATCAAACTACATCTAATCAACGTTAATCTTTGGTAGAAGTCCATGGTTTCTCAGAGTAGAGTCAAGTATTAAATACTTAATGATACAGGAAGTCATTTCCACGACATATAATGTGATTAACACATCAGAATTGCTTGGTACATGTTTCGGACATATATATGTCCATCATCAGCCTTATGAGAAATTACATAAATATTCCGGGGGTTTGTTACGCTGAACATATTACTTATTTTTAACATTTTTTTTCTGCGTTTGTAGTAAAAACTTTGTTTGCGACTCGTGCACTAAAAACTTTCGCGATCTCAACTATTCTTTTGATTGGCTGCACTTTGTTGAAAAAATTTGTTCTCGATGACCAAAGTAGCATTTCGCGCACTAGATACAAAAATAACTTTTCTCTACAACCGTCAGAAAATGACAAGATTCACGCATTGATAACAAATTGCGAAGTGACACTTTTCTTCAGTTTCCTACGTTACCATGATACCTTGCACAAAACAATGCGCGAAGTAAAACAGTGCGCGAAGTACCTACTTCGCACATTGTTATGTAAAATATATGAGATATTTATATTTTAACCTAATGGTCCTCAATCGAGAAACATCCACGTAATCATTTATATCTGAATGTTCAAAATAACTTTGTTTTATATCCTGGAGCGCACGATAGGAAATTCTTATTATGTTCGTGGAACATCGTGCACTATTTTTTATATTAAGCTAAGCATATTTTACTTTAGAACTATATTTTTTGAAGTTTGTAGAAAAAATGTTGTTTGCAACTCGAGTGCGAAATACTTTGGTCATCTCGATCACCAAAGTACCATTTCGCGCAATACACCTTTTTCAATTGAAATTCAGAAAGTATAAGATGTAATTCAGAAAGTATAAGTTGTTATTCAGAACAGTTAATTGTAATTCAGAAAGTATAACTTGGAATTCAGATTAGTTAATTGTAATTCAGAAAGCGTAATATGTAATTCAGATTAGTGAAATGTGATTCAGAAAGTGTAACTTTTGATTAAGAATAGTGAAATGTAATTCAGAAACCGTCAATTGTAATTCAGAAAGCATAATTTTTAATTCAGAAAGTATTTCAGAAACTATGTAGGAACAACCCGTATGCATCCATTCTCGTTGAGACTTTAACGTTAAATCAAGTTACCAACATCCACAGCCATGTTGTCATAGAAAGTGATTACGAAATATTAAATAAATGTCGAATAAATTGCAATTGAAGAGAATTTCACAGGAAAATATATTGTTGTTTTATCACATACAAGTAAAGTGACATTTTGAATTCCAAAGATAATTGTGGAATTTGCCGAAATGTAATGACTCCAGATTCAGAAGTAATCAGAATCGAACCGTGTCGGCATCTTTTTCATGAAAAATGTGCTCAACCATTGAGAAATATGCCAGATGCGACCTGCCCATTCACCATGCTGCAGCTCTGGCATTTCAAGATATGGCCATTGGTCGATGATATAAAATATTGATGTTCACCACAAAATGAACCATTCGTTGATTTCTATTCCCTATACCCTTATTTAAGTCCAAGTGATGCTTCGTGAATTACAAATTACGCTTTATGAATTACAATTGACTATTCTGAATTGAAAGTTACACTTTCTGAATTACATTTCACTGATCTGAATTTTATGTCATGGATTCTGAATCCCAATTGACATATCTGAATTACAATTGACGCTTTATTCTTAATTACAATCAACTATTCTGAATTACAAGTTACCCTTTTTGAATTACAATTGAAAAAGGTGTACATACAAGAATACATTTTGTAGCTAAGACGAGAAGAGTCCGTCCAGTCGTGGCGATCGGGGGGCACGACCACAGAGCCGGACTCCAGCCCCTCCCACGCCTCTTCGCCCCGCCCACAAACGCCCGCCTTCCCGGTGCACGCGCGAACCCCCTACTCTAACTCCTCCTCTTCTGCCACGCCCACCGCACACGTGCAGTTCGATTTGTCAGCGACCGCCGAACGGTTACCGCCCAAGAGTCCTACCACCCAACGGTGAGTACTTACATACGATCGCTTCTTTGGGGAGGAAATTGAAAACATATTCAATGAACTGTATAGGGTAGGGTAGGTGAGGCATACAGAATAACACTGTGCGGGGTGTTTTCAAAGGTGAGACATACAGGCTAGCTAACTAACAAAGAACGCCCCGAGCCATAGCGCTGCTATTTATTATCCGGTTTCGAAAATCAAAAGAGCAAATGAAATAACTCATGAGATACTACAAGGTGGCACTAACAATGTCTCTTCCAATATCATCTCTAAAGACACCAATTGTCAACTTTTTTCCAATTATATATTTTTCATAGTATTTTTGTAGAGCAGGAATGATCACAGAGTTATTTGCGATAGAAAATAACACGTCGCTCCACCTGACACTTGAACACTTCTGAGCGGTTTGTCCTGCTGCAGTTTTGATGGATGGGACCAATAAGCACAAACAAATGCGTACCAATGAATAAAAGTAAACATACTGCTTCGTCAGATTTCGAAAACTCCAATAGCTCATTTTCTGTCGCGAATATTGAGTGTCCAAAATCGGGAATTTGCAAATTAAGGATTTTTTTGTGTCGATACTATTCATTTGTCAAAATGACCTACATGTAAATATCTCAACTTTCGATTCAATATCTAATGACATTTGATTGAAACAGATAAAGGGTGGTTCAAAATTCAGACTTCTGATCACCCTGTCTCTATTACAATCAAATGTCAGTGGGTAGTAGATCAAAATTTAAGATAGGGACATACAAGCCGTTTTGACCAATAATAATGAATAGTTTCGACACAAAAAAAATCCTTTTGAAAAATCTTGATTTCGAACATCACCTTATATCCCCCTGTAAAAATTCCTACTAGACCTCAAGTGTGTACATCTTTGTATTCTGAAAAAAAATCTCTATCAGAAGAAATTGAAGAATATAGAATGCCATTTGAAAAAAAAATGACAATTGGTGTCGTTAGAGTTGTAATTGAAAGAAGAAATAGTCAGAGTTATCTTGTAGTATCCAAGTCATTTTTTCAAAATCGGATAATAAATAGCGGCCCAATGGCTCCTGGCGTTTTTTGTCAGTCAGCCTGTATACAGCGTGTCCTTTGAAGGACTGATAGTCCAGCTCATGACTGACCAGAATATCACAATAAGACCTTAGTAATATTGACGGTTTTGGAGATATTGGCACTTCCATGATTTTGAAAATCGAGACCTTTGATCAATATTTCGATTGTCGTAGGTACAAAACTTCATAGTTTATGATCCTAATTTTTGTTATGCAACCCTTCAATTGATTACAATCCGAAGTTCGATAAATTCAAAATAAAAATGGTGCAATGCCAGTCTCAGTAAGCTAATTGAAATAAATTATATCTCGTGATGCGGACAAACATTATTTTTTTCTTCGAAGGTATTGCCCCCCAGTATTTTTATGTTATATTGTAATCCATAAAACGGTTATTACGACAGGTTGCATAACAAAAATCAGAACCGCGAACTATGAATAAGTTTTGTACCTGCGACACTCAAAATGCTGATCAGAGTTTTCGATTTTCACGAAATTCATAAAAGTGTCAATATCTCCAAAACCATCAATATGGGTCTCGTTTTGGGACACCCACTGTACTTATTTCAATGTAGAACACGTATTCTTGAGTCATTTCACGAAAATTTGTTTCTATAAAATTTGCGAAATGAGTGCTGGTGTGTTTATGAAAAGCATGTATTTCCTCATTCATTTTTTATTCATAAAATTATGGGTGGTGTCGAGTAGTTTTTTGAATGTTTTCACCATATAAAATCACCAAATATCATGTTAAATTACTGTTGTATCAATGTCAGAAAACACACGTTCTACACTCAGCACCCAGGTCGACTGATTCCACATATATCACGTTGAACGGAGTATTACTTCTATTCCACACTCCAGAACCGTACTCGATTATATTTCAAAACTATTTTTGTTATTATGCATTCATGAGTTCTACATTTAGAGATTCCTCACCTCTGCAAACACTTTTAAATAATTGTTGGAATGATGTTGCTTTTTTCTTTGTCGCATTCCAGAGTCAATTTATGAAACTTATAGTTGAGAGATTCCAAGTGTATTGATGACATGAATATCGTGAATATCCCCATAATATTTTTGCCTGGGGGGCTATTTTTTATATGAATCCCACGGTTGTTTGTGATAATATGTCATCTGTCGCTGGTGAACCAAAGCTTTGTACTAAAAATAAATTATAATTTATAGCCGGTTGAGTTTCCCATCATCATCAGCTAACAAAAATTCAATGAAGTGGTCGTTTTTCCCAGAGAGGTAACGTAAAATATTATTCAAATCTGCACATTGCTCGTTCGTAAATAAGAAGCATGTTGTTTGACTCACCATTCGAACTGTAAATATCATCACGAGTATTTTTTCACATCACTGATATCACACAAACCTCTAATGATTTTCCCAAATGGTTAATGATTTGTTGATTCGATTTATTATCGTATGGTAATGATATGAGTATGAACATAAAATAGAAGCTAACTTTGGCTGAAAGACCTCGGTCGATGGCCATTTGATTCAATCAATGAATAACGATAATTATTTTTACTATTATTATTATCATTGGAAACTAACTAATGCACCAGTAACACGTGTTGATAGCATAGAACGCCTGAAAAAATTTCGCAACTTTCCTATCTATCTGAAACGTGTTCTTATCATCATGCATGTGTATCTAATTTCTTGAAATGGTATATATCAGAAAGGACCGACCGACTTCTCCGACCGAACTTTCGAACGGCTCTGCTACGGAATATTCGCACACCCTGTCGCACCGTAGCGTATCGACTACGCCAAATTCAAGCTTCAGAGAGAGCACCGAAACTTCTTACCAGCACAGTCCGAAAAGTCACACTCAAAATGGATCGTATTCTCCGACCGTTTACTACGGAACGTCAAGGTAAGCTTATAAAGATAATATTTATAATGCTCAAAACTATCCTCTATCATTCACACTATCAAGATGAACCATCCTTATGAGAGCAAAGAAGCCAGGAATTCTGTTCAGCAGGAAGCGATATCTATGAATTACAAAAACTACTTTTTGTTGAAAAGCGAAGAGTTGAGGTCGGTACCCAGGCAACAACATGACGTTACAGTGACGTATTTTTACGTCAGGTGAATGCCCAAGGTGACGTCAGGAGTTGACGTCGTATGACCTGATAAATGACGTGACCAAACTGTGACGTCGGTCTGACGTCGAAATGACGATATATACATATATAGCTTGATTGGTTTTCGAGATATACACGGTATCGAAGTTAAAAAAAGTTTTCTCTTACTTTTTGGATATACTCCAATAAAACTTGCATGTTGGTTTGCTTTAATGAGTTATACTTTTATCGCCGTTAGAAGCATAAATATAAAATTACCAAGACGTACATGTTTCTATATATGTGTGCAAAATTGAGGAAAAAACGATTTTTTCTGAAAACTTTTCGACACTGAAAATGCCCATCTTGTATATATAGGTAGGTATGTCACAAACCTAACGTCACAATTACGTGATTATTTCTCACCTGGTTGCCTGGGAATGCAGAAAGAATTCTAAATTTGTTTTTAGATGTTTTTATGCAAGAATAAATGTCGTATCAGGGCTACCAAGAGCTAAGGCCAAATTTGGCTTTAATATTTACATTGAGGTGGATCATCTTGTTAATAATTATCACATACATGAATTCGTTGTTGTTTCAGAAGAAGTTCCGTCAATTCTAACGAGTCTCCTCACGAAGTTTCAGCTGCCAATGTCAAATTCGTTAGAGATTCTTCCAAGTATTGGTACAAGTCAACCATAAGTCGAGAACAAGGTGAGTGGCAAACACTTTCATATTGATTCGATAACTTTTCATCCAGATAATAATCCTAATTATTGATATACTTACTTATTGGGTGTCCTCGCGAGAACTAAAAGTGGTCATTATTTCTATAACACAGGGGATACCTCTAGAATATAATCATCACGAAAGGGAAGTACTCTTTGAAGGTAATGCGAGCTTTCGGAAATTTTTAATTCCATCATCAGGGACACAACGATGTTATGTGTTGTGTTGTCCAAATATCTATTCATTTATTTATTTATTGAACACACAATGGGATTTGGTATGAGGAAGTACAAAATTATATACCTATTTCATCAATCAGAATACATCAACTATAAATTGCCGAACAAAATATAATATTTGTAGAAACAAACAAAGTAAAATAACATGACCAATTTCATCCAGTCCACTCAGCAATATTCAGCTTTTTTACTTAATTCTTGAATGTACTAATATTTCTGCAGTTTTTCATATTGGCAGGTAGTTTATTGACTTCAGTTGAGGCTGAATGAGTGAATCTTTTCTGTCCGAGTATGTAGCTATTTGTTATCTCATACTCATAACATTTAGTCTCCCTGATGATGGAAATGAAGATCTCCGAAAGCTAGGATTAGCATTAAGGAGTATCATTCTTCATTGCTGCCATCCCCAATATACACTGCTTTCATATAATCATTACGATATAATTCAATTGTAGCGATTACCATCCTGAGAGATCAGCAACCTGGTACGTTCGTCGTACGAGATTCGAATTCTTTTCCTGGCGCTTTCGGTCTGGCGCTGCGAGTGGCCACAATACCCTCGAACGTGCAGAACAAGACAGGCACCAGCGACGAGCTAATCAGGCACTTCTTGATCGAACCGACGTCACGAGGAGTTCGTCTGAAGGGCTGCCAAAACGAACCAGTGTTCACTTCTTTATCTGCACTCATCTACCAGCATTCGATCACCCAAATGGCGCTCCCGTGCAAGTTGATTCTTCCCGAGGACGATTTGAGGTAAGAAAGTGGCCACAATCCTTGTTGGTTAAGCGATACATTAAATATTTATTCATAAATGCTGGTGTTCCACAAGGATCAAATCTAGCACCAACACTATTTCTACTCCATATCAACGATTTGTTGGAAGCAACTTCATGTCCAGTACACAGCTTTGCGGATGATAGTACCCTCCATACCGCCTTCTCTTCCAGGGCTCCAATACCCGAGGGAGAAATGTTGACAACATAAATATGGATTTGGCAACAATTCTCGAATCCAATAACTTGGTAGATTCCAATGCAAACAAAACACAAGCATGCCTATTATCTAGAAATGCCCCAAACCTTTGAAAACATCAATTTCGATGCTTATTATTACTATCAGCAATAACCTTTATTGAGAAAATCATGTGAGATCAATTGCTAAAAGTGCATCCCAAAAACTTGGTTTTCTGTTTCGGGCCAGGAGCTATATTTCACTTCCAGCCAGCTGCTTATGATCTATTAGCCACAGATCCGACCTGTCCTGGAATACTGTTCCCATATTTGGAGTGCAGCACCCAAACATACTCTGAAACTGTTGGATTCTGTCCAAAAAAGGGGAATTCGTCTCGTGGGTGATGCCTCGCTCACAAACTCACTCACTTCTCTGAAACACCTTGGAAAAATTGGCGATCTGGCTCTTTTTTCTAGATATTTTCATGGACGATGCCCTTCTGAAATATCAACAATTGTTCCTCCGTTGGCAGTCCCCGCGAGATTAACCCGTCGAGTTGAGGCTTCGCACCCCTTCGTGATCACTTTGGAGACTTGCAGAACATCTCTTTCCAAAGACTCGTTCATCCAACGAACAGCAAGGCTCTGGAACACATTGCCAAGGGAGGTGTTTCCCGAGGCATATAACCTCCAGAAATTTGTTGTGCACAACTGATATTTCTGATGTTCGTATTATTCCTCCATTCCATTAATTATCTTCTATTTCTTTGACTTTGTAATATCCTTTTTTCACCAGGTACACGCTCTGCTCGGGTGCGAAATGTAGCGATCCTCGTATACAAAATCAGACGAATCCAACGTAGTTTTCTGTTTATTTTCTTTCAAATATCAATGAAACAAATTTCAATTTTATCGAGAAAATTCCTCTAATTTCTAATGTTCATATCATCTCTCGGAGTTAATGTTAAAAAATCTGGACCATCGCGGAACCATGGCATTATCCTCCAAATTCCAATTTTTTGTTGTAATTTCTTGTTGCACTTTCATATCCCTGCTGAGACGCAAAATGTAACGAGTCATGTATACAGAACCAAATAAATCCACCATTAATGATTTTCAATTTTATCAAGAAAATTTATCTCATTCCAAGAGTTGATGCATGAAAATCTAGTCCATTCCGTTGACAGCAATAATTATTCTTACATTTGGGAAATCATGTTTCTTTCGATTGGTGCTGTCGTGAATATACAAAGCCTCCACTTGACCATGCATTATCCTCCTGATCATATTTTTTGTTTCAATGTCTCGTTGCATATCAAGGTCTCTGCTCGGGCGCCAACTGTACCGATCCTCGTATACATAACTAAATGAATCCAACGTTGTAATGATTCTCACACTGGAGATAATATTATATTCGTTTGTTATGAATCTTCAGGTATTTAAATATCGTTTCTCTTTCTGTAGATACGGCGAGCTGAACGGCAGTCAACAGCAACAGCAGTCTCTGTTCACGCAAGGCGCCGCTTGCAACGTCCTCTACCTCGCTACCATGGACATGGAGTCTTTGACGGGTCCGCAAGCTGTCAAAAAAGCGGTGACTCAGCTCTTCCAGGAATCCCCCCTTCCCAGAACCGCTACCGTGCACTTCAAGGTCAGCGATCAGGGCGTCACGCTCACCGACAACAAGCGGAAACTCTTCTTCCGGCGTCACTATCCGGTGGGGGCGGTTTCGCATTGCGGAGTCGACCCGGATGATCGGCGCTGGTTGGTCGATTCCGAAGAAGCGGGTGCTTCCAAAAGCACAAAGTACGTTCATTCAATTCATTTATTTATTCATTGAAAATGTGTCTTCTCAAGTTCTGGTATAAAGAAGTAGTTAACAATGATATACCGACTTATAAATAATTTGATATTCGGATACATCAATTTATATAAAGAAGATTGAAATGGTTTTTTCATCAAAAACAGTGAATGCGACTAGCTTCATTTGCAAATTTTTCATCGAACTTAAATAGCGTTCTCCACTCGTCGCACTAGCTCGAAGTTTATCGGCACTGAGTACTATCTGAAATAATTGAAATTTGAATGATTATGAATGTCTCATTGAAGTTTATTGCGATAGTTTCGGAAATGATGATTGAAATACAGGTCATCTTCACGAAATATCATTTACCAAAAATTCGAAATCACCTGAAAGCTATTGAAAGCTATAAAGATATGCAGGTATTGAAACATTGAATTGTTGATTCAGTAATGTTGAAAAATAGTGATTTCGTGAATGACAATTCAATGCTAAATCACTATTGTCGACATTCAATTAAACATATTGACAATGAAGAGAACATCTTTATACATAAGACTGTTGCTTGCAGTGTTCACAGAGCACAACAGGAAGATGAATCAATTTTATGTGGACCAGTGGTACCAAATGTACTATCAATCTGCTTTTCGCGATAGAAAATGACACGTCGCCCCACCTGGCGGCAAAAATTTGAACACTTCTGAACGGTTTGTTTCTAAGGTTTGACCTATCATCACAAACAAAAAATAAATGTGAACCAATGATAAAAAGTAAGCAGGCCGTTTTGGCAGCTTTCAAAAACTCCGATAGGTGACGTACACTTATTTTCTATCGCGAATCGTTAATTTAACTTTTTGACTGACAACGCAATTCTGACATTTCTGACGACAAGGAAAAGATAGTTGCACCAATAACACTATATTCCATTCTATTTCTGTTCCACTCATCTGTGCTGGAGCACTATTTGAAAGAACCAAGCCAGCGCCAATTGTGCTTTATCTGTGCTAGTGCGCTCCGTAAATTGGCAAGTGGAAAACGCTTTTAATTTTCCGATTTGAGCTTCCTATGTTGGTTCACATTCTGAAACGGATCACTGAACCACCGATACACGCTCCAGAACGCGCCCAAAGGGATCCATAAAATAGGCCCAAAAACTATCACTATAGAACTATCAATTCTTTCCTTATTCTACTCGTAAATTCAGATACAGAGTTCGTACAATTATTATTTCTACGAAAACAATTGGATCATTTCAACGCGTTGAACGGTTCTTGGTAATTCTTCGTTTCTCTTTAATTGCAAGCTAATGTCGAGAACCCAGAAAGCAAGTAATAGGTATTTATTGACAGTCGCTTACTTATCAAAGATGCCAGCATAAGAAAGTCAATTTGGGTGTTTTTCACAACATATGATTGATGAAAATTGGATCTGCCACCTAGGTACTCAACTGACATTTTCATTATTTTCTAGTCGAATATTCGGCTTCGTAGCAAGGAAACCAAATGTCAGCAACCCCGACAATCAGTGCCATCTATTCGCAGAACTGGAACCAGAACAGCCTGCTACAGCCATCGTAAACTTTCTCAATAAAGTTTTGACTTCCAGTGGAGTAAAACCCAATATAGTGTAGATCAACAGAGGGGAAAAGGGTGCATAAAAGTTAACACATCACACATTCATTATCGTTCTTTCTTTGGCAACTATTCGAAATTATTTTTTTTTAAATTGATTGTCGTTGGTATATGGAAAATATGTAGTTGAATTAAAATCTCTGTGAACGATCCACGTATCGGTTCTTAATAAGATTCAATCAAATCCATGTGAGGAAATTAGTTTTATAATGATATTGATACCAAAAACAACCAACCTAACACATCAGCATTCTTTTATTTCTAATCGTTGCAAACATATTTCGGTTGTTACAAAATTCTGATACCTAGTCTATTTATTTGATGAACATTCTTAGAATAGGAAAATTTTATTTTTAATATCATCATCAATGGAGATATCATATTGCAGATATCTCCAACATGTAAATATTATGATTCAACACTAAGTGTGCCTGTCTGTATTATTTATCAATTTTATTTTTGAAGTATGATTTTTTGGTGAAGTGCTTTAAATATTACAAATATTAGCATTTTTCACGGCCTTTTGAATTCTAAGAATTCTACTGGACCTTGATAGAGTTATTTGTTATGAGAAATTAACAAAACTCGAAACGAAGCAATCAAAATTAGATGCATGCCAAGGTATCGGTAGAGTAAATTCCTTTTATTTTACTTTTACTTTGTCACATTAACCTCATTCATATCTTTCTGAGATTTACATCATTTTCGCCAATTATAAGGTACTATTGATTTTATTTAAATTAGGGAAATGTTGAGTTTTGTATTTTCTACATTTCACTAATTCCGTGTTTATATTAAATGTTGTAAGACCTGAGAATCTCTGATCCACTAATTCAAGTTTATTCATACGAAAATATGTAACTAATTTATTAGTTTGTACCTCACGTTTCATCCATAACTTCCTTATGTAATTTTATTCAGTTTCATTAATAGTACAAATGCGATTAACTCATTTCAATGTTAAACAATCAAATCTGTTGAATAATAATTATATCATCATGATATATGTAATGTTATTAATATAGAAATATTATTATGGTGTATTTAGAGAAAGAAATATATCAAATATATACAAACTGATGAGATGTTCTTATTTTCACACATGAGAGCTTTTTATTTTCGAAGTAAATGAGAATTTTGTTGCCTGGCAATTTGACGAAAAAATCTGCCTCTAAAAAAATTACGAGTCCGTAGGACGAGTAATTTTTTCTGGCAGTTTTTTGAAATGAATTACCTAATGGCAACAAAATTCGAATTATAAATGCCAAGTTTACTTCGACTAACAGAAAAAAAGCTAGAGTGTAATTCGGTAAAACAATTTAATCCATCAAACATTTTGTTTATGGCTGGTTGTCATGCGTTCAAAAGTTAGGGCCCGTTATTGTCGCTGGAGAAGTTAGGGCAAACGCTAACGCTTCGCTGTCATAATGACAAAATCACAGCGGCTTATGGTTTTTTTTCATACATGAGTTAAATAGGAAATTTCACCATGATTTTTTTGAATTTTTATTCACGATTCAGAACACATACTGGATGAATTCAGCATTTTTTCAATTTTCCTACGATTGCGGTTGACCCAGAAAAAAATTATCAAATGAAACCCAAATTCAAACGATATCTCGAATGTGCGCTAAATATTGATGGCATTTCATTGGACGAATACAAGGTGCGTCATACACTTCAGATGGACATTCTCATTGGGTAATTCGTCTTGTCACTTGGTCTTGTCAACATTTGTCATTACATTTGTCACTCAATAAAAACTATAATAGTGATATTCTTCCGTTCTGAACGTAGTTCAAGTGAAATATTTCAGTTAATTAAGATTGAAAGAATATCACTAATATGACACTGATAGATCATGCACTGAAAATGAAATAGTTTGCTTTGTAGCCATTTCTCTCTCAAGTCACAGATCACCCAACCACTCTGTGCTCGAGTTCTGTGTCTGTGGTTTTGTGCAACGCATCCTCTTTGGGTCATCAGAGGGAGCCTCAAGAAAATACAAGTGACGTCACACCGCGAAAAATGGTCGTTTGGGACTCTCTCAATTTGTAGCACTTTTGAAGTATTAATTAAACGGTTGTAAAAGAATCAATAGAGGAGACGAAGTGCTGTTTGATATACTGAGTCATGTATGAGACCGTTTGCCATATAAAAATGCTATTCTCAATCATAGTGAAATTGCCTATTGTCAACAGTATAAGGTTGTGTAGTTGCTTCAGAACTTGTCTCTCTTCGTGACAAATGATAAAATGGTTTTTAAAATAGCAACTTTTTAATGCAAGCAATATTATATACAAATTCTTATGAGGCACAAGTCGAATGTAAATTCAGAATTATGATTTCCCTTTCCTGAATTCCTCTACGGAATTGTTAAGAAGCATAATTTTGCGCCTTATTTTATACTTTCCTCGATTTTCTTTTACGATGGAGTTTCAACATCGAATATTTTCAACAAAATCTTGATATTTTGTTGACTATTGTTGAATTCAATGTTGTAATGGGCAATTAGTAGGCTGGATATTGTCATACAGAAATTAATATTCACGAATTGGCTAGTCAATATCACAAAAAGCAACATTAAACAAGACGTTTTTAAATGAATGGAATGTTGGAACTAAAATATTTCAACTGATCGAAAACTAGCAAGTGTTAGTTCTGCACTAAAATTGAGTATACTTAATTGGACGAGAAGATAAAATATCCAGGATTATAATCATCACTTCTATTCTGCATTCACTTCATCCTCATGGGCAAATTTGAGAAAAACTTGCTCCAATGTCGTTTGGCTGAAACTATACTCTTCTATATCCAGTTCAGTCTTGGCTGAAATGAAGAATGAAGATGAATACGGTGCCTACAAAAATTAATGTGATACTACCTTTTTCTAATTGTAGAAAACAATTCGCTAAAGATGGCACACTGTGTTGAGGTACACTGAATACCAATCTGTCAGCGAAACTCTCCACATAAGTTGCATCGGGAAACAAGGAGAACACAAACTCCCTCAATCGACTGTGGCGATCGCAGTGTTCGGAAGTTGGGGTGGTATCTTCTCCGCCCAACTTCATTTCTAACGTATACCCTGCTCCGTAAAGATTTTTCAGATGTTGCGTCGAACCAAGACATCTAAAAGAAACAGTTATATTGTAACAAATCTGGGTGGACTGGATCTCAATCCGATCCAATCCAGTTTATTTGATACATCTGAATAACACCGAAAAATTCAAGGGGTGATTCCTTGTGACATTCCAGGAAATAAACTTCATATTAACATGTGTCCTAACTTGCTTCGTTTCCTATTTATATTTCAATTGTCTTTTCATCAATTTCAATAAAACGTTGTGGTTTTGTTAATAGTAATATGGAGCTTCTTCTAGTGCAATTAGATTCGAAATGATTTTTCCAGTGGAGTCACAGTGGATAAATTTATCAATATTCATAGTTAATGTCATTGTACACCACCGGTTTTTCAGAGTTTCATATTTTCACATATTTTCACTAGATTGAACTATTGCAATAACAACTTTTTAATTCTCTGTATGATTTTTGTATTCTTGAATTCCTATCTGACATTAAGTATATTTTTATAGCCCCAATAAAATTAACAGAATCACATACAGGGGGAAGATAATGTTTGTCATTAGATCAACCAGAAAACCCTTGATAGTAGTCCGTAGGAAATATTGCGAGCAGCCACAAGAAAGAAAACTCTACTTTCTTTATATTATTCGAGAATCAATGGAAGCTAATGGCTCACTGCAACTAAATTCAAGCAATGTTCACGATTCCAGTTTACTCACCTCAACTCACCCTTTACCATAATACCAACTCTAGAACAGAGAGCATCTGCTTCTTCCATCGAATGAGTTGTGAGGATAGCTCCTCTAGACCCCTAAAATAGAACAAAAATATTCTTTTAGGGTAATTGAAAGTGTTAAAAGACCATCGAAAGTTGTTGTTCAATGGAAAGACTCACTAACCACTGGTGGGAAAATTTTTTCCGCGAGTGGCCAGAAGAATGAATTGAATTTTGCGGGAATAACAAAAAATGAAAAAACACTAAATTTCGTTAGACAGTCGTTTATGATGCAGAGATGCTGTCGGTTAGAATCCTGCTATGACTCTTAACTTTTGAGATACAGGGTGGATATGTACAAGATAATGACTTCGAAGAAGAAATATTGGTAGAGAAGACCTACCTATGATTTTTGATGAAGTCAGACTGGAAGATATCCCATATTAAAATTCAAAACTACCTAAGAATGGATGGGAGATGTTTCAGATCTTTATCAATCCGTATATACGCGTGAACGTATGCCTGCAGAAATGAGGTGAAATCATGACAAAATCTCTCAAACAGCTAGGTCTCTCCATGTAGTGGTCGACGGAGTTTCATCTGACTCTCTTAAATGCTGGTGTTCCGCAAGGATCAAGTCTAGCACCAATACTATTTCTACTCCATATCAACAATTCGTTGGAAGCATAACTTCATGTCCATTGCACAGCTTCGCGGATGATAGTACCCTCCATACCGCCTTCTCTTCCAAGGCTCCAATACCAGCCAGGCAAATCAGAAACGATCTAGGGAGAAATGTTGACAACATAAATGTGGACTTGGCAACAACTCTCGAATGGAAATCCAATAACTTGGTAGATTTCGATGCAAACAAAACACATGCATGCCTTTTCTCTAGAAAAGCCGATCCCACTGTGACCAACATGAGTTGGTCAGGAGTAACCATACCTTCGAAGACATCCATTTCGATGCTTGGTATTACTATCAGCAATAACCTTCCCTGGAAAAATCACGTGAGATCAATTGCTAAAAGTGCATCCCAAAAACTTGGTTTGCTGTTTCGAGCCAGGACCAATTCCACTTCCAGTCAGCTATGATCTATAAGGCACAGATTCGACCTATCCTTGAATACTGTTCCCATATTCGGAGTGCAGCACCCAAACATATCCTGAATGTGTTGAATTTTGTCCAAAAAAGGGCAATTCGTCTCGTGGGTGATGCCTCGCTCACAAACTCACTCACTTCTCTGGAACACCGCAGAAAAGTTGTCCTTCAATTGTCCTCCCTTGGCAGTCTTCGCGAGATTAACCCGTCGAGTTGAGGCTTCGCACCCCTTCGTGGTCACATTGGAGACCTGCAGAACATCTCTTTCCAAAGACTCGTTCATCCAACGAACAGCGAGGCTCTGGAACACATTGCCAAGGGAGGTGTTCCCCGACCTCCAGAAATTCAAGAAGAACACCAATTCCTACCTTATTTCCATTGGTTCTCACGATGTTCTCTGAACATTACAGGATATCCCGTTTCGTGGGAACCAGAACATAAAAAAAAGTCAACCAAGCATGAATTTGGGATTGAAGCAAGATAAAATTACTCCTTTATTCATCCGAAATGGTCCTCAGTTCAATTACCAGGACAGGCATTTTTGAAGTACCTATTGATAATATTAATGATAGTATTTCTTGTTAATTCCTAAGATATAAAATAATGATCAATGAAGAAAACATGAAAACAAACATCTTAACCTTATTGTTTGATCTGACATGACAAATATTTCGAACAATTAGTTCTAGATTTCAGCTGCTGTTTGACGTGACGTCACTGATGACATCACAGATCTGTAGTTTGATCAAATTGTTGGACCGTGAGACACAGCCTTAAATCGCTTACCTGAAAACTCGCCAAAATGGTGTCCCATAGAAAACGTTTACTCCTGGGATCCATCCCGGTACTGGGCTCATCGAGAAGCACCACTTTAGGACTACCCACCATGGCCATAGCGAAGCTCAGCTTCCTCCTGGTACCGCCGGAGCAATGCTGTGTCTGCTTGTCAGCATGCTCGCGTATTTGCAGGCCGTCCAAATATTTGTCTATTATTCCGGGGATATGTCTGCTCGGCACTCCCCTAATGGCGGCGTAGCATTGGAGATGCTCGCGCACAGTTATGTTCTTCCAAAGGGCATCATGTTGGGGACAGTAGCCCAGCAATTGGAATGCCGAGTTCACGTTGGAGGTGATGCACTCACCGCCGATTTTCACCTAAAAGTTGATGAAGATATACCGTGAAACAAGGTTACTTCAAAAAATTATTTCAGTAAAATATCTGCACTTTATAAGAAAGCACTGAAAGTATTGTATCGCCTCTCATTTGATATCCCAACAAATGATCTGTATGCCATAACAGAAACATTCTCATTGGATGAATTATATAAAATAGGTTCTCTTAAAGTTTCATATAATATAATAAACAATAATCTGAAATCCAATTTTATTTTGATAAGAAACTCAGAAATTCATGGTCATCACACGAGACAATCAAACTTATTTCGTCTCGATTCTGCTACTTCTATAATTGGCCAAAGAAAATTTACTCACGCTGCTCTAGCTGAATTTAATAAATTAACACATAATATAAAAAATTGCAGACATATTTCAAAATTTAAAATTGAATTAAAAAAATACATGATTTCATTACGAAATAAATAAAATTTATACTTTGCCATCTATTGATTAGTCCCTGTGGCTATTTTTATGACTTGATCGATTAAGCATTTTTAGATTTTTTAGATATTTTTTTGTTGTTGTTGTTGTCACCTTATATTATTTTATTATTGTTGTTTGTAATCAACTTCCTCATACCAGAATTTTATTTCTGACTGGAAGCTAGTTTTTTTTTTTTCAATAAACAATAAACAATAATAGCACACAACGTCATAGGGACGTCCCTATTTGGTACAATTCAAGTCCGAATGTTCCGTACCAAAAATAAGTGTCCTTGGGACGTCCCGTACATCTCAAGCAATGTTCGAGCAATAACGTCCACAGAATGTACCAGCAGGTACATCATTTCAAATGTCCTAGAAATAGCATCCCTTAGACGTCCCACGTGGTACATATTGTAGAATGTCCATGCAAGGATGTCCTTGGCATGTCCCTGATGGGATATGATTTCAAACGTTCCTTCAGGGACATCCATTGGATGTCCCGAGTAGTACATATTCTGAGATGACTTCAGATCTCATATAATGTCCCTTCTAGACAACCATGAAATGTCCCTGATGGTACATTCCTTCAAATATATCTGCACGTCCAATGGGCGTCCACGGTACCAATTTCGAACGTCCTATGGACGTCCTGAATTTCTCGACGGGACGTCCTAAGGATGGGACATAATTGTATCATTAGAGTTTGGCACCGGGGCTCAGACAGCATAGAATATTCTATGAATATTCTGACAACGTTCAAATATTATATATTTTAGAATATATTTATAGAATGTTCTCCGAATGATCGTAGGATATTCTAATCCTGCAAACAATATTCAATGAACATCCCATTTGACATATTCTCAGAATATATTTTCTTTGATATTCTGAGAATATTCTTTTCGAATATTCTGAGGATATTAAGAATCGTATCAAAATCTCACTTCTAATGGAAACACCCCTGTATCTTACGTAACCGTTGGGTAAGGATACTGAAATTTGCTGGAGCGTGAGATATACAAAAAAATGCACTCTATGACCAAGTGGGGTCATCTTCAGTGATTTACACTGCTCGCCAACAGCCATGGAACCACTCCAATTTCCGGAAATTGATATTAGGATGCCAAATAGGTTGAAAACCACTTCGGAATCGGAATCAGCACGCCCAATTCACCAACTATTCATATTTTTTCTGAAAAAATTCCAGTTCTGAAAAATTCATTTTTGTCGATACGAGTAATGAGTTTGAATAATTCATCTTGCACGAATTACAACACTTCCCTTCATTGGTATATACAGTGTGTCTCACAACTAATGGAAACACCCCCGTATCTTACGTAATCGTTGGCTTAGGATCCTGAAATTTGTGAATATCACTGATGGTAATTTAAATTGGTCATTGACTGTATCTTTGGAATATTTCTTGCTCTTGAAAATTTAACGATACTAACTCGATAATTACGTAAGATACGGGGGCGTTATTACCATGACAAGAGAGACAAAAATGGAAATTTCAGAACTGAAATTCCGAATCCAATGAAGGGAAGTGTTGTATTTAGTGCAAGATAATTTATTCAAATTTATTACTCGTAGCAGAGGGCTATCGACTGTTGAGTCTGACTATTGTTTGAATACCCAGGTTAATTTGAACAGACCATAATATATTCCACTCCATAGAAGGTTAAAATAGCCTAATAATTAATTCACTCATAATATTTTCCCACAGAATTATCAAAAACTCCTTTTTTTCTATGATGATTTAATTAGATATCCAAATCAGCGATTTGTACACCATCTTTCCAAGCAGTTTACCATAACACTGAGAACACCAATAGTTTCTTTCTTTTCTTTTCATATTCCAGAGTTGGAGTGGTTTCTTGATGTTTCAATTTCGTGAGTTGTGGAAGTTCTCATAAGACTTTTCACTTCCTTCACAGTTGGAAGTTTGAGTTTTCACAAAGATTTCTAAGAATAATTCGTCACAAACCGGATTCTCAAACCTTTTTTGTGTTAATAAGTTGCCAGACAAATGAATTAATGCAACTTTTGATTACATCTGGAATAACTTTTGTGAGCTCTCATAAGGCTCAACTAGGTTTCCCTGGTGTATACACTTGAATTGTTGCATTTTGATAATCCAGACTACTGAGTGACATGTTAGTTAGGTTCTCATTAGACCAACAAAACATTCGCTCCTCAGGGACTTAGTTATCTTTTCCCGACTTCATATTGTTTATCTTCGCCTAATTGTTTCATGACAATAATCATTCTTGATTATTCCTTTGACACATGTCATGTCTTGGATGTCATGTCATGCATGTCAACTTCAAATTTGCCTCCATTATTCCAGTACGTTCAATGACAATAAAACCAAGGTAAGTCACTCATCAAGTTCACTTCAACACGACATGTCGCAATGGCTGCTTATCAGAATGTAATCTGTATTTTACCCCCTTTTGGGAAACACATTTCAATATGTTTGTACCGTATCTTACCATAATGTCGATAGTTTCAAACTGGACCAGAGATATTTTCATGGACAAATTCCCTTGTTAACCTGACGAGTGAGTAACCTCACTTTTATCGATTTCCAAATTCGTATTTAACTATTTCCAATTTTCGATTTCATGATAATGTATTTTTCAAAATCAAGAGTTCATCAACAAGTAACAAGTCACCAATTTAATTCAACCTTTTTTTCATTATCTAATTTTCAAAATGAATTTTTTTTTTCAAAAAAACGTTATTTTTCAAACAAATTTTTTTAAATTTCCAATTTTTTTCCAATAGCTAGAAGCAGATTAATTACTCACAGGTATGCACTGATGATGACTTAACTGTCGAAAGCGCTCTGCTACGAGTAATAAATTTGAATAAATTATCTTGCACGAATTACAACACTTCCCTTCATTGGTATATACAGTGTGTCTCACATCTAATGGAAACACCCCTGTATCTTACGTGTTCGTTGGGTAAGAATCCTGAAATTTGCTGGGGCAAGAGATATGCCGAAAATGCACTGTATGATCAAGTGGGGTCATCTTCAGTGATATACACTGCTTGCCAACAGCCATGTAACCACTCCAATTTCTGGAAAATTATATAAGATACACTAACTATTAATATTTTTCCTGGAATTTTCAGTTCTGGAAATTCCCTCTTTGTCCTACTTTTCATGGAAACACCACCGTATATCTTACGTAATCGTGGGGCTATAAGATCCTGAAATTTTCTGGATCGAGAGATATATGTTCTTCTCATTTCATGATTTTGTTATGTAGTTAATGAAGTAGTTTCTTGCACAGAGTGCTTTATTACTGATAACTTTGTTTAATATTGTACTTGCTAGGTCAAGTGTAAGAGTAGCCATTGGCTAAACTACGCCTATCTTGTACCTGTTCAAATAAAGACGATTCATTATTATTATTATCATTATACCAAAAATGTACTCTATGACCAAGTGGAGTCAACTTCAGTAATATACACTGCTCGTCAACAGCGTTGCAACCACCCCCATTTCCGGCAAAGGGTGTTAGGAAGCAATTTAGGTTGAAAATCACTTCGGATTCGGAATTTCAGTTCTGAAAATCATTGTAAGGTCCGAATTTTTACCCTTCCTCCTGTAGGGGCTTCTTCTGCTGTGATAATTTTCATCGTAGTTGTTTTTCCTGCTCCATTGTGTCCAAGAAGACCGAATACTTCTCCTGCATCGACTGCTAGAGATAGGGAATTGATTGCCACTTTAGATGTTTCGCTTTCTTTTCCAGATTTGCCACATTCGCATAGTCCCGAATCTCGTTTGACATATTCTTTGTGTAGATTCTGAAATATTGCATCCTACATTGATACTGCCTCGAAAAATGTAGCAGATATTTAGGTTTATTTATACAGGGTGAGTAATGACTAACCAGCCATAGCCTAATGGCGGATAGAGGAAGTCAAGATGAGTTAATATACCGGGTGTCCCAGTATACCTGTTCCAATAGATTTTTTCAGCCATTTCGATGAAAATTTGAAAATTACATAATCTACTACAATTCTAATAATTTTTTTTTTCGGAATAAATCGCTAATGATATTTCGCAATTTTCAACATGAAAGAAATAACATAGTATTATGCCCTGTAGATTGATATTTCATTTTGCAAATTTGTGTAAACGTATAGATCTCCGGATAGTCCTTCTGCTGAAACAAAAAAAAAAGAAATCGGTTAAAAACTAAAGATTTAATAAGGGTGCTCCGGTCTTAAGTGGGTCACACTGTATCAACTCACAGTGACTTATTCTATCCGCCGTTAGGCTATGGCTAGTTAGACATGACTCACCCTGTATAGTTATTCTTACCTCAACCATCACTACAGGAGGATGGGCTATATGGCATTGCATCAAATTCATTACTTTCTGTCGTTCGGCTTTAACATCTTGGTCTTCATATTCTCCAATATAATTCATATCATCATCTGCGTCTTTCTCAGGTGGTTTGCGATTAGTCTGAAGCAGTTTGGAAATGTGAAACTCAGTGCATACTTACCTATTTCGATAGATAGTATACCTTGGACATTTTGAATATATCCTTCAGTTTTCCACCAGATTTCTTGACATCGATCACGAGCAGTAAAAAATACCAGATCGGTATGTGAAGGAGAACGCTGACAAACATCACGATGATTTCATCCGTCAAATAATGTGATAAAGTAAGTTGAGTACATCCAAAATATGGTTTGCACATGACATCGACTTTTTGGACATAATAAATAATACCATAAGGTAAATACAAGGAATTGAAAAGAGAAAATATCACATGTAATATAAAAGCGGTTTTACCACCTGAAACAACACCTGAAACAATACAATCATCGATTAGAGCAATGCTCTTGGTGTAAGTATACCAACAACTTACCCGAGATAGAGACCAAAACAAATGGTATGCAACCGTACAACGTTGCAATATTTGGTAGAATCGATTGTGCATTGTCAGTCTTATCAAATACATAACTGACACAAGTACTGAACAGTATTGAGGATGGGCAGTAAAGAAACAATAACACCCCTAATGTGGTCAATGCGGGCCAGGAAGTGAGAGACGTTGTTTTAAATAAGAGCATGATGATTACAAGTGCAACGCAAATGAACACCATGACTGCTGCCAATACTATGAAATAAGTTACAAAATACATCGAGAAGGACAGACCGTTGACACGAAGCTGATTTTTTGCTTTTATCTAAAAATACAGAAAACATTCAATTATTATAGGCACATGTGATACAAAATACAATATTTCATTATCGTAGATCTTGTAATACCTCATCAAAAAGTAAGAATTCATAAGGTACACCTAACCTTTTAGTATTTTTTATAATGATATATTAGTTTTGATCATGTATCCCTAGTTTGAACAATAATTATATTTTTCGAGGTGATAAAGACAATCAATTCTTCAATATCGACACAAGAATATGGATCTGAATATAGATAATAGAAAATACCTTATACAAGGTGGAGAACATGTCATTGAATTAATAATTGTGTATATAGACAATACAGAATACATAAAAAAATAAACAGTAAGCTTATGCTGAAAAAAAAAAAGATAATATAGACACATAGCACATTTTGGGTCTATACAAAAATAAATGAATACATATACATTGCTACACACATGCACAAATATACATGGTCCTTCCAGCATTTTATCGTCACAGATTAAAAATTGTCTTTGAGATATTCTTCAATAGTATAATAAGCTGTTGAAGTTAGAATTGTTTTCAATTTGATCTTGAATTTCTTGCTGGGTAGCAATCTCAATGATTTTCAGAGCTTATTGTAGATGCTAATAATAGAATAAGGAACATTCCTCTGAATATATGATAAGTTAGTTTTTATATTTAACAGATGGTATTATTTGTATGCGTTTTGTTTTGCCCATTAAAGAGTGTCATATTTTTATGTAAAATCATGACACCTTCGTAAAATGATACTCGATAAACTCACGAAATAACAATATTATTGATGATATTGTTCGATAGAGTCGATTGTCGAATGGTGTTTAGAAATTATGCATGGTATGAAAAACCAAATATCCAAAGATATTGAACAAAGTAATTGATTCCATTAGATTTCCAGGATTAATTCATTCCCGTCACCTTTTGCTCGGCCTGGAATCTTTTCAATTTTTTGCTTCTATAGACTTATCGGTTGTGAATATTCTCACTGAAAGAGAAACAGCTTTTCTCTCAAATCCTAAGGTTGCATTTCCACGCAGGTTTAATTTCGAATGACTCTCTTAAATTTACTAGGATATTGCTCTGAAACTTTGCAGGCAGTTTCTCAAGTGATAAACCGATACACCTTCTTTTTCACAATCTGTAGATCACTCTGTATACTCTTGATTGACTATTAGGATAAAGGGAAATTCATCAGGGTGATACTTACTTCTCTGTCGTAAACCATATCGATTGCAAAACTGATTGGAAGGAGAGCAAAAATCATTCCCATTGTAAAAGTTGCTGTATACGAACCAAAGTTGAAATCCGGTTCAGTGATTTGAAGAAACGATTGGGCTCTAACCGTAATTGGGCTCCAGTTTGTATCGTTGTGACCCTCAATATTAATAAGCCTGAAAGATATCAAACATCATATAGTGTCGATTTATTAGGTCCCTAGAATGTATTCTCTCACCTGTATATGGCATTATTGATGGTATTGATGATGATAGGTAGACTATGCTGTTGGGTATCGTTGTAAAGCACAGTAATACTATATTTCAGGTACTGAAATTCATCGATGACCAGAGCCGCCATATGTGGTTCTGCATAAAGTAGCGATGAAAAATTTCCGTCATAACTAGTCAAGGAAGTGACTCCCAACATATTCAAATTCGTATAAAAACTATACAAATCGACTTCTTGTTCATTAAGAACAGCGATCGATGTTTCCCCATAAGTACTAGAGTTCAAAGCTAATGGATGCATTTTCGTGGGAACCCGCTGGGTACTGTTGAAATAAAGTCCCAGAGTAGCTATAGCTAAGGGCAATAGGATCACGAAATATAATTTTTGTAAATCGCGAATCAATCGTAAAATTCTCAACCGCAAAAGTGCTGCAAAACTTTGCAGACAATTTGAGCGACATTCTATCTTTTCCAATCCAATGCCTATAATCGGTGATTTTGTTTCACTGATGATTTCTAGTCCTCCCATTTGAGTTGTATCGATAGTATCTGAAATAAATATTCATAATATAAGATCAATGAATTTTTGTGAAAATTCCACACCAGTGATTTTCAAACAGTTACATTGGGTTTTAATGACAAATTACCATAGTAACGTATGTATTTTAGTGGATTTTTTTTCTCGTGGGTACCCACCAGCGTATGAAATCGGAAATCATTTTATGACGTTTTGATGACCGAATAATATTTTGAAGTCCTAACTGCATCTACACTCAATTCCAAAGAAAGTGACGCACTTGATATTTGACCTATCTTCTTAAAAAACAAAAACAAAAAGTAGTAGGCCGATTATTTTTTTTATTTGTTGGTGGGTAATGATTGTATTTGCTTAAAAAAAAAATAAAGAGGTGAACATTTTTTCAAAGCCTCCTTGATGGTGGTGGAATAACTCGAACCATGATTTATTCTTAATTTTTTATTCACGCTGTGTGTTAATTGAGTAATGGCATAGAAAGTGCTTACACCCTATACGAAAGAGTCTTTTTTTGCGAGCATTTTGTTTTTTTATTCATTGATTTATCTCCAAACTTTTCCGAATTGCAGCTTCTTTTGCTGAATTCTTGCAGATTACCAACTTTCTGAGTTCATCGAGAAACAATTTTCTAATGGAATAAACTGATACCAATAGTTTTAAAAAACATTTTTATTAAACACAAAATTATAAATTGGGATGACTGCTTAATACCGTGTATTGCCTCCTCTAGCAACTCTAAGAACTTATAATCTACGAGGCATACTGGAAATTAAGTTGCTTATCGTTTCCATTGGTATACAATATCCCATTCTTCCACTAATGCATCTGCCATTTCTGCGAGACTTTCAGGAGACCTCTCGCGAGAACGTACCCTTCTTCCTAATCCATCCCACAAATGTTCTATAGGATTCATATTGGGGCTTCTCGCAGGCCATTGTAATGTGGTAATACCAGTAGCGTCTAAGAAGCTTCGCACTAATGCTGTAGTATGTGGTCGGGCATTATCCTGCTCTAAAATGTCAATGTAAATCTGGGCATTCCTCGACTGCCTCACCTGAAAAACATGAAGGGGTGTCTTTCCATTCATTGAAATCCTTCCCCACACCATAACGGACCCACCATCAAAACTTTCGCATTCTGTTATCAAATTTTGATTAAACCGTTCACCAGTTAATCTCCACACTCTCATTCTTCCATCAACCATGTTAAGGAAAAACCATGACTCATCCGTGAATAAGACATTCGGCCATTCAGGAATATTCCACTGTCCATAATTTTCAACAAAATCTCTTCTAGCAGCACGATGTTCGGGCAATAATTTGGGACCTTTTGCAGGTCTCCTAGCTTTCAAATTAACTTCTTTTAGACGTCTACATACCGTCTGCTTACTTACTGCAACATCACGAATTTGGCGAAGATCTTGCTGCACCTTTACCGCAGTATTTGATCGATTCCGTAAAATCCGCAATCTCAAGAAGCGATCATCTCTTGGAGAAGTTTTTCGGGGGCGACCAGAACCGACCCTCCGAGCGGTGCTTCCTGTTTGTTCGTACTTGCGGATTGCTCTACGAGCAGTTGCTTCATGAACTCCCACTGCACGAGCGGCGTAACGTTTACTACGCCCATCGTTTACTAACGCATCTTGCTACTTGTTCAGGATTTATTTGAGGCATTTTATGTAATTTTAGTCAATGAAACAAGACACTCAATTAATGACACAACGACAAATGGTCAAATATGGAGGCATAAAACAAATTAGTTGCTATGGCAACGGCATTTGTTTTTTTTTAAGACAAAGTGATCCTACCAGAGTACAACCCAATCAATTTTGAGTACTCTGATCCTTCAATAAATTTAATTTGTGGGATAAGCGTGAGGTATCAGCAAAAAAGCTGTAATTCGGAAAATTTCAGAGATAAATCAATGAATAAAAAAACGAAATGCTCGCAAAAGAAGCATCTTTCGTATAGGGTGCAAGCACTTACTCAATCAACACACAGGGTAAGCCAAAAATTAGGAATAAATCATGCTTCGAGTTATTCCCACCACCATCAAGGAGGCTTTGAAACAATTTTCACCTCTTCATCTTTTTTTCAAAGACAAATGCATTACCTACCAACAAATAGAAAAAAATAAAAATCGACCTACTATTTTTTATTTTTAAGAAGATAAGTCAAATATCAAGTGCGTCACTTTTTTTGGAACTAAGTGTATTATATAGAACCTGGGCCAGTGTATATCTCGTTATGGAAGGTTAAAATTCGAAATCACCATGGTACTGATACGCTTCAACAGGAAGATCAAATTATTACTGAGGTGAACGGACATACTGACCTTCATCAGGAATCCACAGAGGTTCGAAAAGGAGAATTAGGAGAAGGAATAGTAGATATTATGTGCACATGACGTGTGCAACAGGGGTCGGCAAAAAAGGCTCACTGGGGCCTACTTGCAAGGTGATTGCCTCCCCTTTCTCTACTACTACTAGTATGTACCTATACATAGGAAAAATTAATTGACAAAATTATAATTTCTTATCACTTGTAGTATCCCGAAGTTAATATAAAATGGAAGATTATAATATTGTCAAGAATGGATAAAAACTATAATTTTATTGAGAATATTTGAAATTCTCATTTCATTCAAGAACAGTACAATAACCTAGTCTAGATCATATTCTTAGAATTATTTAGCTTATAGGATATCAGTAGAGAATTACGACATTTAAAGGGAATTATGGTTCGGATTTCAATTTTATTATTATTCAAGTAAAGTCGCTGACGGGCAGAAACTGCTGGTTTTGGATTTTTTCTAATCGAGGTGAAAACACTAGTTTTTATGCTGAATCACTTACCACTACCAAAACCAAGATGAAAAAGTATTAGAGAAAAAACCGGCAGTTGTGGTTCGAGCAGTGGACCGTAAAGTCTTTTCGAATCTTCTAATAGAAGTAAATCTCAAACTTATTTGCATCATGTCTAAACTTCGTGAGTGGCAGTTCAATCCTTCAACGAAGAGCGAGCCCTTCTGTAAGTACCTTTTTTGAGTATTATTAGTTTTAGTTTTCCTGTTTTGTTTCGATTCTAGTTGGATGTATCTTGCTGGATAATTAATGGTCAATTTATTTCATGCCCTGATTGTTTTTATTCAAAATGAATAAACTTGTGAAGTGGAGTTAAATTATTTAGTTATCATTTTCAAAAAAACCTCTTGCAAGCGAGTAAGTTCGAGTTGCGATAGTGGGCGTTAGAGCCACTCGTGACAATATGTTACATTTTAAACTATTATTTTGTTGCAAATATATTATATAGGTAGAAATCAGGAATCTATCATTGGTACCGAAACTGCGACCCAAACTGACTTTATACATGAACCTGTATGCAAATCAAATGAACAAATTAATTCCAAAATTATTTAATTTCCAAACACAATCTGGTGTGGAATTTTCTTACCGAATACCACACGAGGTTAAATTACTTTCCGGTCGTCTTCTCAGAATGATTTTCAAAATATCCATGAGCTCGAAAAAATTTCCGGAGATAATTCGACCTCTAGTGGGATCACAAGTGATAATTATTACGTACCTGTACCGTCACCAGAACATGAATTGTGACTTTCATTCTGTAAGGATTGATAACTGGTACTCTTACTCTGTAAACTTAAACTTCGACTAAGTGCTCTGTTCCTTACAATTCTCTTCGATAAATTATCTACTGTGTCAACAGGTTCTTCGTCTCTTTCGAGATGGAGAAAAACTTCTTCAAGGGTCGTCATTGAAACTCCATAACTTGATATTCCTGAAGGAAAATAGTCCAATAAATAAAGGGAAAAAGTTAACATTAATTACGCACTATTTTCATCTTCCGGTTGGAAGTAGCTTTTGGTACCTCATTAAACATGAGCCAAATTTTGACTGGAAAACGCGTGCGATGCCGGAGAAAATGGCCCCAAAAGACCAGAAAAATAGGTTTTCAGCCAATATCTCCTAAAATATGGCAGTTAGAGATTTTCGGTTCGGATAAAAATTGAAGTTCAGTTAATTTTCTACAAAAATGGTCCTTATCATTTTTCTCGAAAATTTGCCCGGTTTCGAGAAAAACGGCACGAAGCGCACCTCGAATAATGAGCTTCTGTTGTATGCCGGAGAGCACAGTCCGTGTATTTACACATCGGCGGGGGGACAAATTATTCAATAACTTTGTTAAAAATGCGTATTTTCTCATGATTCAAAGTTCATGTGAAAGAGGAATTCTGCTGCTATCATATCCTGTGGATTGAGTCACGCTCGACTCTTTTGGCCATATCGGAACATGGGTCAAACTTTCTGTTCCCGGTCAATTTTGACCTCCCCAGGAATTTGTTCCTATTTTTTTTTGTATTGCACTAATTTTCTCAAAATTTTCTTGATTATGGGTCCTCATAAGGTCCTTTGTCATCCCTGAAATTTGTATACCCTATTTTTTTTTAATTTTCATTTAATCTTTGATTATTGAATCCCAATTTTTTGCTGTTTTTATGGAGCGCGGGGAAATTTTGTGAACAACCATCAATTAAAAATTTATACATGATCCGATTGGTTTCTATGATACATCATTTGAAAGCTAAGAAGGTCTACTTTTCGATTGTGCAATTACTTTTTTGGACGAAGTCGTCCATTTTTCAATAAAATTAGAAAAAGCGGGGTCAAGGAAAAAACGCACTTTTTTTCGGTGTTTTTTTTCTCCGTGCTCTTTATTTCTAACATTTTAACACCTTAACTAGTGTAACAGGGAAATTCCCACCTTTCCATCGATGTATATAAGGCATACCTTTGATATCCCGGGATAAAACCAGTATATCTAAATGTACACGCTATAATTTATTACTTTCGTTCCTCCGTCGTTCGCCGCGTGTGTGCTCTACGTGGCGCTCGGGTCGTCTGCTACAAACCATGCGGCCACGCAGGTTATGATAGCAGCAGAATTCCTCTTTCACATGAACTTTGAATCATGAGAAAATATGCATTTTTAACAAAGTTATTGAATAATTTGTCCCCCCGCCGATGTGTAAATACACGGACTGTGCACTCCGGCATACAACACAGAAGCTCATTATTCGAGGTGCGCTTCGTGTCGTTTTTCTCGAAACCGAGCAAATTTTCGAGAAAAATGATAGAGACTATTTTTGTAGAAAATTAACTGAACTTCAATTTTTATCTGAACCGAAAATCTCTAACTGCCATATTTTAGGAGATATTGGCTGAAAACCTATTTTCCTGGTCTTTTGAGGCCATTTTCTCCGCCATCGCACGCGTTTTCCAGTCAAACTTTGTCTCATGTTTAATGAGGTACCAAAAGCTACTTCCAACCGGAAGATGAAAATAGTGCGTAATTAACGTTTTTGCCTTTTTTTCCTCCTTCATTTATTGGACTAAAATTGGAAAAAGTAAAAGCATTGTTATGTCGCGATTTTAACTGAGTGCGATGTTTAGTATCACATACCCAATTTACTCGTTTTATTGTTTATCTCCTGTTCTATAGCTGAAAAGAGAGACGCGAACTTTTCCACTGCATTATGAGGTAAAATGAAACTCAGCTCTCTGCCATGCCGTCTGGCCTTTTCAGCCTTGGAAACGTGAGTTTTCACCAATCGATTGATGGCCTGCTCTTTACAAATTCCCTCAAGCACCAAGGTGAGGTGATAGCCGATTCCAAATTTATTCTTGAGAAAAAGTGAGCTGCCACAGCACCTTATATTGCCTTTTGAAACAACTGCCTTCCTGTCAGCTGAAATTTGAATAAAAAGTGAGGAAACCTATAGTAGATTATTTTATCATACACTCAGTGAAAAGAAAAAATAACACCAGTTCAGACCAGCTAACACTCTTGGGTTATCCCCTGAGGTCCTGATTATTTTAGTGAGAATCATTACTAGACTACCTACTACCTAGTGCAAATTTGATCGGTTCGTGTTATTCAACACCAAAGTGGTGTACTATTCAATCATTTGGTGATTATTTTGACACTGTATCTGTTGCGTTCTTGCTTCTACTGATAATATTATGATATGCGAATACTTTTCGGATATATTTACGATGTGAAAACACACTTATTGAGTGTTATCACGATGAGAAGCGGTGCATTCTTGTCTGCATCTGAGTGTTGAAAAACACGACTCTGATATAGTAACATCAGTATTGAGAGTATGAAATAATCCATTGTATAGTGAGAATTGAGACATTACAAAATATCTCTGAGCTGATGCTATTTGATGACTGTCGAGAGACGAGCGTCGAAGAAGCGCTAGTGTCGCCATCTATCAAGATATTTACCCAGTATTTTTCTGTGCAAAAATTCATACTTTGATATACAGTTTTATGTTTCAATCTCTGCTTCGATATAAGTACTCTATATAGCTTCGCAATCTCAACATCATCATATAATTATTGATGAATCAACCCAAAATTTATTTGATGCATTATAATTTCATGAAATCATCCGTTCTTATTGTTATCTATCAATCTGGATACCGAAATTCGTGGATGATGATAAACCTCCACAATTTTTATCCATTCCTCAATGAGTTTTGGTTTATTTACGGGGGGTAATTTCAACATCAGCAACATTATTTATCCACTTGGGAGAATGCAAGATGATGAGTAAATGATATTAGCCCCAAATCTCATTATTCATACATGGTTTTGATTTTTTCTTGATTGGTCAGGATGTTACTGAGTGTTAATTTCATATAATGACTGTATTTTTTTACCACTATCGGAAGTTAATACTTTTCATCTTTTCGGTGTTTCTTTTGAATGGATATTTCAGAACCGCTCCCAATGACCACATCCGTGCGATTTTTCACTATGAAGGTGTAAATTGACACCACTGTACACGATATTATCGAATTTCTAATAATATTGATATAATATTGCTAATCAAGTGTTGATTCTATCGGAGTTACTCTTGAAATCCACTCTATTGAAATTACACCCGAAATTTTTTTACTGTAGATAATCTGAACGTGTAATTTGTAATTTGAACGTGTAGGTATTCTCCATCAGTGGATTTTCAATCAGATTATATCTTGATCATTGATTTCGAAACGATAACCAATATATAGTTATACTACAGGCTACATAACAATGAATATACAATGTGACTCATTCATAAAGCGCAAAAAATGTATGCCGACAATCCTAAGCGCTGAAACGAATTGATGAATGATGGGGATTGCAATGTTCATGTATATAATTTCACCATAGCCATCTTTGAAGAGGAAAGCCGCGGTGATCCCAGTCTGGCAACACTGTTCAAAAGGTCTATCTCCATTTGCAATTGCGATATATGGTTTTTGGGTGTATGATAAATTAAATGCGAATTCTCAATGTATTGCTTTGTATAAATATATATCCATTTCTGTATGTTCATAATTCATCTGAGAATATTCCTTTTGCGATATATGGGTTCTGGATGTAATAGAGTGATTATTTTTAGTTTTCAAGTGGAAATTGATGTGTTAACAATGTGAAATATTGTTGAAAGCCGGTAAAAAAAGTGAAGAATATTCTAGTGATCGAGTTATAAGTGAAGGAGTGTGTGTTTGTATGTGTAAGTCTCATCAAAAATTGTTTTTGAATCGAAGTTATGTTTTTTGTTGCCTTATTTCTGGGAGCAAAGTAGGTAAGTTCAACCTTTTTCATAAAGAGCTGCCAATAATAATTGCTGTGTGACAGTAAGTCAAATTACGCATCGGAAAAGAAATTTTTCCAGGAAGATGAAGAACTGCGAAAAAAGTGGATATCTTCGATACCTCGTAAAAATTGGTCCCCATCTCTACATTCCGCAGTGTGTGCTATTCACTTCAGCTCAGTTCAACAGCAGTTCCCTCTATATTTCCAAATTCACCAAGTTATCTTCCTAAACCTAATACCTAATTTCTAAAAATTACGAGCAGGTAGTTGGAGAATATGCAGAAAAATTTAAAATTGATAGTTGTTGGGATTGGAAAGGCGTTGAGACAGAAAGTAAAATACAATGGTTTAGGTTCACAGCCAGATGTATTGAAATAAGCTTCACAAGTTGTAGTATTGAATGAGATGCAGGTCCAAGTTTTACCAGGTGATAATGAGTTGGGATTCAATGATTCAAAATTGATTTTTCCCTATGATACGAAATTGAGTAGGTGGTCACAACTTTAGAATATATAATATTGAAACAACAAAAAATAGATATTCCTGTGTTACAATACACTTCTCATTCTGTGTATGAACTATAGGAACTGTAGGATTTTTTTCATTTCACCTAACAAACGATATTTCCGGATTCAGGCGATGCGGTGTTGCATTTATCTCACCGCAGCTTGTTATAATGCCAGCTGAGATTCTACTATTATGATTTATAAACTGTACATGACAGTTCATACTCTTTATTTTATACCAGCAGAGTCAGACATCATTTAGAATCAGTAATCTCGATAGCAGATTTCGTGGAAGAGAGAGCTCAAGTTGTTCTACATTATAATCTACTGTGCAAGTGCGCTTACAATGAGGCAGTGTTTCAATACAATGCAGGGAGAACTCTGCGAAATCATGGACAGAGGGAATTAAGGGTATGTCATCGATAATACCAATGAATGAATTGAACCATGATTTCTATAAATCTGAGTATATGTGAGTATTTAACCTACCCAAAATATCGGCCTCATCCATGAAATGTGTAGTTAGCAAAATAACTCTGCCATGTCTGCGGTTCTGTAGAACTGACCACATGTGTCTCCTCGAATAGGGATCAACACCCGCGGTGGGTTCATCAAGGATGATGATCTGAAAGAGTGAAATGAAATTTTCCAGATTGAACCGATTCGGCTGCACATTCCTACCGTCATCTGATAACGAAATGATATATGGGTGTCCACACTACAAGTATGTTGAGTTTTACACTGGTCCATCAAATATTATTTTCAGAGGGGGCGAAATATTTTAGGAAGCATTCACGCTCTGCCACTAACTTAAATCAGTTTGAATCGCGGAACGTTCGGGTACTCGCATAGGCAGTATTATCGTCACTACGTCACCCATTTATGGCAAGCTTCATTAGAAAAACACAGGGAATCTCTAGCTGTCGCGTTGGACATATCGAAAGCATTTGACCGTGTTTGGCACGAAGGACTCCTCCACAAACTACCATCATACGGCTTACCACCTCAGCTATGCCATCTCTTATCGAGTTTCCTTTCAGGCAGATCGCTTCATGTGGTGGTGGACGGTGTATCGTCTGATACAATTGGCATCAATTATTCATTATCATTCGATAAAAGTACAATGATTTTACATGCCTTTGGGCATAGATTAAATGTCTTTTCGTTATCAGATGACGGTTCTTGGACTATACCTTCGGATCCCCTATAACGGCAATTCCGACGGACAGTTTACGTTTTTGACCACCACTCAAATGTTTTGCCGGCGCATTTGCTTTATCGGTCAAATCGATATCTCTCAATGTTTTCATTACCTCAAACTCCACGTCAGAGGAATGGATTCCCTGAAATTTTTTTGAATCGACGCACGATGTAAAATGTTAGTGTAAAATGTTAGTTTTCCCTATGTACCAACCTTAACGGCTGCAAAAAACTCTAAATGTTCTTTTGGTGATAGATTATCGAATAATATATCATGTTGCGGGCATACCCCTGTCATTCTGCGAATTTCATCCATTTCTTTGGGGTCCCTTCAATTATCATGATGTAACTAACAGAAATATTGTGCAGTGTTGGATGATACCTTACGTCATGCCCGAAGATGAGTGCTGTACCCGCTGTCGGAGCAGTTAGCCCTGTTAGGATGTTGAATAAAGTTGTTTTTCCTGCTCCATTATGCCCCAAGATGGCAGTTATGTGTCCCTCATAGATGGTCAAATTAATTCCATTGATTGCTTTCATTTCCGGTTTCCTGCAATTCTTCAAGAGCTATCATTAGCAATATCCCACCTTCATTCAAATCAGTGTTTTTCAATCTGTCGCGAAATCAATGAGACTGAAAAACACTGATTTAGATAATCATTATGATTTGAAATGCCACCACATACATATGTACGGTGCGACACTTTTTCTGATTTTGTTGAACCGATTCAACGATGCCGCTGAGAAGCAGATTATTTGAGTGATAATGAGGTGGTGCTGTTTCAATCACACGACACCATTATAGATTTTCTGAAGAACTTACATGAAAACTTTTGTATAAATCTACTATTTTGATAGCTTCTCTGCCTCGCATTTCTCTCGGTACAGGCTCCACATCTAAAGTGCCATCATAGTTATTCAAAGAATGATGAGATCCATCAATATTAGTTGAAACCGATGGTACCTGTGTGTTGAAAAGAAATAAACATTTTAGAAACTCATGCATGAATTGATGTCAGATTATAAGGCTGAAAAATCAACCTGTCATTGAAAATATATTCTTGTTAAATCTTTGTAAATGGGTACTTACTTTGTGTATATCTTTCATAGCACACCAGAAAGATGGCTTGAAACAAAAGAACGGAGATTGCTTCACGCCATATTCACCTACAATAATCACAAATGGTGATTCTGAAATTTGATGAAGATAATTAGGTATATTTATTTTATAAATACCTGGAATGACGCTATCCAAATAGTATGCAAGAAACCCATATAACAATAAGTCGAAAGCAAGCATGATGAGACTTCCCCCGAAAGGCATTCCTGATCCCGACCAGAGATTATTGAAATTCACTCCATCTCCAGAAAGATCCATAACTAGTGCCTGCACAACGAATGATTTTGAAGAATGTAGCAGAATTCTTTCCGAATATTCATATTCACGATATAATAGGGAATATCGGGGAGTCAATCGGGCTGGAAGCAAACTACTTTATTGCAATGCCAAGCTTCCGAACATTTTCATTTTATTCTTCAAGGCTGTCAAGGCTGAAAAAAATATGGTATATGAAACATTTTGTCCCAATTCAATTCAACAAAAACAAGAACTCACTATTGTGTTAGGTGATTATTTATTTAGATCATCCTGTATAGAGTTGGGTTTTATTGAGTGAGCCTAGAACTTCAGATGTTTTCGTCAAGATAAGAGATAGATGTCAGATATTCTGAAGAAGCTTCAAAAATAAAACTGGAATCTACTAAGAGTCTTATTTCTATTCAAACCAATTACTATATAAACATGGTGGCAGCGGTAAAACAGACAAGTTCACCTTCAATTTTCCATCCAACTGGTCTCAATGGAAGAAACGATTTGAAAGGTAGGTATTTGGTTGTTTCGGGATTATCCGGGAAGAGCGATGAAGATGAAGATCAATATATTTTTATATTTGATGGGCGAAGAAAGTGAGGAAATTTTACTACAATTCCCAATCGTTCCTTCGATTTATAATGAAATGTTGAATGCATTCGATGAATATTTCAATCCAAAAAGAAATATAATCTTTGAGAGGTTGAAATTCAATTCAAAAGTACAACTCCAAGGTTAATCAGCAGACTGATACTTTCATAGCATCATTACATACTTTAGCTAGAAGTTGTGAATACGGGTCATTGAGAGAAGAATTGTTGAGGGACAGGATAGTCATTGGAATTCTGGATATGAGAGTCAGTGAACAACTGCAAATGAAACCTGACCTGAAACTGGAAGAAGCTGCTCTAATGGTACGAAAAGCTGAAAAAGAATAAACTAGGTGAGAAAATCAGTCATCCATCTTGGTTTCTGTGTATTCCTTTTTGCTCTAACATTAGCACCTGCACACGATGGAGTGGATACGTTTTCTCACCTAGCTTATCCTTTTTCAGCTTTTGTTTATAAAAAGGGAGATGTTGTGTTAGGTAATTATTCATTTAGATCATTCTGTATAGAATTGGGTTTTATGAAGTGAGCATAGAACTTCAGATATTTTCGTCAAGATAAGAGAGATGCCAGATATTCTGAAGGAGCTTCAAAATTAAATCTGGAATCTACTAAGAGTCTTATTTCTATTCAAACCAATTAATAAACACTCACTTGCAAGGTGAGTTAAAAGGCATAAATTGGAATAATAATGAGTATAAAAAATTAGGATGATGTAGACATAAAATTGATAGGATAGTGACAAAAGTCATATAATTTATATACCGGAAAAAATGAAATTATAATATTAGATTTATGTTGAATATCTTATAAGGTAAGGTCATTTCGAATATCATCATGAAGAAACGATAATAAATGAGAATATATCTGACATGAGAGCATCAATATCTGTTTCCTTATTCATAGTTTATTTCTCATTATTAATTTCAACCATCTCTTAAAACAGTCTTTTTATTTTTTTCTGAATGCAAAATTTTGGTTTCCTCTATATTTTTCTATACTCATTATTATTCCAATTTGAACCTTTTAACTCACATTGCAAGTAAGTTCTTGTTCTTGTTGAATTGAATTGTAACGAGATGTTTCATATACCATATTCGCGGAAATCAATGTTACCAGATGGCGCTCGGTTTTCATCGTTTCATGTCAAAGCCACGTCAAAACTGGGGGAAAACAAACTCAATCCTCACTCAATCCCATCAGTGCCATTAGCTTGTGTACTGTACACTGATAAGAGTGATAAGGTTTTTAATTTCCTGACATTAATAATATTGTCAATATTCGATCGAAAACGCTACTAATGCCTGTTGTAGATGTACTTTTGGCAGATATTTTGCTCTATTCCAGTAGTGGAAGGAGAAGCAGTTCTCCGTGCTAATCATGTGATTTTGTGTGAGGCAGAAGACTTCAACAAAATGCACATTTTTGCACTTTGTCTACAAACTTCGGCGATGAAATCTTCCCCACATGAAGTAAAATTGAAGTTGGTTCCCAGAGGAACTCCTGTAGAACAATGGATTCGTATTTCTTTATGCAAAGCAGGACAATCTGGGTATTGTAAACATGTTGTAGCTGTTCTTTTATATGTCAATTGATTTGCTCGTCATAATTAGTTTGAATTGTTTGAACTATCTCCAATTCTTCACCCGTTCACTGTTCACTTAACTAATGAAAATGTAATAATGTGAAAAAATTAACCAACTCAACCATCATCACTACCAACAGTGCCAACACGTTATGTCATTGACAAGTTTGACTACAGCTACAGCAAGCGGAATGCAATGTAAGCTATGCACTTTATCCATAGACAACAGTTTGTTTTTCCCCAGTTTGAAGTTCGTATTATGTAACCTAGATGTCGCCCACTTCGTGAATCTCGCGAATTATATTGTTTCAGCCTTGAAGAAGAAAATGAAAATTTTCGAAAGCTTGCCATAGCAATAAAGTAGTTAACTTGTAGCCCAATCGACTGAACTCTACGATATTTCCTATTATATCAAGATAAATATAATACAGTCGATAAACTATTCAATAAATTCGTACTCACATTATCCATGGCTAACGCAAATCCAGATGGACTGATCAGAGATAAGAACCATAACGCCAAAGGATTGGAGTCGTGAAGAAACACTTGGATGTAGTAGAATAAACTCATGATAGTAACGGCAAAGTTTCCTAGCACACCGGCTGTCTGAAAATGTCACAGGTCGCAATAAAAAGAATCAACCTACTTGATCCAATAACTCACCCTCGATTTATCGAAAAATGGTGTGATCATAAAACCAAACATTATTATTGTGAGACAGTAAAGCAATACTAGAGTGAATATAAGTAAGAAGCTGGTATTCACAAAAACCTTCAGAGTGAAGAGTAGGACGCAGCATATTATTGTCAGGAAAATGACGAAAATTCCGTATATAATAAACCAAGAGAGCCTGCAAAAATACAGATCATAATCATCGATATTTAAACATCATCTTGACAAATTGTTTTGTGAAAATGTTTTCATGCCAACTCACCAAAATACTGAATCTCTCAGACCCATAATCTTCATGCCTTCCTTAATCTTATTCTCTTTTTCTCCAACTATGAGAATCAGCAAATACGTGATGAATTGCGATAATGCCATCACCATGTATATGGGAATAACTGTACGAATAATAACCATCCAATTTCCCGTATGGGCTCCTTTCGGAAACATTTCTAGAAGTATCTGTGGCACGGTCAGGTTTACGTTATTGTCCATCTACATTCAGATATGAAAATCACAACTATACTATAAATAACACCGAAAAAATTCAAGGGGTATTTCCTTGTGATATTCTAGCAATTAAAGTTCATATAAACATGTGTCCTAACTTGCTCCGTTTTTGAGATACAGGATGTTGAAGTTGGAAGTATTAATTGTTTTTATTTATAACCCCCCTGTATAAGCTTTCATGGTGCCAAAGTTCAGTATAGATGGAGACTGAGATAGCCCCCAAATTTCAAAATGATTCTAATTCATATCGAAAGCATTCGACCGTGTTTGGCACGAAGGACTCCTCCACAAACTACCATCATACGGCTTACCACCTCAGCTATGCCATCTCTTATCGAGTTTTCTTTCAGGCAGATTGCTTCACGTGATGGTGGACGGTGTATCGTCTGATACGATTGGCATCAATTCCGGCGTTCCACAAGGATCAATTTTGGCACCAACATTATTTCTTCTTCATATCAATGATCTGTTGGGAGCAACAATTTTCCCTATCCATAGCTTTGCAGATGATAGTACCCTCCATACTGCGTTCTCTTTCAGAATTCCCATTTCTTCCCAGGAAACTAAGAACTCACGGCGCAGGCAGGTCAATGCTGTCAATGAAGACCTTGCTGAAATTACAGCCTGGGGAACCAACAACCTAGTTGAATTCAACGCCCCTAAAACTCAATCCTGTATTTTCTCTAGAAAGGCAGAACTCGGTATGCCCGATATTTGTAATGTCTGGCACCACCATTCCCACCAAGCCCACCATATCTATGCTCGGTATTTCCATCAGCAACACTCTTTCATGGGATAATCATGTCAGATCCATCGCAAAAGCTGCTTAACAGAAACTCGGATACTTGTTCCGTGCAAAAAGCTACTTCACACCTCAACAGCTTTTCATGATCTACAAAGCGCAGATACGACCTGTTCTAGAATACTGTTCCCACATATATGGGGTTCAGCACCAAAACATACGCTGATATGCTCTTAGATTCCATCCAGAGAAGAGCCATTTGCCTGGTGGGTGACGCCACACTCACTAACTCTTTGACATCATTGGAACACCGTAGAAAGGTCTGCGACCTTTCACTTTTCTATCGATACTTCCACGGGAAATGTTCTTCGGAAATCTCTGCTATCATCCCTTCACTAGCAATTTCAGTCAGACGAACTAGACAAGCCCAGTCAGCACATCCTTTCGTTGTCAACCTCGAAAGATGTCGAGCAGCACTTTATCAAAACTCCTTCATCCATAGAATGGCTAGGCTCTGGAATTCATTGCCTGAGGAAGTATTCCCAACAACATAATATAATCTCCAGAAGTTCAAAAAGAATACCAATACCTACCTCATGTTCCTATCCTCCCTAGGAACGCACGATGATGTTCTCTGAACATTATCGGGATTTCCTTTCGTGCCCTCCAAGCGAAAAAAAAAAAATTGGGGTTATTGAGTAATCTCAAGGGAAGTCTTGAACACACCTACCTACATCATTAGAATTTGGACTCAAATTGAATTTTTATCGTTTCCTCAAAAACTAAAAATCTCACAGAGGATAATCTAATAAAAATATGAAACTCATAAAAACCGGTGGTGTGTCGACATTCACAATGAATATCGATAATTTTACCCACTGTGACGCCACTGGAAATATCATTTCGAATCTAATTCCACTAGAAGGAGCTCCATATTACCATTTAGTATTCACACTAGGATATTACCATTAACAAAACCACAATGTTTTATTGAAATAGATGAGAAGACAATGATTGAGAAATGAATAGAAAAAGATTTTACATGGAAATATTGATACTCTGTATCTCGAAAACGAAGTTAGGACAAGGAATCACCCCACGAATTTTTTTTATCGCTTGGAGCGCACTATACAGGGTGATTCCTTACTAATTGGAAATATTTCAACAATGAAATCCTGAACTCAAAATATGATGATTATACTCAAATCACCCAGATAATATATTTTGCCTATCTGAGTTACAGGGTGTTTTATTCGAAAATTTAAAACTCATTTGTGCCAAGTACTTACTCCAAAACTGTTCACCTTATTATTGTCATATTTAGTAGGGAGTGTGAGTTCTATTCACCCTACTAAATTATGTTAAATAAACGTTTCTGGCTACTACCAGAGGCGTACGACAGGGGGAAATGACTGGTTGATACCTTCCAAGTTCTACGCCACTGGCGGAATAGCAGTTTTGTCAAAATTTCCGATTCTCCAGCAAATTTTACATTGATATTCTCCATAGCGATAAAGTTATTATATTTCGAGATATTTCGAGTTAAACATGAAACTGAACAATGTATACACACCCTGTATACATGAAAAATAATTATGAAACCAAAGTTGAAAAGAATCCTCTGGGGCTGGTGATAGAATCAGATTGAATCAAGTCGCTCAAACGAATTTGCCACATTGCTATCACTTACCCTCATTTTAGTGTAGTCCAATAAGGTTTGAAGAGCTAGAAATCCAGAAAAATAGTATTGATTCACCGGACAGCTATCACCCCCTTCGATTGCCGGTATCACCCCCGCATAACTACTATACCACTTCCTCTTAGTGTCTCTACAAGTCAAAGGGGAACTGTATAAACTGGTTGTGGTAGGAATGCCATGAACCGAAGGATTCGTGCGGATTTCATAGCTGAAAGAATATATCATTTTGAAGTGACTTGGCCGTTACTTGATAGAAATCCATGGTAAATGTAAAAACTTCACAAACCATAAGATTTCCACAAAATTCTCAAACACACGACATATTTCGCTAACACAGTAGCTTTGCCTATGAGATTTCTTGGCTCCTACTGCTCCTTTAATAGTATCAATTGTGAGTTGTGAGTGATTACTTATATTGAATATACAGGGTGGTCCGTTTTTTAATACGGAAAATTCAACAGCGTATAGTACTCGTTGAAATAATAAATAAACTTCCTATGAACATATACTGTTAAACACTTCGTTTTCGAGATATACACGGAAAAAAAGGATTTGTTGCATCAACAAATTATTTATGCTTTAGTTATTTTTGTTGAATCAACCAGATACATGATTATTCCATGGAAGCAGCTTGTTCAAATCAAGAATGTAGGCTGATTGAATCAACAGTATAATATCAGTTCCATCAACAAAATATATGGTTTCTTGAAAAACAAATTATGTCGATCCAAAATAATGTCGATGTTGATTCAACTATAAAGATTTCGTTGATTTGATCAAACAATGATCATTTTGATGAGATTATATCTTTGAAACAACATAATAGTTTTCTTATTCCGATGTAGCAATAAACTCGTTCCGAACGGATCATTTGCTTGAATAGAGCAACGAAATATGTAAAATCAATGGACTATTTTGTTCATTCTACATCAACGTAAATTTTCGCCTCTAGATGGCGATCATTTCGCCTCGTCTATGCCTGCCTCGAATTCATCATATACGTGAAGCCTGATTCTTCGTGTTTGAAATATAAGCTGGATGAATCGAACTTAGGATGATTAGCAATCCGAAATAGTTTTCCATCACCTTAGGAGAAGTGAAGACTTGAGATCATGCTGGAAGTCGACTAGTTTCCTAGTTTTGTTCATTCTATTGATGTGAAATTTCAGAAAATTTCCGAATATTGAATTTGGTTCAACAAAACAATTTTTCGAATGGATAAATAGTTTCTCTTGAATCAACAAAATATTTAATAGAATCAACCAAATATTTTATTGATTCAACCAAATATTTCTTTGAATCAACCAAATATTTCGTTGAATTCAACTAAATATTTGATTGAACAATATCTTGTTATTTTGAATCAAACAAAATGATTGTTTGAGCCAATTCAATTTTTCTTCATAAACAATTCATAGATGTGCTTGATCGAAGAAGATTCAGTGTTCATGCAAGACATATTTACTTGATTCAAACTTAAAATTCGCTCTGAAACAAGATATAGATTTACTCATTTCAAGATTATATTTTGTCGTGCATATATGACACTTTTATTTGCTCCATTCAATTAGATTTTGCTTGATTCAACAATTCCTTTTTTTTCGTGTAGGGTGTTCAAGTTTCTTTAAAAACTCGATTATTTATTGATTTCTCAGTAATGCTAATGAAATATCATGAGCTAACTTTTAGACCTATTACAGTTCTTGAATGAGTTAATTAGATTTCTCATCTATAGCTTCGTTTCAGAAGGAAAAATAAAAACCAAACCTATGCATGTCTCTGAACCCAATGAAAAAAACATTGTAATGCATTAAATCTAGTAAGCATTGGCCGTTTACCAAACCAATCATGTAACCATTGCAAATCAATCATTTACGTATTAGAAGAGTCACACTAGGCCATCATAGACCGCAGTAGTGGATATCCTGCTATTTGTCTTCAAAACTGTGAACAGTGAGCAACTGAGCATAGCCTACTTATTTAATTGATATCAAGTAGTATTATTTAACTGAAAAATGTTATAAAATCTTACAAGCGAGCTTTTTTCATTGAAACTTGAAAAATAAATGAAAAATAATTACCCGAATAATTTGTGTAATTATTACCTTCGCCACCCCAGATTCAGCCGCCACTGAATAGTTTTTATGAATAATTTTTATTTAATCTAATAAAGCTCAAAAAGTTTAGTATCTGTGAAAAATGTCTTTAATTTATCTACTGTTTCTAACTTTTGATTAAAAAATTATATTCAGAAACGTATTTTTGACACCCAATATCTCAAAAACGAAGCGTTTAAAAGTATATGTTCATAGGAAGTTTTTTTATTATTTCAACGAGTACTATACGCTGTTGAAATTTCCGTATCAAAAAACGGACCACCCTGTATATCCATTTTTAGTGATTTTGTTCACCTTATCGTAACCCTCCATTTGGGCTTGGCCGTAATTGGGTCAGAGCCCTCCCCCTCCTGACAAATTTTTATACAGGGCAAGCAACGCCACTGCTAGGTACTTACCGAAGAGGTCCAGTTATTGGATTTGGATTATCAAATAATACAGCAATCGGAATATCCTTGGATCTTCTCCAATATGCAGCAATAAGGTCTTCTTCTGTACTAAAAATCACCCATTTTATCTCGGAACTTTTGGGCTTACTGAGATTCCAAAGAATATCGATATTATCCAAGAAATCCTGGAATAATCGGTCAATAATGAATTGAAATGTCTTTATAGCATACCTAGTGAATGTTAGGTATAGGTACCTACCAGAATTTCTGTTGAATTAGGAACAATTGCTACTGTTGGGCTTGGTAATTCACCGAAATTCGCCAACAATTCTGCTTCTCCTCTCGGGGTATCAATTTTTGGTAGATTTGGGTTTGGGAACATTATTTTTATAATGATTAATATTGCCAATGAATACAGAGGTAGAAGGACTTCCTGTAAATCGAAAAACCGTCGAAGAAGCAAGTATTTTCACCAATGGTACCTTTTTCAAGCATTCGTTTTATACCCACACAATGGTCCCCTCACCAATGGTACCTTTTTCAAGCATTCGTTTTATACCCACACAATGGTCCCCTCACCAAAACCTGCCAGGTCAAGACTTCAATTTTTAAGTTTCTCTTTATGCTGCCAGGCAGCTTCAGACCATAAGCTTATAATGTATTTCTTAATAAAATAAATCCGAAAGCTCAAAGTCATATCCACACAATGTTCATGAAATCATGAAATGAAAAACAATGGTAGATATCGGTAGAAAAACAACTACTTTCCCGGCTAATGCCACGCAGAACATTGAATTACATCCTTCTGAAATCTATGCATCGACTCGTAAAAACGAATACTGATACAAGTGAATCTTTCCCGAAAGCCTATTGATTTCGATTTAGCCAGGCTACGCTTGACACCTAAGGACCGGTTTCGAGCTCCTTGACTCTCATCAGTGTAGGGCAGTCTCCAGTCAGCAGTAGCAAAGGTGGATATATGTATGGTGAAATAGCTCCCTCTTACAAAACCCTAGATATTTTTGTAGACCTCTGGCCTACTTGATTATGTCGAATTCTATCACCGTAGTAAGGCCGCGCAAAACTAACGCTAGATGGCGCTGTTCCCGAATTGATCTTGCTACACAATGATTGATTTAATGAACAAAACGTGAAATTTTCATTATATCTGTGAAGTATATGTGGCACGATGTTCCCTACGCCATCTACAGTCATTCCGGTGCGGCCTTGCTACGGTGTTTCGCGGTCTACATGTTTTGGAAAGAAACAATTGACAAGTGGTTACACCAGTCTATTTTCATCATGGCAGTAGCCTAGCCAAACAAAAATCAAGTCGACATTATATTCCCCCAGAGGCTTCCTTAATATACACTATGAAAGCAACGCCATCTGAGTGAAAACGAAGGAGAGAAACACTCCAAAACTGAAATTCCCATATAATACGGGAGTGGCTGGTTGCCCGACTGGCGAAATACAAATACCAGGAAAGTATTGAAGAGGAACATTCTCATATATATTTATGGACACAAAAAATGGATATACAGGGTGGGTCACGTTGGATGGCCTATTAGAAGTATCTGGAGAACGAAAAGACAGAACATTCTGAAAATTGGAATGCTTCGATAATTGTACATTCTCTTTTCGTCTAAAATGTTTTCATCGATACAGTGTTGCCACTTCTATCAGCAACTTTGTTATTTCAAATGAACCACTCTGTATTTCATTGCATTTTAAGATTCTTCCTGAAGAGCTGATTTCATCGATGTATCATACTTGGGGTCAAGCAGAAATGATTACAGAGATATAGGGTATTCAAAATCTAGATTTTTCAGTTTCAGGATTTTTTTGTGTCGGAACTATTCATTATCGATCAAAACGGCGTACATGTCCCTATTTCATCTTTTGATTTACTATCTACTGGAATTTAATTGGAAAAAATACAGGGTACTTCAAGATTCAGAATTCTGATCACCCTGTTTCTGTCCCAAGTAAATGTCAGTAGATAGTGGATCGAAAGTTGAGATGGGTACATGTGAACCGTTTTGATCGACAATGAATAGTTTCGACACAAAAAAATCCCAAAATTAAAAAATCTCGATTTTGAACATCCTATATCTCTGTAATTATTCCTGCTATACCCCTAGTGTGAAAGCTTGATAAAATAAGCTTTTTAGGAAGAATCTGAAAACGCAATAAAATACAGGGTGCTCCATTAAAAATAACGAAGTTGCTAGTTGTTTCTGATAGGAGTGGCAACACTGTATCGATGAAAACATTTTAGACGAATAGAGAATGTTCAATTATCGAAGCATCCTAATTTCCAGAATGTTCTGTTTTTTCGTTCTCCAGATACTTCTGATAGGCCATCCACCGTGACCCACCCTGTATATATATGTGAAGAAATACATTGAGAATTCGCAATCTCCATATGATGAAAATATTAATGCTTTCTCGGTATATTCGACAGAAAACAACTACTTTCCTGGCTATATGCCACGACGAATATTGAATTACATCTATCGAACACACACGATAAGAATTTGAAAACAAAATCTTCTGAAGTAGAGAATTTGCATTCTCCTTCATATAAAGATATGCATATAAAATAAATCTGAATATTCAACAGAAAACAACTATTTTCCTGGCTATTTGCCACGTCGAACATTGCATTATATTTGTTGAATTTCTTTCCACGTCCTGTATGATGAATGTCAATTTATCACACATCCAAAACAACCAGGAAAGTAGTTGTTTTTCTACCGGAATCTACCATTGTTTTTCATTTTTTGAACATTGTGTAGATATGACTTTGAGTTTTTTATTTATTTCACATTTTCCTTCAATTTGAGCACTGTGACTATTTCATAGTTGGTATATTTATTATTGCCGTTGTATTTTATAGGGGTCTGTTCATACAGATTAATAGTCCGTGTATCATTTATGATACACCTTGTGGAAAGCACTATACATGGTGTATTATAAGTGTCACAGCAGGCAGCTTATGTGAATAATTGAGAGAAATATTCCCGGTCCATATTATTTCGATTTTTGATTCTAAATGTGAGCGATGAAGAAGGTAAAATAAATATATGTATGTGGAAATATCGATAAGTATACATTTGAATGCTTGAAAAATTGTTATTTTTGTTCCCGATTTCGAATATTGAAAATGCTTACGGCAATTGTTTTCCGTTTTTCTCGTTTCTTCAATAAAATATTCCTCTTCAACATTGCTTTCAACTGGGATAAATATATTGAATGCTGTTTATTGCTCATGGTGCACAAATGATTATAGTCTCTCACAGCATCGACCTGGAAATAGAATGATGTTTCAGTTAGTTTCCTATATACAGGGTGGGGCATAGGAACCATGTGTTTTTGGTTTGGGTAGTACTCGGCCATTAGAAAATGGCGGGGCGCGCGGTTTATTACAATCTTCTTGAGGTTATTCATCTAACCACACGAAGTATTACACATTTAAAATTCTTATAACTTTTTATTTGATAACTTTCATTGACAACTCAATATTTCAATAATTGAAAATCTACAGAGTACACAACTACCAGTTTCTTCTTTTTAAACATCTGCTTCCAGTAGTTGCTGCTGTTTGCTTAGATTATTTTGTTATTTTTTCACGAACGAAATGATACCTTATTTCGATATGTTTAGATCTTTTATGGAATGCAGAGTTCTTCACAAGCTTAATGGCGCTTGTATTATCCATATGAAGAATATAGGATCCTCATTCAATGTGGTGATTTCTTCTAGTTATCGTTCGATCCAGATTATCTCTTTCGTTGCTTCACTTGCGGAAATATATTCTGCCTCCCTGGTTGACAAAACAATACTTCTTTGTTACTGACTGAACCATGTTATTACTGCTCCTGAGTATTTCGAAACAACTCCAGTTCTGGATTTTCTCGTTTCTGCATCACCTGCATAATCTGCATCAGAGAAAATATCAAATACATTATTTGGCTGTTTACTAGCATCATTGAATATTCTATAGTTGATTGTTTCCTTCAGATATCTGGAGATACGTTTGATTGAACGCCAATCTGCTACACATGGTGCGTTCACTTTCTCCGAGGCAATGCTTGCAGCATAAGCTATATCTGGTCGTGAAGCTATCACCAAGTGCAGCAGGCAGTAGCTCTAAGGTCAATATTTGCATCGTTCATACTACTGACAAGGATCAATTGGGCTAAAGCATCAATTTTCTTGAATATTTTCAGATCAGAGATATATTTATTCTTTATTTCAGGAAATTCTGTTGCAGCTGGTTCAGTTGGTTGTTCCAAATCGCTATTAACCACTTCTAGTACTTCATGATGTTGCAACACATTTGGCGTCTATATTTCGACCATTTTGAAGCTCCTTCCAATTTCTCAATATGCGCTTTGAAATCCATAGTATCTTCTGAATGAATAATGGTTCCAGAATAATGGTTCCCCTGATTTTCACACGTGCACAATGAGACAACTCCGTTTAATTAGACGATTGCAAGTGCTGGGCCCACAACTTCTTGAGATTATTTATCTAACAACATGAAGTATTACACGTTTAAAGTTTTTATAACTTTTATTGACAACTCAATATTTCAATAATTGAAAATCTACAGAGTACACAACTACCAGTTTCTTCTTTTCAAACATCTGCTTCTAGTAGTTGCTGATGCTTGCTTAGATCATTTTGGTTTTTTTTTTCAACAAATCCATTCCTCGACTCGAAGCATTTCACTTTCTCAGTTGCTGAGTTGCCACTTTGTTCGTTATTGTTATTCTACGAACACTTAATTGGAGTTCTTTAAGATGAACCAAAAAAAAACAGCGGAGGAGCAATTTGAAAAGCCAAAGGGGTGATTTCTAGTATATTGTTTGACATAAGGGTATGATTTGATCTCACCATATTTCGAAGAGTTTTCGCCTTTATACTCTCCACAATCTTTTGAAATTATTTTACGTTAGATAACCCAGAGATCTGCAGGCCTCAAAGCTATGAGACGCCCGGTAAAGATATATTGGAGAATTAAGAGAATGAGAACATTTCACAGACGAATCAGTGAATAGGTTATTGACTTATTGTTCATGCACAAAATCACTCTGTACATTATGATATACAAACAAGTTCAATAAAAAGTACCTATGAACCACCTTTTTTATTCTTTCTCGTTTGGAGCGCACGAAACGAAATTCATATAATGTTCGAAGAACATAGTGCGTACTTAAAGAGGAGGATAGGGAGAGGGAGTAGGAATTAAATGTTCTTCAATCATCGTAGATTATAAGTTCTTTGGGAACATTTTAGATATGTTCTGCCTGTGCCTTTAACCATCTATCGATGGAGTGTTTTATTACAAAAAGTGATTCATTTGAAAGAAATACATTGAGAATTCGCATTCTATATGTGATGAAAATATCAATTCTTCCTCGGTTTATCCAACAGAAAGCAAATACTTTCCTGGCCATATATTTTTTTTCATGTTCTGGTTCCGACGAAAAGGGATATCCTGTAATGTTCAGAGAACATCGTGAGAACCAAGGGAAATAAGGTAAGAATTGGTGTTCTTCTTTAATTTCTGGAGGTTATATGCCTCGGGGACGCTCGGGGAACACCTCCCTTGGGAATGTGATCCAGAGCTTCGCTGTTAGTTGGATGCACGAGTCTTTGGAAAGAGATGTTCTGCAGGTCTCAAAAGTGACCACGAAGATGTGCGAAGCCTCAACTCGATGGGTTGATCTCGCGGGGACTGCCAAGGGAGGAACAATTGTTGTTATTTCAGAAAAGCATCGTCCATGGGTTCTGCACTATAAATATGGGAATAGTATTCCAGGACAGGTCGGATCTGTGTCATATAGATCATAAGCAGCTGACTGGAAGTGACTTCAAAGGTATGGTTACTTCTGAAAAGCTTATGTTGGGCACAGTGAGATCGGGTTTTCTAGAGAAAAGGCATGCTTGTGTTTTGTTTGCATTGAAGAATGTACAATCAGTAGCACGTTTCAATAATGTTCGTTAGTGAATTATGACAGTTTCTTTGTGAGAATAAGACACGGTAAACAAGCTATCAAATTGGTTTATTGAAACGTTAACTTTGGGTAATTAAGAAGGTAATTTTGTGCCCGTTAAATGACATGACTCCATTTTCTATTGAAATTTTGGGGTTAATAATTGTGACACCATCCCCCTCGCTAGTGGTTCAAAGGCACAGGTCGAAAAATATGTCTGAAATGTGTTCCCCTCAGAAGCAAAACCTATATACGTGCCCGAGCATTTCAACTATAATTCCAAAAATAAGGAGAGAAGCTAGGGGCATACTTTTTGTTGAACCACTGTGTATAACTATTAAACTATTTAATCGTAGCGGAAGCATCAAAATCATAACCAAAACATATAATTATTGAATGAATTTTAATGTACCGCTATATATATGTTTGCTAGAGATATCCTGTCATCAAAGCGAGCATCAAAGTATGTAATACTCGAATTAATAATTAACTCAGCAATAAAAATTAAGGAACAAGAATGCCAAAACCGATAAATCTACTTTCAGTGATTTCTAGATAATTGATGTAAACTTCCCTAGGGAGATCCCAAGATTATTCGAATATTATTACAAAATAGTGGTTAACCCTGTATCTCTTAAACCAGCAATATTTTCATGGGCTGAATCTTTATATTTGTGTGTTTACTATCTGTAATTCAGGAGATTTCCAATTGTCAATTCAATGAATAAAATATTTAAAATGTTATATTTGTAACATAGGTTTTTGAGATCTACCATTCAATTGGTATCGGACGGCATAATTCTGATCTCGTGCAAATTTCCGCACAGGAAAGTGCGATTTTTTTCATCATTTTGCTCTGGATAGTGATTGGCACAGGTGCCGTTCGAAGAACTACAATGTTTTTACTTTCTTTTCGGACATATATCATCTCGTTATCAGATGACGGTAGAAATCTGCAGCAGGTTCTCCTACTATTAGCAGAATTTCAATCTTTTAAATCTATATTATTTGTTTTGCTCTGATCAAACTATGTACTTAGCACTTAACAAGATTAGATTTCCATGATATGAAAAAGGGTAAAGGTATATATGCCTACTAAGTTTATTTTGCGGAATGTTAAAAGGAATATTTCTAAGCACCCACCTATCAGTATCGTATAAGTTGACATAGATGTGGCAATCTTCAGGCTATTGTTCATTCGGGTATATTCAATCTATACTTTCACCAAAACTCCACTAATAGACATTGCACTTGCATTCGAAAAGGGGCGCCGTGTAATATATTCAAAGCACATTCATTCAATTCATGATTATAATCAGAATAATCATTTATTACCGTCACATTGTACTTGGAATCATCAACAATATGAATGAGAGTGAGCTGAACTGAAACTGAAAATGGATCGAAAATAAGGGCGCAGACGCATTAGGAAGCATGTATTCCTAGTTTCCTGAAATTGACGCCGTGGTGTCGTTGCGTCATTTCTTTTTGAACTTGATAGCAGATCGGATTTTTCATTGAATTCATTGAAAGGTGAACGTTCATATCGATTCTCCGTCCAATATCAGCAAGGCAAAGGCAAATCAGAAACGAAAGAGGGGGAAATGTTGACAACATAAATATGGACTTGGCAACAATTCTCGAATGGGGATCCAATGACTTGGTAGATTTCAATGCAAACAAAACATAGGCATGCCTTTTCTCTAGAAAATCCGATCTCACTGTGCCCAACATGAGCTTGTCAGGAGTCCATACCTTTGAAGACATCCATATTTCGATGCTTGGTATTACTATCAGCAATAACCTTTCTTGGGAAAATCACGTGAGATCAATTGCTAAAAGTGCATCCCAAAAACTTGGTTTTCTGTTTCGGGCCAGGAGCTATTTCACTTCCAGTCAGTTGTTTATGATCTATAAGGCACAGATCCGACCTGTCCTGGAATACTGTTCCGATATTTGGAGTGCAGCACCCAAATACCCTCTGAAACTGTTGGATTCTGTCCAGAAAAGGGCAATTCGCTCACAAACTCACTCACTTCTCTGGAACACCGTAGGAAAGTTGGCGATCTGGCTCCATTTTATAGATATTTTCATGGACGATGCTCTCCTGAAATATCAACAATTGTTCCTCCCTTGGCAGTCCCCGCCAGATTAACTCGTCGAGTTGAGGTTTCGCACCCCTTCGTGGTCACTTTGAAGACCTGCAGATCATCTCTTTTCAAAGACTCGTCCATCCAACGTACAGCGAGGCTCTGGAACACATTGCCAAGGGCGGTGTTTCTCGAGGCATATAACCTCCAAAAATTCAAGAAGGACCCCAATTCCTACCATATTTCCCTTGGTTCTCACGATGTTCTCTTAACATTATAGGATATCCCTTTTCGTGGGTTTCCTAAATTGATGGGACACAGAGCTACCACGTGTAGAGGAGGTTAAAATAAGTTGGTTGGACCCAATTTATTTATGTGCCAAAATGTATCGTTTGTCTAATATAATATATGGTTCTGAAATTTTTTGAGCTTGAAGACTAATCAATTACCTTCATTTTATTTCGTATTTCGTATATCGCACTTTCGAAGAAAAAAGTTTTCTCTTACTTCCCAGTACAAGTTTAATAAAATTGAGATATAAAATCTAGTTGACAGTGGAAACGAAGGCAAGTAGTGATTTTGACAGGAAACAAATTTGTTGTCATTCAAGTTTGTGGTTAATGTTTCAATAAACTCTTCAATTTTATTATCACCGCGAGTACCATTACCGACCATTTATTATTATTCAATCGTTGTTGTTATTTCAACTGCTATCAAATATGGATTTTTCCTATAATGAGCAGACCGATATGATCTTAGTTCTTGGATTCTGTCAAGGAAACTGTCGCAGAAGTACCCGCGTGTACCAATAGAATTCCGAATCATAAAACTTTTATTTGCCCCAATTGAGAGACGTCTTCTGGAAACAGGGATTTTGATACCAGTCAAAAGTAATGCTGAAATACCCCGAGTCCAAAGACCTAATACCGAAGAAGCTGTTCTTGAAATAATCAATGACAATCCCGAGAAAAGTACCAGATCTGTGCAGCGACGAAAAATTCCAAAATACACTGTGATTCGGATCTGCACAGAACAATTATTTCATCCATTTCATATTTAGTTTGTGCAAGAGTTATTACCACTTGACCACGGATTACGTTCAAATTTTTCACGGATTGTTCGGCAACGCCGACTACTTGACAACAGATTCCCAGCGAGCACAAAAACATCTCAGAGATGTTAAAAGTACGAGATTTCGAGACATATTGAACCTCCACTGCGATGTTCTAGTCACACATGAATAGAACTATTATAGAACAGCCAATATCCGCCGCAGGCGGCAATTATCGAGATGTCCTTGATATGTCACAAAACTACCTTCTCCCTAGTTCATTTTGAAGCCTTTTCATGGACACAACAGAACATTTTCAACGCATCTTGCGCACATTAAATCGCTGTAAAAAAACCATTTTCGAGGTACTTTTCTGAAGCCTTTTGTCAAAATGAACTTTTGCATTAGGATTCCATTTCCCTTGAATGAAAAAATGCATTAAAAATAGATTGAACATAAAAATATTTTCTTGATTTGAAATTACCTTCTTAATCGGTTTCTGAGTAGTGCTTACCTACTACACACAGACATATAATTGGAAATAGGTTTCCCAATTTTTGAAATGTTCTCCATGCACAATGCATAATTTTGCAACTGCGGAGAAGCTGATGTGTATTGATGAATTCGTACTTTTATATATTGATTACACTGAGGCACCGAACAACACATCTTGCATCTGATGGTCATTATTACAAACCAAATAAGTCTTTTAACACAATAAACTTCACCAAATTCCTTTCTGTTCGTTAGCAGCGTGATGTAAGCGTGACACGCTGCAAACGCGAATGCCAATCGCGAACAAGAAGAACAAAATCGAAAACAAATCAGAATTCATCGTATTGTGACGTAAGCATATGAGACGTTGTGGTGGGGCACAAAAAAACAAAAACAAAACTTTCAATATCCTTCTAAGACCTCTTTGGGAAGTGCATATTACGCCTCAAACAAACATCCTCATGGCTACATTTCTAAAACATCCCAAAACATCCCAGCCCAGGGATACCTCTCAGTAGGCAAACAGAGAAATGCCACAGAAGAACAAAAACAATACTTCAATATTCTTCAAAGACCTCTTTGGTCAGTGCATATTACGTCTCAATATAACATCTTCTTGCCAACATTTTCAAAACATCCCAAAACATCCCAGGGATATTTGTGCTCGCTGGGTTTCAGACTAATATTTTTTATACTGATGAGTCTCGTTTTACACGTCGTGGCATGACGAACCTGCACAATGAGCATGTATATGCTGATGAAAACCCACATGCCATTAAAGCTAGACACTATCGGATTTATCGAAACATTTTTGGTTGGGCCGATCCGATTGCCAGATTGCCTTGATGGTGCTAGTTACCTTCACTTCCTTCAAGAAATTTTGCCAGATTCATTAGAGGACTTGCCCCTCAAAGTTCGTCGAAACATGTTCTTCATGCACGACGGTGCACCACCTCATTTTGCACGTGCAGTAGACAATATCTGAACGAACAATTTCCTGATAGATGGATTGGTAGGCGACTAGAAGCACCTATTCAATGGCCTTCGCGGTCTCCAGATTTGAATCCGTGCGACTTCTTCATCTGGGGAGCGTTGAAAACACAAGTGTATGATGTGTATGAAGTTCAAATTGATACTTCCGAACAGCTGTGGAACAGAATCCAAAATGCCGTTGACGCACTACGAGACAACGACGATGTCCTGAGGTGGGTGCATTTCAATTTTTCACGTCGAATTCTGCTCTTGTTTCCATTGCCAACTTGAGTTTTGTATCACAATTCAATTGAACTTGTACTATAGAAATATCTGGTAGCATTATTTGAGAGAATTTTTTCTTCTTCGAAACTATGCGGTATACAAAATTTTTACAAGAGTAATAAAATGAAGGTAATTGATTAGTCTTCAAGCTCTAAAAGTTTCAGAACCGTATTATGACCTATAAAAAAGTTCTGAGAAAAATGTCGGAGGATGAGGGTGGTTTTAACCATTCTACAATTTCTTTTAGGTTTCTTTGATTAAATCGAATCCTACTCCATGCTGAGCAGTTCATATGTGTGTGAAATAGTGTATTGGAATTACTCATAGAGAATTGGAGACAGATGTGTGTGTAATATAATATATTTGAATATCAGAAAATTCATAACAACTCATCATTTCGACAAATATTTCCCTCTCTACATTTTCTGGACTGATGGACTGATGCGACTTCCAAGGTTTTCTGAAGAATCAAATGGTTGAAATGATAATCTAAAAAGTTTCTCCAACTGGCCTTATCATCAGTTCATGTATCTGAAATAAAAAATAAATATTCGAGATAAAATTATTCATAGAATCGATGATAATCATATTTTTCCTATTTCTCCCCTCCTAGGATATGAAAGTGGATTTGTATATAATCAAGCTCTTTCTTTTTATATATATTTTCGCTAACGAAATCAAGGCGGATTGATGGTTTCCATTTTATACATTTTCATATTTTTCCTATTGCTCCTTTTCTAGGGTATAGGTATGTTTGGCAATGTGTACGCAGCCAAAAGTTTTCTCCTATATTAAAACCTATTTCTTTTTGGAAAATTCCATGTATTCTTCGAAATTATTGAGCGATTCTTATTTTACAGATTTTCCCAATCATACTTTTCCTGTTGCTTGCCTCCTACGTAAGTTAATCTTTAATTTATTTCTTATATGAACCTATTTTCTGTGAGAAAATCGAGATAAACAATGAATTGGTTTCCATTCTGGAAATGTTTTCAATCATATTTCCCTATTGTTTTCCTCCTAAAGTATTGTTATAGACAGACTACCTGTTGAGAAGTAGATTCGCGCCGCTGTTCCCGGAAGGACTTTTCGGATCGCATCGCCCTAGGATGTTTACGTGGAACATGATTGAAGATTGTCGAAGGATCTCGAAATGTTATGAAAATGATAGAACCATCTTAGGTCCGATTGTAATTGAGGCATCTGGTACCCCGATATTAGTAGTATTATAGAAAGAAAGAGATTTTATAAATCAGGTATAGGTGCTTTGCGAGTTATAATAGAAAAATACGCAGTTATTGGAATTCCGTGTCGCGTTTTTGTTCGATTAAATCGTATTGTTGGAATTATCCCAAAAAGCTTATTCTCTGATGTTCTATGCTTATTGTTATTTATTCTTGTGTGAGCTATTGATTTTCCTTAAAACTGTGACCGCCGCCACTGGCGCTTCATCTGTCAAACTTCAGTCGTCAGGATGTTTTATGTTTGTGCTAATACTTCATCAGTCATATGTCATAGTGTCACAGTCAGATGTCTTTCTAGTCATACATTTCATTGATATTTTCCTAAGCAGTTTGATAAATGAGTTCAAGGATTGGTTGGTTGTGATTTATGGAATTTGTTAGTTTTCATTTTATAAATCATTAAAGGTACCTAATCATATTTACGCTGCTCTGCTGCTAGTGTATATAAGTTAATTTGTATGAAATATTAGGTATAAAACATGTATAAAACCAACTTTCTGTGAGAAATTCAAAAGGTGTAGAATTGATTATTTCCGATATTTTGAGAACTTTCAATAATTTTTCAAGGTTTGTAAGTCAATGTGTATATAGCCCTCCTTATTCTCTCCTAAACTTATTCACAGTGGAAAAAGAGGTGAAGATTTGACTCATTTCAACCTCTTTCTTCTTCAGGAAATTCACTTATCACAACACAATGGCATTTTATTCATAATGATGATAGAAATATGTGATTATTCCACAACTAACCTGGACACGTGGTGGAGTGGATAATGCGTACATTACCCCATCGGCAATATCTTCTGGAAGAAGGATACTCTCTTCCTCGATAGCTTTCTTATACGTTTCGGTTTTTTTGAAATCCTCTGTGATGATTTCTGTATCTACCAAACCAGGGCTTACACTCTGAAATGAAAAAAATAACTCATGGTAAAATGATAAGCTAAGCTGATCAGCACTTTTCACATCAAATCGAAATTTTTCGATCTATTTTGATTCATTGACTATCAAACTTTCGGAAATTAATATTGCATCTCTTCAAAATGAGATCCTACAGAATGATAATAAACATCTCAAGAAACATCTTCCTAATATTTTTTCAGATGGAAAACAATGTATCTGTATCACTTAATTAATATGTTGATCATGCAACATTTCAAGATTTTTGACCACCGTTTGAAACAGGATGACGGAAATTTTTTTAACAAATGTGATTTGTTGGATTGATAATAATTGTATCAAATACGAAATGACCAAATTGCCTAAGTCATTTCCACAAGTGTTAAGAATGAACACCATTGGTAGATGACGGGAGAAGAATAACTACTGTCCTGGCTGATGCCACGCAGAACATATTGAATTGAATTCACCCGAAATATATGCATCGATTCGAATAAATGAATAAAGATGCTAGTGTTTCTTTCCTTAATGCCGATTGATTTCGATTCAGCCAGGCTAACGCTTGATACCTACAGACCGGTTACTGATGGCTTTTGGCTCTTATCAGTAGTTGCGTTCCATTTATTCCATTCTGGTAGCAGTGGTGGGAACAGAATGACGTTCACAAATAAAACGAGAAACTTCATGACTTTGCATAGGAGGTTATATTTATATAAATGGGGCTCCAAATAATTGCAAAATCATTATACTAGAACTAGAGTTATGAATCTAGAAAATCATTCAACGAATATTTGGAGCAGTGATTGTGGTGTTTGGAGAAACTTGAGATTGAGAGAATTAATTTTATCTGGGAATGATCATCATATATGGAACCTGTCTTACTTGAAAGAATCATAAACTTGTGAACTTTACGATGAAAATGTCTGCAAATGTCTTTTACTTTCAAAAAGTTTCATTTTTCTTCAGAGAAAATGGAAAATTGTCTGATTTTTAAAAAGTGCCCTCTAGCGGCCATCACGGGATTAAAATCGACTCGATTCGTGATCAATCTGAGAAAACTAGAATATCCCCTCATAATAAAGTCAAATTCGTTGAATTCCGTTACACCAAACTGTATATAGTAATAAGAGTTTTTCCATACCGCAATTCACCCTCCCATCCTTCAATGATTTCAAGAGCTAACGCCATTTTTCCATCGAAATGATTGGAAATCAACTTGAGATTATGAAAGAACGGTTTTTGAAATATCTTGATAAACCAAATCCTCACAAAATCCCGTTTTTTAAATTGGTTAATGCAATTACGCCCTTTGGCGGCCGTCCCGAAAACTTGAAAATAATTTCCAGAAATTTTTTTCAGCCACTTTCAATACAATTTTTTTTTTCGAAACCTGTGCTTCAGCCGGCGTCCTTTCTCAGTGGTACCTACACCCTGTATATTTTTATTTTCACAACTAACAATATATCATTATAGTTATGTGAATCTAAAATATGGATCAATTGTCACTATGAAAGCACTTTCTGTTCAATTCTAATCAAAATCTAGTAACCATTACAATGACAACATATTATGACAAGTAGTTATTGACAAATACCTACTAGATTCGAGTGCCATTCCTGCGAATCTCGCATCAGTTTCTATAGCTAGTGGTGGAAAAATTATTTGTTGAAACAATCAATTCATTCGTTTGATACAAATACCATCAATCTGTTACAATAACTACTATTAGTGGTAATCTCTTACTAAGAATCCTAATTGTGACTAATAGAATGGTGAATAGTATTATTCCTAACTAAGGACAATTATTAACCGCAAAAACCTTGTGAATGAAACAACTAAGCTTTCCATTTGGTACAAATCAGTGTTTCCGAAAAATCGAAATCGTTTGCAGAAACAACCTATCCTTGTCCTCTATCGTACAAAATTTATTTGTCGTAGTTACTATATTTTTAGTAATAATGGCTACGAATTTTGTTCCCCAGTGTATTAGTCAGGGTGGAGATTGAATAGGTTTTGCTCACCGTTACTTTAATTTTGTGTCCTGAAGCACTCAATTCCATCCTCAGGGATTCAGTTAGAGCAGTGACAGCATGTTTGCTAGCGATATACATAGCAAAACCGCCCTCCAAATTCTTCACGTAATGCCCAGCAATACTGTTGATGTGTATGATGTGCCCCTTGATTTTATTCTCTTTCATGACCTTCAGTGCCTCCCTTGTAGCCATCGACAATCCGACAACATTCAGCTGAAGAATTGTATTCCAATCTTCAGTTTTTGATTCTGAGAGATAGCCATTTATAACTGTGCCTGCATTGTTAATGAGGATGCTGACGGGCCCCAGGTTGTCTTTGGTCCATTTGAACACTCTGAGAACGTCTTCTTCTTTGGAGACGTCTGCTTGGATAGGATGGAAAGATCCTTTTCTACTCGCGCTCTTTTTCGCAAGTGCGTCTAGTCTCTCTTTCCTTCTTGCTACTCCAACGATCTTGAATAAACCATTCATGTAACCATACATTAATAAAAACATGTGAATTGATATCTGTGATATCTACAGGATATTGCCACCATTGCGATATTCAACCTGTGTATTCGAACGACAAAGCTTTAGAGGTGATAGCCCTGGTAATTTCATTAGGACTGATAAGGTTTATGCAAAGTCAGTTGAACAGATCATCAAACGAATGTAGGGCCGCGCTGCCGCACTCTTTGAACTCTCAATAGGACCGACGGTTTGCGGTGATGTGTTGTTCCAACTGACATAAACATACGAGGATCATATACGTATTAATAAACAATACGGAACATAACGGGTGCCAGGATGAAGCCAAAAATATGAAACAAATGAATATCCATAAGGATTTGGTGGCATGATACGCATGCGCCATGCGCTATTATAGTAGTCATCAAAGACATGCGTTTCGGTGGACAATGACGTTTACTAGCCTTTCAATCAAAGCAGTATGTGTCCGATCGTTTCAAAACTTTTCCTTATGGATAGTCATTTCTTTTCAAAAATCGGCTTCATGTTTCGCTATGGAAACAGATAGAGATTATCCGTATTGATTATCAATACGTATATGACGAGGATACGTACGAAGGCGTTGAAGGGCCACCACAATATTTTTTCTACGGCTATAACAAAAGATTGCCCTTGTTTTACTGATGTGTTCGATACATCAATGAGGTACTTTGTTTGTCATCAATTTTATTTCCGTTTATGATATCACAATGACTCCATTGTGTTATTATTAAAAAAAACTCATCGCCCATGGAATGTCAAATTTCGAGCAATGACAACTCTGTTCATTACTTGACAGGAAATCAGATGGCTACAAGACAAAGAAATCGAAAATGCCGCTGGTATCTATTATAAACGCAGAAAAATTATAGTGTATAACTTGCATGGAATGCTAATTTCCTACTCAAATGAATGCAGCATTCGCCTATGGCTTATGCTGCAAACTTCATTCTCGTAGGAAATCACTATCATTCCATGCTCGTTAAACAATATACCATTTTCTGCGGCTATAACACAAAATTGCTCTCGTTTGACTGTGTTCACTCCATTGTGTTATTATTTAAAAAAATCTCATCGCTCATAGAATGTCAAATGTGAAGCAATGATAGCTCTGTCTAATAGATGAGCATTACTTGACAGGACATCGGATGGCTACAAGACGAAGACATCGAAAATACCTCTATTATCTATTATAGCCGTAGACAAATTATAGTTATGAAAAATGATTCCCAGATAATAAGTCAGAATTCCGACATGAATTCGGAATTGGATAATTTCTAGGTAATAAGTCTAAGTCTTTGTACTGACAAAATATAAGTCAGAATTGAATGATTCCCAGATAATAAGTCGGAATTTATTGATTTCGAGAAACTTTATATCGGAATTCCAAGATACTTAATCAGAATTATGACAAATAATTCCCAGATACAATGTTAGAATTTCGACATAAGTTGGAATTGAATAATTCCTAGATAATAAGTCCGATTTCCGAGATACCAAGTAGGAACTCTGATCTGCTAGAAAGTATTCACCATACCTAATTTCAAATTGATATCTCTAGAAGTGAGCGGGATATTTCATTTAATATATACAATAATAATTTAATTTTGATCCCTTTAAGCTCCACCACTGATCGAGATAGGACCCATGATCATATAATTCTTTTTGATTAGAATGATTAGATCTAACAGCCAAATATTTCCAACTGATAGTAACTAGATAAAAACTACTTTGAAAATATGCTTCTCGAAATTTTCGAGACGGCGAATAAATTATACTAAAGAAGGTGAAAAAGTTGTATGCGGAAACACCAAATAATTTCAGCCTTACTTATTTTTCTCTACTTTTTCAGAATTTGTGAATGAGGTTTTGAAATATTGATATATAGGGTGTTGTTTCGACTCGAAACCTATACTCATTAATTTTTTCGAGGCTGGCCCTGGAATAAATCTTTATTTCATTATGTCAATCGACACCACTGTACCTCCTTTCATAGAGAATGAAAGACTCATGAAATATGGATTAGTCAGATGCACCTCGTATGCGCATTTCCCATCAATCACCCTGTATAGGGTCACTCCATAGGTGGTTGTGGAGCAATTTTCGAGTAATTTCAAAATTTCGATATAAATATAAATACCTTGATATTATGATCCAGCAACTTGTCTACTATAGAAGCACCGATTCCAGAGCTAACCCCTGTTACTATAGCTACTTGTCCTGCCCAACGATCCATCTTTAGATTCAACAAGTCACTATCAAAGCTCAAATAATGAACGAAAATATTTGTGTTGGCCTATACATCTTATATAGGTTGTAGGCATCCTATAATTTCAAGGTGAACATAGGCGTCCTCTGTATTTTTTATAAGTATAATGGCATGCAGTCCTCCTTAGCACTCATGAAAAAACGTATAAAAACTTATATTTCGCAAATAGGCCGACTCTGTATTCGTAACTTCCTTAGTATCAAATGAGACTGATATCGATTATTGAGGGGGTGTATAATTTGCTGACCAAAATTAAAGTATGCTGACCGAGCATTTCTCGAATTTTTCCTTCAAATTCATATTTCGATATCTTATGTAGATTTAAAGATGCCACCAGTGGAATTATTTCGATCCACTCTTTCAGAGGGGTAGTTTATTCTTGCAGTTTTTCAAAATTCTTTGCTGACCGAGCATTTCTGGTTCGTATTTTTCCATCATATTACATATTTGGATATCTCATATATATTTATGAATGCCACTAGTGGAATCATTTCGATACACCCCTTTTGAAGGGTAGTTTATTTTTGCAGTTTTTGAAAATCCTTGCTGACCGAGCATTTCTGGTTCGTATTTGGATATCTCATATAGATTTATTGATGCCACCAGTGGAATTATTTCGATCCACCCCTTCAGGAGGTGATTTGATGGAAAGGAACGAACCAGAAATGCTCGGTCAGCAAGGATTTTTGAAAAACTGCGGGAATGAACTACCCCTCTTAAGTGGTGGATCGAGATAATTCCACTGGTGGCATCTGAATATCAATATAAGATATTCAAATAAGTAATTTGATGGAAAATTATGAACCAGAAAGGCTCGGTCAGCAAGGATTTTTGAAAAACTGCGAGAATGAACTACCCCTCTTAAGTGGTGGATCGAGATAATTCCATTGGTGGCATCTGAATATCAATATAAGATATTCAAATAGGTAATTTGATGGGAAATTATGAACCAGAAGTGCTCGGTCAGCAAGGATTTTTGAAAGACTGCGAGAATGAACTACCCCTTTTAAGTAGTGGATCGAGATAATTCCATTGGTGGCATCTGAATATCAATATAAGATATTCAAATAGGTAATTTGATGGAAAATTATGAACCAGAAGTGCTCGGTCAGCAAGGATTTTTGAAAAACTGCGAGAATGAACTACCCCTCTTAAGTGGTGGATCGAGATAATTCCACTGGTGGCATCTGAATATCAATATAAGATATCCAAATTAGTAATTTGATGGAAAATTATGAACCAGAAATGCTCGGTCAGCAAGGATTTTTGAAAAACTGCGAGAATGAACTACCCCTCTTAAGTGGTGGATCGAGATAATTCCATTGGTGGCATCTGAATATCAATATAAGATATTCAAATAGGTAATTTGATGGAAAATTATGAACCAGAAGTGCTCGGTCAGCAAGGATTTTTGAAAAACTGCGAGAATGAACTACCCCTCTTAATTGGTGGATCGAGATAATTCCACTGGTGGCATCTGAATATCAATATAAGATATCCAAATTAGTAATTTGATGGAAAATTATGAACCAGAAATGCTCGGTCAGCAAGGATTTTTGAAAAACTGCGAGAATGAACTACCCCTCTTAAGTGGTAGATCGAGATAATTTCACTGGTGGCATCTCAATATCAATATAAGATATTCAAATAAGTAATTTGATGGAAAATTATGAACCAGAAATGCTCGGTCAGCAAGGATTTTTGAAAAACTGCGAGAATGAACTACCCCTCTTAATTGGTGGATCGAGATAATTCCACTGGTGGCATCTGAATATCAATATAAGATATCCAAATAAGTAATTTGATGGAAAATTATGAACCAGAAATGCTCGGTCAGCAAGGATTTTTGAAAAACTGCGAGAATGAACTACCCCTCTTAAGTGGTAGATCGAGATAATTTCACTGGTGGCATCTGAATATCAATATAAGATATTCAAATAAGTGATTTGATGGAAAATTATGAACCAGAAATGCTCGGTCAGCAGGGATTTTTGAAAAACTGCGAGAATGAACTACCCCTCTTAATTGGTGGATCGAGATAATTCCACTGGTGGCATCTGAATATCAATATAAGATATCCAAATAAGTAATTTGATGGAAAATTATGAACCAGAAATGCTCGGTCAGCAAGGATTTTTGAAAAACTGCGAGAATGAACTACCCCTCTTAAGTGGTAGATCGAGATAATTTCACTGGTGGCATCTCAATATCAATATAAGATATTCAAATAAGTAATTTGATGGAAAATTAGGAACCATAAGTGCTCGGTCAGCAAGGATTTTTGAAAAACTGCGAGAATGAACTACCCCTCTTAAGTGGTGGATCGAGATTATTCCACTGGTGGCATCTGAATATCAATATAAGATATTCAAATAAGTGATTTGATGGAAAATTATGAACCAGAAATGCTCGGTCAGCAAGGATTTTTGAAAAACTGCGAGAATGAACTACCCCTCTTAAGTGGTAGATCGAGATAATTTCACTGGTGGCATCTCAATATCAATATAAGATATTCAAATAAGTAATTTGATGGAAAATTAGGAACCATAAGTGCTCGGTCAGCAAGGATTTTTGAAAAACTGCGAGAATGAACTACCCCTCTTAAGTGGTGGATCGAGATTATTCCACTGGTGGCATCTGAATATCAATATAAGATTTTCAAATTAGTAATTTGATGGAAAATTATGAACCAGAAATGCTCGGTCAGCAAGGATTTTTGAAAAACTGCGAGAATGAACTACCCCTCTTAAGTGGTAGATCGAGATAATTTCACTGGTGGCATCTCAATATCAATATAAGATATTCAAATAAGTAATTTGATGGAAAATTAGGAACCATAAGTGCTCGGTCAGCAAGGATTTTTGAAAAACTGCGAGAATGAACTACTCCTCTTAAGTGGTAGATCGAGATAATTTCACTGGTGGCATCTCAATATCAATATAAGATATTCAAATAAGTAATTTGATGGAAAATTAGGAACCATAAGTGCTCGGTCAGCAAGGATTTTTGAAAAACTGCGAGAATGAACTACCCCTCTTAAGTGGTGGATCGAGATAATTCCACTGGTGGCATCTGAATATCAATATAAGATTTTCAAATTAGTAATTTGATGGAAAATTATGAACCAGAAATGCTCGGTCAGCAAGGATTTTTGAAAAACTGCGAGAATGAACTACCCCTCTTAAGTGGTGGATCGAGATAATTCCACTGGTGGCATCTGAATATCAATATAAGATTTTCAAATTAGTAATTTGATGGAAAATTATGAACCAGAAATGCTCGGTCAGCAAGGATTTTCGAAAAACTGCGAGAATGAACTACCCCTCTTAAGTGGTGGATCGAGATAATTCCACTGGTGGCATCTGAATATCAATATAAGATTTTCAAATTAGTAATTTGATGGAAAATTATGAACCAGAAATGCTCGGTCAGCAAGGATTTTTGAAAAACTGCGAGAATGAACTACCCCTCTTAAGTGGTGGATCGAGATAATTCCACTGGTGGCATCTGAATATCAATATAAGATATCCAAATTAGTAATTTGATGGAAAATTATGAACCAGAAATGCTCGGTCAGCAAGGATTTTTGAAAAACTGCGAGAATGAACTACCCCTCTTAAGTGGTAGATCGAGATAATTTCACTGGTGGCATCTCAATATCAATATAAGATATTCAAATAAGTAATTTGATGGAAAATTAGGAACCATAAGTGCTCGGTCAGCAAGGATTTTTGAAAAACTGCGAGAATGAACTACCCCTCTTAAGTGGTGGATCGAGATTATTCCACTGGTGGCATCTGAATATCAATATAAGATTTTCAAATTAGTAATTTGATGGAAAATTATGAACCAGAAATGCTCGGTCAGCAAGGATTTTTGAAAAACTGCGAGAATGAACTACCCCTCTTAAGTGGTAGATCGAGATAATTTCACTGGTGGCATCTCAATATCAATATAAGATATTCAAATAAGTAATTTGATGGAAAATTAGGAACCATAAGTGCTCGGTCAGCAAGGATTTTTGAAAAACTGCGAGAATGAACTACTCCTCTTAAGTGGTAGATCGAGATAATTTCACTGGTGGCATCTCAATATCAATATAAGATATTCAAATAAGTAATTTGATGGAAAATTAGGAACCATAAGTGCTCGGTCAGCAAGGATTTTTGAAAAACTGCGAGAATGAACTACCCCTCTTAAGTGGTGGATCGAGATAATTCCACTGGTGGCATCTGAATATCAATATAAGATTTTCAAATTAGTAATTTGATGGAAAATTATGAACCAGAAATGCTCGGTCAGCAAGGATTTTTGAAAAACTGCGAGAATGAACTACCCCTCTTAAGTGGTGGATCGAGATAATTCCACTGGTGGCATCTGAATATCAATATAAGATTTTCAAATTAGTAATTTGATGGAAAATTATGAACCAGAAATGCTCGGTCAGCAAGGATTTTTGAAAAACTGCGAGAATGAACTACCCCTCTTAAGTGGTGGATCGAGATAATTCCACTGGTGGCATCTGAATATCAATATAAGATTTTCAAATTAGTAATTTGATGGAAAATTATGAACCAGAAATGCTCGGTCAGCAAGGATTTTTGAAAAACTGCGAGAATGAACTACCCCTCTTAAGTGGTGGATCGAGATAATTCCACTGGTGGCATCTGAATATCAATATAAGATTTTCAAATTAGTAATTTGATGGAAAATTATGAACCAGAAATGCTCGGTCAGCAAGGATTTTTGAAAAACTGCGAGAATGAACTACCCCTCTTAAGTGGTGGATCGAGATAATTCCACTGGTGGCATCTGAATACCAATATAAGATTTTCAAATTAGTAATTTGATGGAAAATTATGAACCAGAAATGCTCGGTCAGCAAGGATTTTTGAAAAACTGCGAGAATGAACTACCCCTCTTAAGTGGTAGATCGAGATAATTTCACTGGTGGCATCTCAATATCAATATAAGATATTCAAATAAGTAATTTGATGGAAAATTAGGAACCATAAGTGCTCGGTCAGCAAGGATTTTTGAAAAACTGCGAGAATAAACTACCCGTCTTAAGTGGTGGATCGAGCTAATTCCACTGGTGGCATCTGAATATCAATATAAGATATTCAAATAAGTGATTTGATAGAAAATTACGAACCAGAAATGCTCGGTCAGCAAGGATTTTTGAAAAACTGCGAGAATAAACTACCCGTCTTAAGTACTGGCCCACAGGAGTTCACAGGAATTTTGCCGCTATGAGCGATTCTGGCCAGCATATTATGGGTCTTTAAATAATTATACATCATTAAGCTGACGTGATTGGAACGAGAATGACCCATAATTATTTTTATTATTTTTTGTTTGAAGCGGAGCTTTGAAATCCGGGGTTCCCCTCACCCCGGTGTACCTTACACGGTGGTCTGAATTTAATATTTCTGGGGCTTAGGGAATTCCTTGCCAAAGGAATCATTCTCCGAAAATTCAACGAACATTTCGATTCCTACTTTCTGCTGAGCAGTTCATATGTGTGTGAAATAATGTAATGGAATTTTCCATAGAGATTTGGAGACAGATGTATGTGTAATATATATTTGAATAGCAGAAAATTTATAACAACTCATCATTTCGACAAAGATTTCTCTCTCCACATTTTCTGGACTGATGGACTGATGCGACTTCCAAGGTTTTCTGAAGGATCAAATGATTGAAATAATGATCTAAAAAGAGTCTCCAACTGGCCTTATCATCAGTTCATGTATCTGAAATAAAAAATAAATATTAGTATTTTATATATATTTTCGCTAAGGAAATCAAGGCGGATTAATGGTTTCCGTTTTATTCATTTTCCTATCATATTTTTCCTATTGCTCCCTTTCTAGGGTAGGTATGTTTGGCAATGTGTAGGTAGCCAAAAGTTTTCTCCTATTTAAACCTACTTTCTTTGGAAAGCATTCAACGAAATTTTTAAGCGATTCTTATTAGGTATACAGATTTTCCAAATCATATTTTCCCTGTCTAATTCTAATTCATCTCTAATTTATCTCTTATATCGACCTATTTTCTGTGAGAAAATCGAGAAAAACAATTAATTGGTTTCTATTCTGAAAATGTTTTCGATCATATTTCCCTATGTTCCTCTCCTAAAGTATTGTTATAGACAGACTACTCTTTGCGAAGTAGACTCGAGCCGCTGTTCTCGGAAGAACTCTTCGGATCGCATCGCACTAGGATGTTGACGTGGAACATGATTGAGGATTGTCGATGGATCTCGGAATGTTATGAAAATGCTAGAACTATATTAGGTCTGATTGTAATTGAGGCATCCGGTAGCCCGATAGTACACACGTAAAAATAATTCTTTCCTTTAATAAAATATGCTTTGAATGAAGATTATGGCTTGTTTATATATCGGGTGGTCACAAAAAACCGGAAGTTTTTATTTTCCTCGTGGTTGCATCATTTCTCAACCGAATTCGAATTTCTTGGCGTCGTTTCATAGCTAAAGGGCTATAGTATACAGTGGAATATTTGAAAATTTCATAATGAACAAAAACAAAATGGCGGATTCTACCAAAGTTTTGTCATTTGCAAAAACCGCTGGAGAAAAAGAAAATCAAATTTTTTCCAACCTGTACCGATGTCATCTTAGGCTATTCATTTCTGAAGAGAATGAGTACTCGAACATCGAAATCGATTAAATAGTCCAGTAGATATACACTCATTCTTTGCAATTTATTATGGAGTGAATGTGCTAATCTATCGTATAAACGATTATCATTATTTTGCTTCAGGCTTCATGAAAATTCAATCGAATTTGGATTTCTTAATGCCATTTCAAATCTGAATAGCTGTAGTACACAGTGGAACATCTGAAAATTTCATAATTGAAAAAAAAAAACGAAATGGTGGAGTAACCATAACTTTCGTGATTTACAAAAGCCGCTAGCGAATAGAAAAATGTTGTTATTGACATCGAGATGTAAGTCCATGAGGATTGCGTGAAACCCTGAAAATATATGAAACTTTATACTAGTTGTAGTCAAAACATAACGAATTTTGAAATGACCTGAATGTGTCTCCCTTTTGCTTCAACTGTATCGACCGGGCTATTTCTAACTGAGGCGTTGCATTTTCTACGCAGTAATCAATTTTTTCCTTCAATTCTTCCAAGTTCTCGAAGTTTCTTTCATTTGTAAATACCCGTTCGTGTAAGGTACCCCAGACATTAAAATCTACAGAGTGCAAGTCCGGTTTATTTGGAGGCCACATTGTTGGTTCGATTAGATAAGAAACTCTGTTATTGAGATAAACAATATTTGCGCTCGCCGTATGCACAGGAGTACCATCCTATAAATTAAAATAATGAATTAAAAAATCCACTAGTCAACGTGATTTGAATCTTCATTCAGCTTGTTGAAAAGTGTAGTCATCTGTGATTGCTACCACGTCATTTAGAAGGTGATTAAGAAATAATTCTCTATACACATTTTTCTATTCGCCAGCAGTTTTTGAAAATCACTCAAATTAGGGACACTCCATTTTTTTTGCAATTATGGAATTTTCAGATGTTCCACTTTGTACTAATTAATCCAAATTCGATAGAATTCTGATAAAGCCAGAAGCAAACTTCATAACACTTTGCCAAAAAGAACGTGTTTCTCCTGGACTAATTGTTCGATTCAGATGTTCGAGTGCTCATTCTTCTTAGAAATCAATGATCTAAAATTGTATCGGTCCTGATTGGGAGAATAAACATTTTTTTATTCGCCAGAGATTTTTGAAAATCACAAAAATTCTGGATTCTCCACCATTTTGTTTCTTTCAATTATTGGATTTGTTCCATTGTGTACTACAGTTCTTTATCTTTGAAATAACTCTAAGAAATCCAAATTCGATTGAATTTTCATGAAGCCTGAAGCAAAATAATAATAATCGTTCATACGAGATCAGCACATTCACTCCATAACAAATTGCAAAGAAATGACCGGACTATTTGTTCGATTTCCGAATACTCATTCTCTTCAGAAATTAATAGCCTAAGATGACATCGGTACAGGTTGGAAAAAATCTGATTTTGTTTTTCTCCAGCGGTTTTTGTAAATGACTATACTTTGGTAGAATCCGCCATTTTGTTTTTGTTCATTATGAATTTTTCAAATATTCCACTGTATACTATAGCCCTTGAAATATATAGCTATAAAATGACGCCAAGAAATTCAGTTGAGAAATGATGACGATCAATGTTAAGAATTGATTGGTTGTGATTTATGGAAGTTGAATTTATTGGTTTTCATTTTTTTGAAATGTTTTAAGGTGCGTTAGTTAATGTGTATATAGCCCTTCTTGTGGAGGATTCACTCATTGTCAGAAAACGAGGGTGAACATTTGATTGCTTTCCATTCAATTAAGTTTGAATGCATTTGATTTCAAGGAAAAATAATACGTTTGTGTACAGCCTTCACCAGTTTGTCATCTAAATTGAATAAACATTCACTTATCACAACATGATGACATTTTATTCATAATGATGATGAAATTATGTGATTATTCCACAACTAACCTGGACACGTGGTGGAGTGGATAATGCGTACATTACCCCATCGGCAATATCTTCGGGAAGAAGGATACTCTCTTCCTCTATAGCTTTCTTATACCCTTCGGTTTTTTTGAAATCCTCTGGGATGATCTCTGTATCTACCATACCAGGGCTGACACTCTGTGAAATGAAAAAAATAACTCATGAAAAAAAAAAAGATAAGCTAAGCTGATCAGCACTTTTTACGTCAAATCGAAATTTTTTCGATCTAAACTACTCAACACTAATTTCGTCGCACACCAAAATGTCGCCCATGTTATAATGTGAATAACTTTTTTCAGTTTAGAACAATTTGAATTTGGTTCACACTGTTCGATAGCCCAGTCCTTCAGCTATAATCTCATATTTCATTGAAACATAAGAGTATTCACATAAAATCTCTACATGGTGTTTTCCGACACTGTGCAAAATTTCGGAATATTCAAAAGGCTCTCAAATGGTGAAAACAATTTTTTTCACAACTTCGACAACAGAGGCATGACGATGTTCTCATTACCTCGAGATATCTCGCGAATCAACTCCCTATCTCTTTTATTTACAAAGTGATCTCAAAAAATCAACTTTTTGGTTTTGCAGCCATAACTTTTTTCCACGTCAACCGATTTTGGAAATCTTAGGCTCATTTTGAAGATTAAACTCCAGATGAAGAGATCTGAATATCAGAATTGACTCAAGATGGCTATAAAAGATCTTGAGTTTTCTTGAAAGTGACCCAAATCTGGAACGCCCTTCGAATCTCGGTTGGGAGGAGAATTGAATGAAAATCAACTTGTTATCGGAAAAACAATTCATTCTAGATGCGTCCATATTTTCCTCGCTCTCAGTAGTCAAGAATTGTGCGTGAGAAAACACAATTGAAACATGTTCTTGCAAAAACATCAGACCATTTCTCATCTGTACTGCATGGCCCGTAACCAACGTTACAAGAATCACAATGGACTGACAAACCCGACCATCCAAGGCTCATCATAAATGATGTACCAACAACCCTATGCGGTCTCGCATTGTCATCAACGAGAACAAAGTTGTCACCCACATTCGCGTTAGATGCGGCATCGAAACTATCGAAATCTGTTTATGATTCGAAAACGACGTCTAACCTGACTTGTCAGTCACTTACTATGATTCTTGTAACGTTGGTTACGGGCCATGCATTACAGAGGAGAAATTATCTGATGTTTCTGCAAGAACATGTTTCAATTGTGTTTTCTCACGCACTTTCTTGACTACTGAGAGCGAGGAAAATATAAACGCATCCAGAATGAATTTTTTTTCCGAGAACAAGTTGATTTTCATTCAATTTTCCTCCCAACTGAGATTCGGAGGGCGTTCCAGATTTGGGTCATTTTCAAGAAAACTCTAGATCTCTGATAGCCATCTTGAGTCAATTCTGATATTCAAATCTCCTCATCTGAAGTTTTATCTTCAAAATGAGCCTAAGATTTCTAAAATCGGTTGACGTGGAAAAAAGTTATGACTGCAAAACCAAAAAGTTGATTTTTTGAGATCACTCTGTAAATAAGAGAGATAGGAAGTTGATTCGCGAAACATCCCGAGGTGATGAAATCATCTCCATGCCTCTGTTGTCGAAGTCGAGAAAAAAAAATTCTTCACCATTTGAGAGCCTTTTGAATATTCCGAAATTTTGCACAGTGTCGGAAAACACCATGTAGAGATTTTATGTGAATACCCTTATGTTTCAATGAAGTACGAGATTATAGCTGAAGGACTGGGCTATCGAACGGTGTAAAACAAATTCAAATTGTTCTGAACTGAAAAAAGTTAGTCACATTCTAACAGGGGCGACATTTTGGTGTGCGACGAAATTACTGTTGAGTAGTTTATTTTGATTCATAATATGATAATTGATAACCGATTTTTTTTTCAGTTTCGTTTCATCCACTATAAAACTTCTGGAAATTATTATTGCATCTCTCCAGAATGAGATCCTACAGAATGATAATCAAAATCTCAAGAAACATCTTTCTAATATTCTTTCTGGTGGAGAACAATGTATCTGTATCACTTCATCAATATGATGATCATGCAACATTTCAAGATTCTTGACCAACGTTCCAATTTAATTTTTCGTGACTGAAAATTTTCTAGGAAAACTATGACTAGTTAGTGGCGTCTTGATTCCGAATCCGATGTGATTTTCAACCTATTTTGACTCCTAATATCATTTTCCAGAAATTGGGGTGGTTCCATGGCTGTTGGCAAGCAGTTTATATCACTGAAGATGACCCCACTTGGTGATAGAGGACAATTTTGGTATATCTCTCGCTTCAGCAAATTTCAGGATCCTTCCCCAACGAGTACGTATGATACAGGGGTGTTTTCATTAGAAGTGGGTCACACTGTATATATCAGCACATAGGTATTATAAACAAATTGTATTTGTTGAAAAATTGGAGTTATAATATTTTTTGTCATTATCCGATGCGAATTAGACAAAAACTATTTGTGGAGATAACTACATTATTCGTTGAGACAATTAATTTATTCGTTTGATACAAATACCATCAATCTGCTACAATAACGATTAGTGGTAATCTCTTACTAAGTATCCTAATTGTGACTAATATTATTCCTAACTAAGGACAATTATTAAACGCAAAAAACCTTGTGAATGTAACAACTAAGTCCATTTGGTACAAATAGGTGTTTCCGAAAAATCAAAATCATTTGCAGAAACAACCTATCCTTGTTGTCCCCAATCGTACGAAATTCATTTGTCGTAGTTACTATATTCACAGTAATGGCTACGAATTTTGTTCCTCAGTGTATTAGTCAGATTGGAGATTGGATAGGTTTTGCTCACCGTTACTTTAATTTTGTGTCCTGAAGTGCTCAACTCCATCCTCAGGGATTCAGTTAGAGCAGTGACAGCATGTTTGCTAGCAATATACATAGCAAAACCACCCTCCAAATTCATCACGTGATGCCCAGCAATGCTGTTGATGTGGATGATGTGCCCCTTGATTTTATTCTCTTTCATGACCTTCAGTGCCTCCCTTGTAGCCATCGACAATCCGACAACATTCAGCTGAAGAATTGTATTCCAATCTTCAGTTTTTGCTTCTGAGAGATATCCACTTCTAAATGTGCCTGCATTGTTGATGAGGATGCTGACTGGCCCTAGGTTGTCTTTGGTCCATTTGAACACTCTGAGAACGTCTTCTTCTTTGGAGATATCTGCTTGGATAGGATGGAAAGATCCTTTTCTACTCGCGCTCTTTTTCGCAAGTGCGTCTAGTCTCTCTTTCCTTCTTGCTACTCCTACAATCTATATTTATGTCATAGAAAATCTCATGATATATTAAAAAAAATATGAATCGTTCTATTGAATTGAGATACTTTATACGGATACGTATTATTCATAATTAGTTATTTTTGTATCTAGAGCGCGAAATGCTACTTTGGTGATCGATATTTGATATTTTTAACGTGGCGTAACCGAGTTAAAAAAATAGTCGAGATGACCAAAGTATTTCGCGCTCGAGTTGCAAACAACATTTTTTCTACAAACGTCAAAAAATACAGTTCTGAGGTAAAAATATGCTCAGCTTGATATAAAAAATGGTGTTGATCTGACTCAAAAGGCCTCCCCCTATCCTCCCTAGGTACGCACGATGTTCCACGAACATAATGGGAATTTCCATTCATGCGCTCCAAGAGATAAAACAAAGTTATTGTTGAACATTCAAAAATAAAATATTTCGTGGATGTTTGCTCGATTAAGGACCATAAAGTTGAAATATAAATATTTCAAATATTTCACATAACAATGCGCGAAGCGTAGGTACTTCCCGCACTGTTTTACTTCGCGCATTGTTTTGTGCAAGGTATCATGGTAACGTAGGAAACTGGAAAAAAAGTGTCACTTCACAATTTGTTATCAATGCGCGAACATTGTCATTTTTTGACGTTTGTAGAAAAATAACTATTTGTTGTGATTTTCTCTTCCTACTCCTACATTATACCTGAAAAGTAGGTAAAAGTAAATATCCCATACTAGACTGGAAAAAGAATATGCATGACGAAATTGCGATACATTTGCGAGACTCTCGTACGAGACGCGAGGCAAGACGAGACTCGGGGCTGCGAGACGAGACTCGAGACAAGACTTCATATTTCATCGGCGAGACGAGACTTTATGAAAGCAATCGAGTCTTATCAAGGGTACCTTTTTTAAAGTAAATGAGTTGCGCAATCTACATTTCATGCTCAAACTCCTTTTCTTCCATTGGCGTAGAATTTTTAAAGGGGCAATTATTTAAAAAATCAAGTTCTACGCCTATGTATTATTATCGGACAAAATTTTAACACCCTTTTTTTGCCACATAAAACTCTATCAATATACCAAATTTCAGCAGAATCACAAATGCCGTTTTGAATTTATATGGGAAAAATGATTTAAAAATTGTAACTTCAAAGCCCTCTGGAGCCCAAACGATGCAACTTTGTACTAAGGCAATTTTACTTAAATCGACTTATTTTGGTATACGCAATATGTGGTATGTTTTTGTGGAGAATTTTCACAGACACCCTTTATATCGGAATTCCAAGATACTAAATCAGAATTATGGAAACTAATTGCCAGATACAATGTCAGGATTCCGACATAATAAGTTGAATTTGAATAATTCCTAGATAATAAGTCGGATTTTCGATATAGGTACTGAGTCGGAACTCTGATCTGCTGGAAAGTATTCACCACACCCAATTTCAAATTGATATCTCTAGAAGTGAACGAGATATTTCATTTATTACAAAAAAATAATTGAATTTTGACCCCTTCCCCTTGTAGCTCCACCACTGATCGAGATAGGACCCACGATTATATAATTCTTTTCGATTTGAATGATGAGATCTAACAACCAAATATTTCTAACTGATAGTAAATAGAAAATATGCTTCTTGACATTTTCGAGACGGCGTATAAATGATACTAAAGAAGGTGAAAAAGTTGTATACGGAAATAATTTCAGATTTACTTTTTTTCCTCTGCTTTTTCAAAATTTGTGAATGAGGTTTCAAAATATTGATATATAGAGTGTTGTTTCGACTCTAAACCTACTCCTTAATTTTTTCGAAGCTGGCCGTGGAATAAAACGTTTTTCATTATGTCAATCCTCACCACTGTGGAGGAGGAACATGCAAACCAGATATCAAAAAATTGTATAGGGTGGTTCATAAGTTATGATCAATTGAAAAAACGGAGGATATCAATAAATCACCCTGTATCTCGGTTATGTATAGGGTCACTCCATAGGTGGTTGTGGAGCTATTTTCGAGTTATAAAAATTTTGATATAGATTTAAATACCTTGATATCATGATCCAGCAACTTGTCTACTATAGAAGCACCGATTCCAGAGCTAACCCCTGTTACTATAGCTACTTGTCCTGCCCAACGATCCATTTTTAGATTCAACTCACTTTCAGATCTCGAATGAACGAAAATATTTGAGTTGGCCCATTCATCTAATATAGGTTGTAGGCATCTTATAATTTCAAGGTGAACATAGGCGTCCTCTGTATTTTTCATAAGTATAATGGTATGCATCCCAAAAACTTGGTTTTCTGTTACGGGCCAGGAGCTATCTTACTTCCAGTCAGCTGCTTATGATCTATAAGGAACAGATCCGACCTGTCCTGGAATACTGTTCCCATATTTGGAGTGCAGCACCCAAACATACATTGAAACTGTTGGATTCGGCCCAAAAAAGGGTAATTCGTCTCGTGGGTGATGCCTCGCTCACAAACTCACTCACTTCTCTTGAACACTGTATGGAAGTTGGCGATCTGGCTCTATTTTATAGATATTTCCAAGGACGATACTCAATAAATTGTTCCTCCCTTGGCAGTCTTTGCGAGATTTTCTCATCGAGTTGAGGCTTCACACCCCTTCGTGGTCACTTTGGAGACCTGCAGAACATCTTTTTCCAGAGTGAACACATGAAAAGAAAAGTGAACACTTTTTTCGTGGATATATATAGACAATGTCGATGGCTTTGGTTTCCGAGAAAGAACTGCAAGTCCTTTTATTTTCCACTTCGCCGTTCCGTAAATTACTAAACAACCACATAGTTCACAATGTTTAAAAATCAAATCAAATTAGACTGGCAGATATTTGCTTCTAAGGAATGATAAAGATGCCTGCAAATTCCTGTTTTAAACTTCAAATTTCATGTCGGTAATTTTCCGATTTCAATATATTGTACTAACTTCTCAAATATTGATTCGTCCTCATTTCTGTCACAGAAAATAATAGCGTAATATACATGAGAAAAATATTAGATTTTAGCTCACGGTATTTTGTCTCGAGCTAAAATCTACCTACCATACTTTTTTCCCTCGTGTAATAAATAACTATTGCATCTCGAATGCGAAGCGAGGCCATTCTTAAACGCAAAAGTATCATTATGAGTTCTAGGTATAACTACTTATTTACTCATTAAAAGTAGAAAGATTCTACTACTAATGGTAATACACGCGCTTAAGAAAACCTAATTATATGTATAGAACAAAATTCCGAATACTTCACCAGATTAGTGCTTCCGTAATTTGATAATTTTCTGAAACCACTGTAAATGTATAATCTCATCTTTTTTTTTCCTCAAAAATCTATTTTCTACCATGAGAATCTGCGGTACAAAAATTTCTGTCATATACAGGGCGTATCTGAATAGCTAAGCTCTCTACTGTGGTATGGACCAGGTGCTCTAATGGCAAATACCGCGCCAGTGCCAGCTATAGGAACAAGACGTGGAAAATGTTAGGTTAGTGAGCATATCAACAATGATAATAGTGATTATTTATTCCTCTCCATACTACAATGTGGTCGACTTGATAATCAAATGAAGCTAAACAATATCGTTGTTTGAGACAAAAAAACTATTGCTTGCCGTGCCTATTCAAAAACAAGTTATCCATCCCGAGAATAACGAATGAAATACAGATCAAGCAAGTATTTGAATCTTGAAGGCTTCCCTGATCGAAACAAACATACTTAACTGAGATGTTTATAATTCCAATACTAAACTATAATAAGGTGTATTTAAATCTCCAGCATGGGTATGAAATGCCAAATCATCGAAAACAAATCAGGTATGCGTCTCAACCCAAATAACTAACCGTCACAATGTTGTTTATTCTTGATGACGTTCAGTAGATCCTTTTTAGTTCCTAGGAGCTAAAGTTCAACTTCAGCTCCTAGGAACTAGAATTCAACTTTAGCTCCTAGGAACTAAATATGTTGCCTAGCAACATACCTATTTTTGTGTCAGTAATAGAAACGTCAATTTAAGAGCTAATTTTGGTATCAAAATGGACGACTTTTGTGTCGGTTGCAGAAAAAAGTTGTTATTTGAATAGTCCAATCTAGTGATAATTTGAAACTCAGAAGAACCGGTGGTGTACAATGACATTTACCATGGATATCGATAAATTTACCCACTGTGACGACACTGGAAATAATATTTCGAATATAATTGCACTACAAGAAGCTCCATATTACTATTAAGAAAACCACAGTGTTTTATCGAAATTGAGAAATGGATAGAAAAAATATTTTTCATTTAAATATTGATACCCTGTATCTCGAAATCGAAGCAAGATAGGACACATGTTTATGTGAACTTTATTTCCTAAAATATCACTAGAAATCACTCCTTGAATTTTTCCAGTGTTACTTAGATACGTGTAGGGTATTCTCCTGTGAATTATCTGCAATATTCATTGAAATAGGAAAATGAGATTTTTTTATATGAACATACGTCCTATAATGCGTTATACAGGCACTGTGAGTAACGTTAAAAACGATCATTCAAAATTGTGACTATTATAACGGATATCGCTTCGCTTCGCTTCGCTTCGCTCGTCCCGCAAAATGCCATAGTCACATAAAATTACATAAAAATGATATTATTTGATGAAACTTTTTTTAAGGTATGCCACTGACCACATTTCCATAATCCTATTATTAGACATGATTAATGTAATTTGGTTTGAATCGAGAACGTCCTTGATATACTCTAAAATCATTGAACATTTTCAACATTATTATACTTCGTCATCATCTCAGAAATCTTTTCCATCCTAGTTATAGGCTTGATGTTTTTTTTCGTTCACTGAGTAATTTTTACTACATGCAAATCCATAACTTGCGGGCTAGTCAAAATTTTCGAGAACTCAATCATTCCAAAACATCCCTACTAATATTATAAATCCCTATCCATACTAATATCCTCGATTATATACACTAGTGTGACTACTCAATGCCAATATTATGAATGTGAATGTAAGTTTGTTTGTCGGGGTTTGACGCCAAAACTACTCAACCATTTATCATGGAATTTTGTATACATATTCTCAGATGTATTAGATAGGACATTGGATACTTTTCATTGAGAAATATATTTTTACGGAGGCAACAAATTATCGGTGTGGCATGAGGATTATCATTCCTCTATGAATCTGTTTTACCAGTGATGCCTCGCGAACAAACTCACTCACTTTTCTGAAACATCGTAGAAAAGTTCGCGATCTGGCTCTATTTCATAGTTATTTCTATGGACGATGCTCTTCTGAAATACCAACAATTGTTCCTCCCTTGGCAGTCCCCGCGAGATTAACCCGTCGAGTTAAGGCTTCGCACCCCTTCGTGGTCACTTTGGAGACCTGCAGAACATCTCCATCCAACGAACAGCGAGGCTCTGGAACACATTGCCAAGGGAGGTGTTCCCCGAAGCATATAACCTCCAGGAATTTAAGAAGAACACCAATTCCTACCTTATTTCCCTTGGTTCCCACGATGTTCTCTAAACATTACAGGATATATGTTTTCGTGGGAGCCAGAACATAAAAAAATACTAGACCAGGTACAGTTCATCGACTTGACTTTGAAAAATAAAAAAAATGTTCGCTTTCTGCGCAGCTATTGTTATTTTGTGTCCCCGAAACGAAACTTACGCTACGCCACTGGATTGAATCAACGCAAATTTAGATTGTAAACTACATCAAAATAAATATTAGGAAAAATATAAGTCTTTCATTTCATGTTCTTGCTTGACAATATTGATATAGGATTATCTAAATGACGCCGAAAAATAAACATACCGACTCAAATGTTGAAATTTTATCAAATCGATGTACCGATGTACCTTCCAAACGTGAAATATCTAATCAGAAAAAACAACAAAGTTTGATTCATTGGTCACCCAATACAGGATTTTTTTATGATAAACGTTAATTATACGTTTCTGGCAAACCAAGCACTTGATGAATCTGAAAATTCGATGTTATGTACAAATGGACATCTACACCTCCGAAATATTTCAAAGAATGCAGCAATTTTCATTTTTCAAATTTAACATCCTGTATTCCATTGCATTTTTCAATATATCATTCCAATATACCTACCAAAAATATCGGGAACAACTGGACGAATTTAACAGTGGAACCTGAGGCGCTAACGCTAATGAAGTTGGGAACAAGCCCGTGGAGAGGTGGGAATTGGTTCATTCCCCCCTATCTTAAGCGAGTTGGCAAGTTGAGTTCGGGTTAGTATCACAAAAAGAACTTTTCATAGTGTACACCGTGTCCCAGCTAAAATGTCCCCCCTTGTAAATAATCAACTGCGCAATCGAATGACTTGAAATTTAGTCACCTAGTATATTTGATGATGCTCCCTCGAAATATGCTATTGAATAAATCCTAGGTATACAGGATCACACCGAAGTGCACCTCAACTTTCTTATTTGAATAGGGACACCCAGTATATTATTCCATTATCAAGTAGAGTTCATTATTACATATTGAAAAATGCCGGGTTTGATGGGATTCTTTCAAACGACCACGAAGATATGGCAAAAAATAAAACTACCTAATGAAAAATTGATATCATTATATTTTATTGATATAACACGATTGAAATCGAATGATGGGTGTTCTGCATATATAACTGCATACCTAGCCGTAAAGGAATATCTTCGTCATCGGTTTGGAGAAAATTAAATAACCACCAATTGTCTCGATGGTGATTGCAACTGGCCAGTTCGGCCGCCAGACCTTACCCCACTTGATTTTTATTTGTGAGTCTACTTGAAACAACAAGTTTATGAGTCGCCAATGGTGAATATGGAAGAAATGAAAGAGAAAATCACAAATTTATGCGCACAAACTGATCGCAACGTGATACATATAGGGTCACAATGAACGTTATCAAAAGAGCTAGGAAATGTTTAGAGCAAAATGAACGACATAATGAGCAGTTGAGGTTCTAATTTTTTTTCTCATTCGATTTCAATCTTGTTACAATAATAAAATCTAGTCATATATAAATTTTTTATTGAATCATTTTATTTTTTGCCATATCTTCGTAGTCATTTGAAAAAATCTCATCAAACCAGGCATTGTTGAATTTATAATAATGAACTTAACTTGATAATGGAATGATATACTGGGTGTCCCTATTCAAATAAGAACGTTGAGGTGCACTTCGGTGTGACCCTGTATACCTAGGATTTATTCAATAGCATATTTCGACTTTAAACAGGAAATTTCCAACTTCAGAAACAGAAATTCTCGATTTTATAGTCAGAATTTTTGAGTTCAAACATGAAGGGAAACTATATTTTCAGTTCAAACTATGACCTGTCAACTGCAAACTCGAAGTTTCCGACTGATGAGTAGATGATTTGGAAATTGAAGTCGAGAAAATGGAATTCCGAATTTTTGGAAGTGGTCAGATTTCCCTGCACTGATGAGAGTCAAAGAGCTCGAAACTGGTCTGTAGCTGTCTAGCGTGGCCTGGCTAAATCGAAATCAATAGGCATCCAGGAAAGATTCACTTGTACCTGTATTCGTTTATACGAGTCTATGCATAGACTTCGGGAGGATGTAATTCAATGTTCTGCGTGGAATTAGCCAGATAAGTATAGTTGTTTTTCTCCCGAAATCTACCATTGTTGTTCAGTTTATGAACATTGTGTGGATATGACTTTGAGTTTTTTGTATTTCTTCATATAACTTTTGTATCAAATTCGTTTCTATCTTCAATAGGAGGAGGTATGGACCACTGTGACCTCACAACATACACCTATTTGTTGTAAGTATACCTTTAAACTGCAATACTCAATTTTGAAAATGTATTTCGGATTTTGAGTAAAAAAAATTAGAAACCTACAATATCACAAATGAAAAACTGAACTATAATGCCATTACATTTTTCATCAGATTTTTCTTGATATTGAGAAGATTCAAGTTCATTATTTTTTTTTCCGAGACCAAGACTTTCGGGAGAGAATCTTGGTCCCGAAAGTCAAGTCTTGGTCTTGATCTTGGGAAGATTTATTGAGTCTTGGTGTTGGTCTTGTATCAAGACGAAGACAAGACCAAGACTAGACTCTTGGTCTCGCCAAGCCCTCATCAAGATCAATATCCACAGGGTATAACATGAAGCTATAGTCACGTTGTAGCCATCTAGTGGCAAAGCTCTAAGGTAGGATCCAGAGATCACGACACACCCAATATGGCGCTGCCATTTATAGTCACGCGTAAAGACCCTTACGTCTATACGCTACAGAGTGGTACTACAAGTAAACCACTCTGCTGACAGATGACACTACCTGATCATGCTGTTGACTTAGGTGAACAGGTTCGCTACCTTGATAAGTTTTAGCAGCCTCTTCACCAAATCATTCTTTGGCAAGGCCTCTTGAGAGTTTACTGCTCCCAGAAGGTTGTATCTCCAACGCGCTAGTGCTTCGCACTCCAATATTACATGGGTGGCAGTTTCCTCCTCCTCATTGCATAGTCTGTATATGGGTTCGACTGTATAGATGCCCATTTGATGCATGTTTCCTCAAGGGGCAGTGACCGGTTATTAGTTCCGTCACTTGTCTGATCTGACTTCTGTTTAGGCTCAGAATGACGTTAGTCACTGTTTTGGACAGTGTTCCAACCATCAGTTTACTGTGTCTTTGTCCTGGGACATTGTTCCAGTATGCCTGATGTCTTTCTTGCACCCACCTTGCCAGCCAGCCGCGTATTGAGGTTTTGGGGATACCGAACACAGGTTCCGGTCCCATAAACAACGCCGCAGACCCTTGCCTGTCAAGAGCGTCAGCTGCTTCATTGCTTTCAATTCCCTTATGCCCTGGCACACATTGAAAAGTTACTTTGTTGGGGTTAGCCAGGGTTAGCAGGCTTTGAAGGCAATCCCAGACCAGTTTTCATCTGATTTTATTGCATGTTAAAGATTGAATGGCCGCCTGACTATCTGAGCATATGAGGATGAAATGGCTATAACTTCATGTTATACCCTGCGTCTTCGAAATGGTTGATATACCCGAAGCGTAGAGTTGTCCCAGTTGTCAGCAGACCGAGAGCGGCTGATGAGACCTGGTGTGTCGAATCAGTACTGTCTCGCTCCTGCTGACAATTTGGGGCAACTCTGATGTTCATCCTGGATCTCTTAGTTATGAGATCTAGCATTTCAAGATCAATATTATAGGGGTAAAACGAATTGAGATGTTTTGTGTCTTTGCGACAGGTCCATTTAGGAAGTCATTGGAAAGCACATGATGTAGCGTCCTCTATCAGTTGAAAGCTCAACAACAGCTACAATCAAACGCGAATTCCTGCAACGCAACGATTTGGCGAATCACACCACATTTCTACAACTCTCCTGCTGTCTCCTCCTTTCTGCTTTGTTATTCGCTGCAAACAATCACGGGCTAACGAAACGTACCACGTCCTGCACGCTGACTGAAGACCGGAAATAATACGCTAACAAGAGGTTATGCGTTATGCTCTATATGATTTTAGTTATGAATGGGTACGAATGTCGAGGTGAAGTTAGTGGAATCAGTAGTAAGTGCAGGAAGCTGTTCAAGCGCTGCAAGTGCGACTGTACAGTAAGGTAGATAGTTTTTTATTGGACGGTTATTAATTGATTAGGAGAATGATGAACCCCTGTGTAATACCCGAACCGGCAGAAGATACTGTTGGAGATGGCAGGTGGATGTCTATGGTACGTATGAAGGTATACCTATGCGTCAAAAATTTTCTGAATCTGTCCTGTTTCTGTCTCATGACGTGAGGTTGATTCGGACAGAATGATAATATTGTTATCATGGATAAAAAGTCATGCATGAGTACAGTCATTTGCAATGAAAATGTCGCTGCTGGACGGTGATAGCAACTTTAGGCACTTCTGCAATAAGAGCGCTAACTCCATCCAATCGCGACATGTTCTTCGCATCCAATGATCCAATAATATTATAACTCCTAAAAGTCCTAAATTGTGCGTAGAGAGGGAGAGAGAGGAATTGATGACAACGTAAGAGTGAGACGCATGGTGCCACATATTCAGCTAATATTATTATAAATGTTATTTTCATTAAATTTGCATTTTTAGTGTGAATTTATGTACCTTTTTTTATCGCTTGGAGCGCACGAGAGGATATCCCTATAATGTTCAAAGAACATCGTGCGTTCCTATGGAGGATAGGGATAGGAGGTAGGTATTGGGATTTTTGTTTGTTTTTATTTGACTAAATCATTTCACTCAATATGTGGAGAGAGCCAACCAATGAACCCATATAGCACACGACGTCCTGAAGACGTCCAGTTTAGGCCCGATTTAGGTCTGAACGTCCGCGGGACCTTTTCGAGACGTACCGGAAACGTCCATTTCTGGACGTACTGGGTACGTACGATTCCAATGTACTGGGTACGTCCAACTCTGGACGTTATCGACTTTCAGTGGACGGGATTGAATGAACTTGTATATATGTACAATAATGATAATTGAAATCATTGCATATAATTTCTACCCTCGATCTCTGATATCTATTCATTTAGGAAGCTTGCAAACATGAGCATAATACATTTCTCACAATTCATTTTTTACTGGCCGCACCTGATCACAAAACATCTATTCAGGTAGTCTCTACCGTCATCATCTAATTCAATATATCGAAGTGAAAGGTCAATCGACATTAGGGCATAATGTCTTGTGTACTGATATAAATCAAATCTACTTTACAGTAATAGGTATAGAATCTGCCCGGTAATCTGAAGGTCGTGGGATCGATCTCCGTTAGGAGCACTTTTTTCCATTGTTTTATTCAAAATAAGATTTTTTCTACCCTGTCCAGATCTCTTATTCATCTTTCTGAGTAAAAAAGGCGGATCTACCTTGATTCAGGTATTTATGGTTCCGTTCAGATCTGAACAGGACCTTGATCGTACTTTTTGTGGACCTCTGGTCTGGTTGTGTAACATCGTATGTCCCCAAAACGTCCTGAAAACGTACGCCGTACCTGAAATGGACGTTCTGGGAACGTTTCCGATGGCCGAGGTGTATGGCTTGAGGACGTTTTCGGTACGTTTCTGTGCAACAATCAGCTAACGCATCTGATGATTTGGTGAAAATCTGTTTGTTTTTATTGCACATGCAGTCATTTCGATTACTCTTTCTCTTTTTGAGTTGAATTTCAGGACGGTAGGATTTGCATCTGGCTGTACATATATAGGTGAAGGTGAAAGGTATACAGATTGTTTGCCGAATCGTCCTAGCCAACACATCTGCGACATAACATCTCTGAGATGTCGCGATGAGGCAATACTGCGAAGTGAACTTCGTAGTTCAGTAAAAAAATTATCTTTCAGAAAATCAACTTCAACGCCCTGTATCTTTTTCCACAGCAATATTTTATTGAGGCATGTTTTGGTCCAAACAATCTGCCCTATAGCCTCACGCTGTATACTCTCGAATATTTAATCAAATAATCACCACAATGTGTTCAACTATTTTTATTAAATGCTTCCTCAGAAAATAAGCCGTTGGTTGCAGTCCAATTAACTCGGCAATGAACTGTACTTATACAGGGTGTCAATGAATAAATGTGAAAAAATCCAGGATGTTTCTCCTTGTGATATTCCATTTCATATAAACATCCCTACATTGATTTCAAATAACTACAAATAAGATACTTTTAAATGCGTTGTATTCGAGATATAGGATGTTGAAAATACGAGTCTGAATATTGTTTTTTGATGAAAAGTTCCGAGCGGTTTGAGATAAATCAACAAAATTTCTCACAGATACTAAACTTTCTACGCTCTGTAATATGAAATTGAAATTATTCCGTGGTAGCTGCATCTGGAGGTGGTGAACCTGAATTGTAGTTTTATTGTGTCTGTCCTGTTATCATTTTTTTAGCTTAGATTTCTATTATCATTGAGAATACTCAATAACCCTAATTAGAATCATTCTGAAATTTTGGGGCTTTCTCAGTCTCCATCCATACTGAATTTTAGCACCATGAAAGCTTATACAGGGGGTTATAAATAAAAGCAATTAATACTTCTAACTTCAACATCCTGTATATCAAAAACGGAGCAAGTAAGGACACAATGACATGTTCATATGAACTTCATTTGCTAGAATGTCACAAGGAGACGCTTTGTTGAATTTTTTCGGTGTTATTTAGATACACCCTGTATAATGAAAAAGTGATGCAGTGAAGATTTTCTTGGAAAAAATAGTTGGATTTCTGCTGATGAGCTGTTTTAGAATGTTAAAAAGACGTGCTCGATAAGATTTCATAACAGCCAAATATTTTGCGAGATCGTCACATTCTGATCAAGTTACCTCCATCATCACATGAGGAAGGTATGTGGAATGTAAACAATGTTGATGAGAGTGTAACATTCCCAAATTTCCTCACTGACAAAACTGATTATGAATCAATTGCTGCGATTACACGTCTATTTTGCTCAGGCGGTAACATAGATATGAAATTTGCTGATTCTACTTAAGAAGTCTTCATTGAGCAGACTAAATCTGTTGTAGGTAGGTCTTTTAGTCTTTTAGATTTTTTAAAGGTGCAATTATTTAAACAATCAAGTTTTACGCCTATGGCAGAAAAGGGGTTTGAGTATGAAATTTCTATTGGGTATTCATTAACTACAAAAAAGTACCCTTGATAACACTCGATTTACTCTCATGGTTTTGACAAAGTTTGTATTTTTATAATTATTGTTTATGTTCTAAAATTACTAAAATGCAAATTTCGTCAAAACCATGAGAGCAATCGAGTCTAATCAAGAGTGCCTTTTTTAAAATAAATGAGTTGCGCAATATAAATTTCATACTCAAACTCCTTTTCTTCGATTGGCGTAGAATTCTTAATGGTACAATTATTTAAAAAATCAAGTTCTACGCCTATGTATTATTATCGGACACAATTTTTGCCACATAAAACTCTATCAATACAATAAATTTCAGCAAAATCGCACATGCCGTTTTAAATTTATATGGGAAACACGATTTAAAAATTGTAACTTCAAGGCCCTCTGGAGCCCAAACGATGCAACTTTGTACTGAGGTAATTTTACTTAAATCGACTTATTTTGGTCTAGAGAAAATGTGGTATGTTTTGGTAAAGACCTTTTACAGACACCCTGTATAGTTGTTTTTCTTTAGTAATCTACCATTTTCGTTCATTTTATCTCTCGATGTGACCATACACAAATGTCCAAAACATTGGAATTCTCAAACCATCCTGTATCTGTTCCGATTAAATATCAGTAAATAGTAAATCAAAAGTTGAGATTGGGAAGTGAGCCGTTTTGACCGATAATGAAAAATTTCGACACAAAAAAATTCTAAAGTTGAGAAATCTTGATTTTGAACATTCCGTGATACATCGATGAATTCAGCTCTATGAGCATAATCTGAAAATACGATGAAATACAGGGGGTTCTATTTGAAATATCAATGTTGCTACTACTTTCTAGAAGAATTGGCAACACTGCTTCGTCGAGAATATTTTGAATGAAGAGAGCGTATTCTGAAATATAAGTAATGCACATTTCATGAATTTCTCCCGACTGATTCTCGATATAGAGATAGTGTAAGCACGTCGTGTATTTTTTGAGATTATTTGATAATCCTCAGATACTTTTTAGGAAGAAAGGGCTGGTGACTGTCTCGGTTTTCAACGCCGAGCTGAAATCTGATACTTTTTTCCATTGTATAATTAATTACTCTATATTTCGTCGTGAGGCGTTTCTGGCCTTGTGAACATTCGGATTTATATTTTCTATATTTACACTCTATATCGCACGCATTTCGAGAATATGTCAGCGGAAAGCAATGAAAGAGTGAAACAAGGAATAAAGATATCAAGACATTATTAATGTCGGATTCTCCAATAAATTTCAAAATAAACATAAGATGAAAATAGAGTGCGTCATTCAAAATGAAATATCGTGGTTTCTTTTCAAGTCATATCTCATGAATGTGAGAAATAAAATTCGATGCTATGAAAAACATGTTTTCTACAAGCGTACGTGAGTCACTCTATATCCGCACGCAATTTAATTTGAGAAGTGGCATTTTCCCGCAGTAGTGCGGAAAAGTTTCCCCACACTAGTGCGGAAAAACATTTATATAATATTCTCGCATAATATGAGTGCATATGAAAATTTTAGGTTTATTTGTTGCAGTATTTATGAATGACGAAATATTGAAAAATAGTAATTGATTGTTATATAAATCCCCCTATAGCCCTCAATTGATCTGATGTGGGAAACAATAATTGTTGTCATGTCAATCAAAACACAAATTAGTTATAGCGAATTCCATAGGCAGGAACTGGTGGAGTGTTTTTGCACTCAATGTATTTGTTTCATTCTTTTACTAGCATATTATAATCCTTGTATCCTTGTGGAAATTCCTATTTCACTCAAAAGTCGAGAAATATGGTGAATTGATCAAGATAATTATGAAGTAATTTTCGTGAAAAAAAAAACAACAGCAGTTTTGCATTCATGTTATATAATGACCCTTCTAACTATCATACACAAGAGCAGCTTTGAAAATTCACGGCGACTTATCTCACAGCATCTAAAAACCCTTCACTTTTCTATATTTCGCTCTCAAGTAATCTTGGACATTCCCCCGTATGTCTTCTTCGCGGTAATAAGATGCGGCTATCTAACGAGCGAGGCGGAGATAGGTATTTAGTGAGAAATACGGAGTCCGTTCTGGAATTTCAAATATTCACCTCGTCTCCTACCCCTTAATAGAGGAGAAACTGAAGTATCATTGATATCATCCACTTAAGAAATGGGTCAGAGCCTATAGCCTATATCTTCCGTGGGTCACTAATAGATTACATAGTCGATGTAGATACTGACAAACTTCTGGAATATCTAAGAATATTCCGATAGATCAATTATGTTTCACTCAACACTTCGTAGTTTAACATATCCTTAGTTTTTTGCGATTATCTCGTAAACCTTTAGATCTAGGTACCTATATAAAACTAATTCGTAAAATCACCTGTCAAAAGAAGATGTTGAGGCAAATATATAGTCAGAAACGTCCATAACCACGTCACTGGTTCATGTAAATTATCTCACTCTGTATGCAATTTCATCCGTTGAAAAATCATATGTGTATATTTTTAGTAGGTACCTACCTACCGACACTAAATGACATTTTATACAGAGGAATAGATAACATTGAAATGTGTTGAAATAATCATTTCTTTGATAATTGTTGCCGAAACCTTTTTTTTTTTTCAGCATAATCGATATATTCAAGAAGCAAAAACCAGCGAATCGGAAGTTCTTTTCATAGGTGATTCTATCATTCAGCAGCTGCAGTTTAGCACATTATGGTCTGAAAAAATTAGTGCCTTACATTGTATAAATTTTGGAATTGGAGGTGACAGGTGAGCACAATCTGCTCCTAGCAGGGGAGCATTATTTGAACTTGTAATTTCTTATCATTCATTCAAGACTGGCTATTCCGGGTATTTCTAAAATTCGATCGGTAAATTAATATTTCTAGTTGTTTGATAAGGTCAAAGCTTAGGGTGACTTTATAAAAACTTTGAGCATTTAAGATTCAACATTGAAACATTTAAGACTTAAGAATCTTGAGTGGTTTCAGTTATAAAAAAAATCAAGATTCTATAGGGCGATACATGTCTTCTGTCATTCCTGACATCTAGTTTCTGTTACACAACCATATCGATGGTATTTTTGCAAAAGGGCGAATACGCCATATTTGATATTTGCGATTTTGACATTTTTGCAGGAAATCATAGATTTGGGATATTAGTACTTAAACGTCATATCAGGAAACCTAACCTGTCTGAGTCTAGATTAATTCAGATTGCCAGCAGTACTGTTTTGCACTGAGATTGATCTTGAAAGTTATAAAAGACAAATTACACTTATGAGCAATGTCAATTTGACGAGGAAAAATATCGACTGACTGTTTGTGGGGCCTCATCAAGTAGTGTTGACTATAACACAGACAGTAGATGCCTTCATGCCTCCCATGAATATGCGAGGAAACAAAAGAAGTAGTGTGCAACATGTGGGAAAAAGCACTTTTCTCACTTGTTGCACAATATACTATATATTTGAGTTTGAGAAGTTGGTGCAATAACCTTACAATACCAAAGAATTATGACCAAGAGTGTATTTCTATTTCCTATAAATCTGATATTCAGGATGTTTCACCAGAAACGGATGGAGAAGACGAATCTAATAATAATTGTAAACCAGTAGCTTCTAAGATGAAACACATGTATTTTTTTGTTATTTTCTGTATTTTTCCAGAATATATTTGTGGAAATTATTGCTATTTTCTCACTATGGAATATCAGTGCGAATTGCAGACGACGATGGGCGACTGTTATTTATATTCTAAAAACTAGGACGAACGTAGGGCGAATATACCAAGTACGAAAGTGTGATTCACCAAAACGGCGAATATTCACAAAAATGAGTTTTATAACGATATTTTCAACTTTTCCTCAGTTTTATCACCAACCAAACTGACACACTAAATTGTGAACTTTTTTCCAGCACCTTGCTGACGTGATCTGGAACAGTTTTTTCCGTATTTCTCGAAACCGTCATTTGGCGTATTCGCCCTTTTGCAAAGATACCATCGATATATTATCTTCAAATATAGAAACTGGTTGGAAATCACAATTTCATGTTATGCTATCATTCTATTGATTTATATTTATATTCCTAAAATAATACTCATATCCATTATATCTCCACATCATTTTGAAAGTAATGACTATTCCTTACCCAGCAGAATTTGGCTAACTCCTTGGATCTTTTGGATAATATAGAGGCAACAGAGTTACGACATTCTAGCGTATTTCTGAAGAACGGTTCAGTATCCATCAGAAGAAAAGCAAATATTCAGGAATAACAACACAAGATATTTTGAATTATTTTTGAATGGCGGGAAATTGAGATGTAACTTTCGGATGCGCACTCCTTATTCCATTTATGATCATTTATCAGCACTTCTTAAGTTTGAAGTTGGTCATCCTCTTAAATCTTAAATGTTGAATCATGGTTTTATAACATAACCAATGAAATTGCCATGTTCTATCTGTCATAAGTGATGAGTCTTAAATGTTAGGTAATAAATCTTTAGTCTCAAAGTTTTATATAAAGTGGCCCTTATTCATTCACGAGATCGAACTTGGTCCAAAGGAGCTTGCGCATTGAGGACCTGTGATAAATCTCAGTCTTATACTTATGATTCTGAACTCCAAGAGACATGACTCGATATCATCGTCGTATATGTCTTTGTATACGTGAAAATGATGGAAATTTCGAAAAATTGTTGAGATATTTGCTATACTCAATCGTTTTAGTTTTGACTGATTCTTTGAATTACTACAATTAAAATTTTGTCGAAACCATCAGAGTGATCTAATTTTATCAAGAGTTACCTTTTTCGTAGTAATCAAGTTACACAATGCAAATTTCATATTCGAACCCTTCCTTTCCTTTGACGTAGAAGTTTCAGAGATGTTTATTCGCTGAAAAAATCAATGATACTGGATTTTATTGCCCAATGAAGCTGTCAACGTACCAAATTTGAGAAAGATTTCATGAGCCGTCTCAAAGTTTAGAAGCAAAAACGATCAAAACATTGTAACTCCAGAGCCGTCTAGCGCGTTGTTTTTGCATTTTTCAAGTCTTGTCATAAAACGCAAGAAGTTATATACTCTGCCATAACTTCTGATGGATTTTTGAACACATTTTCCCACTTAGCAAATTTGGAAGCTTTGTGATGCAAGGTTGTAGCAGTTACTGAAACGGACGTGCAGCAATATTGCAAATGTAAATTTGTAAATGTAACGTTCCAGCAATGTCACAGCAATATGCAATATTGCTGAACGTCTGTTTCAGTAATTGCTTCAACATTGCATCAACATAGCTTTCAGCTTAGTGGGTTATGAATTATCCAAATCAGAATATCAACTTGTGTGATATTTATTGTTAATTTTATTGGTAAGCTGAATTCGATAAAGCAACACACGTATATCACTCTATATTTGGAACAAACAGATTTCTTATTCCTTTGCCAAATATGATTTTGGATAAAATTCATATTCAATTTTTCAAACCATTGGATTTGTTGTTTTTCTTTCTTGTTTGTTGAAATCGAATGAAAATAGTCACAACTCGAGGTGGCGTTTTCAACACCCTGTATATGTGCTCAGAAATCACTTTCTTGACTTTCCAATATTACAAAATATGAAGTTGCTCGGAGGCAAAGGAGGGTACTGGTACTGGTAAAAGTGGGGGACGTTGGGCAAGATAAACCAATGCCATCGGCATTGCTCCTTCTCACGCTCAACTCGTAGGTTTCCTAATTCTCTGATGCTTCTAGTCACATCATCATTTTTTTCTTGTGTTCTGTGGATGTATTGTTACTAACTCCATACGGCACTTTACGGGCGCAGCACTGTCAATTGGAACGCATTACGGAACCATATCTGGTCGAGGCTAGGGGACTTTGTGAAATTAGGGAAAGGAGGGGGGGGGGAGAGTAATGTTACCTCATACTTGTTCTGAATTTTTTTTTAATGATTTTAGGGTTGAAAACGTTCTATGGCGAGTGAGGAATGGCGAACTGGATTTCAACACCAGAATTAAGGCTGTTGTATTATTCGTAGGAACAAATAACTTGGACTGTACTCCCCACGAAATTTTCGAGGGAATTTTGGAAATCATCAAAGAGATCAAGAGTAGACTGGGAAATGTAGCAATAATTCTGCCGGTGAGGTTGAATTTAATTATTACCTTCTTCACAATTTATGTGGTCCAGACGAGAATTTTAGAAAAAACTGTTATTCAGATTCTTGTTCGGTGAAAAACAATACATCAATATAGGTTACTCAACAAAGTGAAGCTGAGTTCGTTACTTTGCTATCAAACTATTCTTGGTTTGATTACATCTCGCCGACACACACTACATAATTTTTTATACAAATACTAGTAATTGATCACATTCTGATAGAGATCCGTGGGTACCAAGGCTGAATAGACGAGTGAATGGACATGGATACCCGAAGAACCACCAACCAGTCACAACTAGAGTCACTATGGATGGTATCAGTTAGATAACTAATACCATCCAGTGACTCTAGTCAAAACAACACCTAATCAATATTAGACGTCATCAGAAGTCAGTGGTGTGCCTATTATCACACCATGTTTGAAGGAACACTCTTTTTGTTTTACTTGCATCGCATATCAAGTGTTATCGCAAAAACACTTCGCTTTTTCATCACAAATAACATATCGCAATCACATCGCAAAAAATATATCGCTGTTATATCGCAGAGAACTTATCGCAGCGACGTCGCATGGATGAAACTTGAGTGCGACAAAATAACATCCCTATGACATCGCAGCGACGTCTTGTCAATGGTTACATCGCTGCGATATCTCTGTGATGTAACTGTTTTTGCTGGCAATTAATACACTCCAAAAGACAAACTGGGTGAAGTCACGTCTGAAAATCTGTCACTACACATCGAATTGAATTTGTTTTTCTGATATTCACCAGTCGTTGTTCATAGAAATTTTATTTATATTTTTTTGTCCACAGACGTTACTTCCGAAAGGACAGTACCCGAATCCTTACAGAGACAGAAACGACCACGTGAACACCTTTCTGCTGGACAAATTCTTCAACGAAGCCAACGTAGACGAGGTCACAGAAAATGTTCACGTGGTAGTGATAGACGACCACATCATCGGCAACGATCAAACCATATCGCATCACATCATGCACGACTATTTGCATCTGACGAATAGCGGGTACACCAAAGTGTTCGGGAGAGTTTATGAAAAGTTGTGCGAAATTCTCAAAGTCACTTCTCGAAAATGACATCAGTGGCGGCTCGTGCTCCTTTCAGCAGGGGAGGCTGAATGAGAAGTGTGAATGTAAAACTGACGACACATAAGTTTCTTGTTCATAAATAATCCGTGAGAGGCGCTGATATCGTCATATTCTCAAGGGCCATCGGACCAAATCACTTATACTCACGACTCACGACAAAAAAATAATTTTTCAAAGTGTTCATATAATTCTGATAGCTAGGCCCGGACTGGCTACTATTTTGCTATCGGGCAATTTCCTTGAACGGCCTGCAATTTTCAGGTCCGTTTTCTTGGGTATAAATAATCGTTATTTCATAATGATGATCATAGGTTGAAAGTCGTTAATCTATAATCTATGTGATGATACAAAGTGTGACTGGTTAAGTCGGACAAAAGTTGCGCATCCAGAGCAGCCTTCGAAAAATTTCAAAATCATTCAGGTTTTCAGTTATATCGAAAAGAGTTGAATTTTGTTATTAGAGTTTGACAATAATAAAATATATGATAAAAAATCTGAAAATAGTCTAGATTTATGTTTTGTTTTCCATCTCTACGATCCTGATTAGGTGTTCACAGATTCTTAAGCATTTGTAACTCTAAATTCTGAAGAAAAATTATGATCCATTTCATTTATTGTGAAGAAAATTGAGTCAACACACTGATATATTATCGACTGGTTCTAATTATCTGAAAAATCTCAATACCTATATTTACAAGTTTCTTCTGATGAATAGAAATACAATTATTTTTTCGATGTCTTCAGTTTTTTTGAGTTCAATTATGAAATAATTCGTTCTATCAAATAGATCGATACAAAATAAGACGATATTATGCTATGTAGGTAGTAAAATAATAAGGTAAGTATCAGGAGGGGTGAAAGAACTTACAGTCACAACTCCAACACATAAAAAATTTTTAATAATGACCGCCGGTCATGGACATAAGTAAGGACATGTTTCGAATGATTAATCCTCCATCATCAGCAAATGTATCAAAAAAAAATCTGTAAAAAGAAACCATGCTTATTAGAATTCTAAATGTACCTACCATTATTGGTGGAAAAAGTTTACTTAATAAAAAACATGAAAAAAAAAATAAAAAATAATAAGGTATGTGTTATTACTAAAGAGTAGGAGTTGCAAATCAATAGGAATTGAAACTAATGATATTTTTCTTCGGAATTTCGAAACACATTCAAACTATTTTGCATAATACATTAAGAAAAGCTTACAGCATCTGGTGGACGCACACTCAGAACACGTCAGGACCGTATTAGCATTTGCCCGGTTGCGATTTTCCTAAATATACTGCACGCTAGCACAAACCACGCCCACCATAATACGTCATATCTCATACTGTGCTCCAACGCAAGAACTGAAGCTTTCTCGTTGTCAATCTCTTGTACGCAGTAAATTCATGCACCCAAATGGTCTACTGGTTAGCGCTGTCGACTCTCAGTCTGAAGGTTCATGGTTCGAATCGCTGTGAACTCGAACTTTTTTTTGCAACTTTTTTTTTTTCACCAATGTTTTTTTACTTCATTCTGGTTTTCCTTTTTCATAAAATATTTGAAGTCAAATAGGTTAGTGCGTTTAGGATAAACAGTCTCATTTTATTCAATTTTGTTGAAGAACTCAACTTTTGAAATATATTATTAATCAATGTGTTTCTACACTCCATTCGGTTTTCCTTCCTCAAAAATATTGCAATCAGGGATAGGTTAGTTCGTTGAGGATAAATAGTCTCTGAGTTTTGCCTAAGTAAAGTACTTTGAAGATGAGATATAACGTGGTATGTGCTACTTTTTCAATCGATTTATTTATATGAATCAGCTACGTTGTGCTGTCAAAGATTAGATTTTGCAGGATTGTGCTGGGCTCGATTATATTTTGCAATGCCGTAGTAGGGGGCGTGTCTTGTGCTGCAATAGTTTATATTTAGTAAAATCGCTGCCCGGTTGCCCGCCGGTCCTACCCAGGACTGCTGATAATAGAGTTTTTATTTCCATTTTGAAGAGAATTCGTACAGTGAAATCTGTTAAAATGAGATGAACCTTATAAGTATTGCGATTTTATATACTGTTTATTTATTATTGCCAAGTTTGGACAAAACAAAAGCGCATGAGTGGAAACACCATTACTTATAAACATCTCAGTCACACGTGCTCCTTCGCAAATTGCTAATTTGGCAAATTTCATTGGTCAGAGGCTGCGTTTGCTTGGATGTTGCCAAGTCGCAAATTTGTATTCTACTCTGAATACTTTTAGGTATGAATAAAGCATTCGTCGCCCTAGAATAATAATGTTTTATCTGCCTTTTTTGTCGAAATTGAGATTATGGTATTTTAGGGTTCTATCTCATGAATTCTTCATTTTGAGAGGTCAACTATCGCAATCTGTTAGAATTTAAATAAGTTAGTCATAATGCAGTTTTTCATCTACAGAATGTTTCTCTCTTAAGTTGGTGTAACAACATCCTAACTACAAAATTTGTTTTATCATAGTCCAATCTACACCCAGATAGAACTTTGTTTCATCAAACCAATACATATACACTCTTGTTGTCTTAGTTCATGAAAATTAAATATTCACAGTCATAGTGCATGGATTGGAATTGATATTTTTTCACCGTTATTTTTCATCAAGAACTTGACAGCAGTGTATAAAAGAAGCCATACTACATCTGAGTAACTGAAAGTTACCGATTTCAAAGATTTCGAAAGTTGTATCAAGAAACTCCAATACAAAAATTTTCCTTCCTTCCAAGTTGCTGCATTGAGAGAAGGTGAACGCATTCGAAAGGAATGAATGATGCATGAACGAGACTGACAGAAATTATTTCGCCGCATTCCTGAAAGATCTAAGTTGAATCAGTCATTTTGTACTTCGCCATTTCGTTAATTCGAAATATACGTGCCGTAATTTTTTTCAACATATTACTATTATTACTACCCATACACATATACTTTTACTCATATTCATTGATTCAGAAGTGAATCTGATGGCACTCAAGACAATTCGAATTAGTTTTATCGTATTATTTCATGAAACAGAGATGTATTTCATTGTATATTTGTCAGTTATTGAATCTGTGTTAGAACCTTGTTCAATTACTACGATAGAAAATCTTTCTGGAACAAAGTTCTATCTACATTTTAGATGTCGGAATTAAAATTTATTCGAGAATGAGGAAAGGAAAAAAATCAACTCATAAAAACTTCAACCCATTTAAATATACTTAATCAAAACAAAAAATCTGATGGATTGAAATGAACCGAAATAGTCGAAAGTTCACAGCACGATTTTGAGCAACTATAACTTGGTCCAGATAGTACCTTATTATTCTAGGGCGATGCATTGCTGCCAAATTCTCAAATTCTACTTGATATCAGGAAATAAAACCGATAAAACGAACACAAGTTAGCTATTTCGGTGTAATATTTTAGAAGTCTATTGAACTATTCAGAGTCATTCTGGTCATGAATTGTCAACTCAGTTATATATGTATATTGTGGTTGTGAATCATCATAACAGGAAAAACTCATGAATTTTATCCCATTAAAATTTTATTTCATTGTTGAAGAAAATGCGCCACAGGCAAAATTTCTTCGAGTTCAAGATCTAATCCCGTTACATTAAGAGATCAGATTCAGAAAATAATATACTGTAATATTGTTGTAGCGAATCTTGTAAAACAAAGTGTGGGTACATACCTGCTCTTGTTGTTGAAGCTTTCAAGTCTTCATTTGCTCTTCATCAGGAACTCTTTATGAATCATTAAAATTCATATTATAGAGTTCTAGATGAAGAGCCGATAGAGATTCGAAAGCTTGAACAGAAACAAGAGTACATTTTGTTTTACTTTGACTGCATACCCAAAGGAATTACAAGATTCGCTACAACAATATTACAGTATATTATTTTCTCCAAATATAGAAGGGAAACTTTCGAAGGAAGCAAAAGAAGTTATTTTAGGGCCAAATATGTTAACTTGGCAAACACTCTAGGAAGTGATTCAGTAAAAAATCCAGAGAATATTTATAATATTCATTGGCGAATGGTTCAATTAGCAATGGAGATCACCATTTTGAACAATTGGAACATCAACAGTGAAACTACACTAAATATCAATGATGGTAAATGTCAATTGTGAACGTGTAGGTTTAGTCAAACCATAGATCTATGGTCAAACTGTCTTGCTATTGCTATTTGCGTTTAGTATACAAAATTTGTTACAAAATCCACCAGTTTCACATAACATTTTTCTAAAAAAAATATCAGTTACCAAGTACCTAAAAATAATATTCCATCCAAGATCATTGTGAATTTCACAATTCATTGTGTTCTTTTTGTTTCGACCAATCATCAATAATCATTTGCCCAGCTTTGTAACCGATCATCATACTCGCTGCATTCGGGTGATTACTAACTATCTCAGGCATAATACTGGCATCTGCTACCCTTAAGTTATTTACCCCCTTCACCCTCAATCTTGGATCCACTACTGAAGTTTCGTCGCTAACTGGACCCATCTTGCAAGTTCCAGCAGGATGGAATAAAGTTGCAACAAGATGTCTGATACTGCATTTCCAATAGTCATCGGATCCATAATCGAAATTTTGACAAAAGTTTGATCTGAATATTTCTGGATTATATTTCGTGAAAGCTTGTGTTCTAGTCACCTTCTCCAGATACCTGAAATGGTAAGTATATAGGTGGTAGATAGATAGATAGATTGTGCTAATTGTCTGAGACTTCTTGCTAATTGACCTGCCAACCAATCAGTGTGGGAAGTCCATCTTAGTTCAGGATCAATAAGATAATAATAAGATCTCCCAGAGCTTTACAGTTAGTTGGATTATCTGTGACGCTACTCAAGTCACGTGTACTTGATATCATTATTTGGGTCTTTGTTTTATTCAGAAGGAAACCATTTGATGTGAACCATCGTTCAACATCTGCTAATGCTTCTATGCACTGAGATTTTAAAATTTCTGGGTCTTTGTTGGAAATAAAAAATGTTGAGTCATCTGCATAATATATAGAAATTGCATTATTGAGGGAATTAGGCAAATCGTTGATGTAGATCAGGAATAAAACAGGACCTAGAATAGAGCCCTGTGGTATCCCTGATATAACATGCAACTCTTCAGATAACTGGCCATTTAGCCTTACCGATTGTCTTCTATTCTATAAGTATGGTTTGATCAAGCTTAACCACTAGTAGGAATGAAAGATGAAATAAATATAATTATGTCATTTTCAAGAGAATTCAACACTTATACGGGGTGTTTCGTAATGTGTGGGACGCACATCGAGAGGTGATATGGCAAATTCTTGAGTTTTCGAAAAAACATTCAGAGATACAAAAGATAGTAAATGAAGTTGGCTTTTCAGCCACATTTTTTGAAATGGAAAATATTCATTGAACAAAAAGTTGTAAAAGGGTTGTAAAAATTTCAGAATGTGTAGTTCTATTGACAAATAGTATTCACCAAGTTCTGTATCTCAAACTCAATATACAGGGTAAATGAAAAAAACATTGGGTGTAACTATCTTCCGAGGAGGAGTCATGAGAATGTATATCAAATACCCACCTCCATTTGCATCACAGAATCGCCCTTTAACTTTTTCGTTGTTAGTTAGATAGTATATGTACAGGATGTCCCAGAATAACGTTCGTTACTACATGTAAAATTGAGAAACAGTCTTTTAATGCACTTTATCTCAATTTTGTTTGTTACCCTTAAGTACCCAATTTCTCAATTCTAGTATCAATGATAACAAAGATAATTGAAGGAAACTGCATTTGAGGACTTATCTTCAGAGGGCTGTAGTGCTTTTGGTAATCATTTTCGACGATATTCTGTTTACCCTTTATAGTTTGCTAATTTTCCGTCAATTTTAGAGCACAATATTGATTCATTAATAAGATTTCCATTGCCGTGGACACTAATTTAATAGGTATTTCACTATAGATTTGATTATTATTCAAAAATAAGAAAGAGAGTCTCGACTCTGCATATATTTCTTGATTGTGCGAAGTTATTTCAACCATTTGATGGCGTTTTTATCAGTGCATAAGCTACAGAGGATATCGTCGCATGTGCGTAAGTTTCTATTTAGTCAACTTGTCTTCGTCTCAGTCTCTGTCCTGATTTCAGTCTTTAATCCAAGCTGATTCTACACATTCGCATTAGAGCATTTACACAATAGTTTTTGTCACAATCTCAAGTCTCAGTCCTGAAAACTTGACCTTGAGAGTTTTAGCAATTTTCAACTTCAGCTTAGGACTAAGACCACGACGTCAAAGCACATGCTCAGTGCTTACAGAGTCATTCAAATTTGAAGCAACCACTGTCATTAGTGTCCATTGTCGAAGTCATAAGTCCTAATATCATGAGTTGTATGAATAGTCATGTCCTTATTCTCCAAGATAATGACTGGTTCTAGGACCGAGACTGACACTTGAGACGGAGACATGTTGACCAAATAGACACTACCTTTTCGAAGAACCCATTTTATATTAGTTTCCATTCATGCTCTTTTATTGCACCTACCTCACACCTTCCAGCATGAATTCCATGTCTTCATCATTCTCGTCAGTAAAATAACCAGCGTGGATTAGAGGCTTGTCAAATGGATTTCTAGACTTAAGCAATATTCGTCCTCGTGATTTCGGTTTGAGAAGAATTACAAAAGTGCTCAACACGGGACTCCCGGATCCATATTCAACGAGGCTGTCGAAGAAAGAAGCGCAAACAATTTTCCTCAACGTCTTAAACGGTGCATAGTTGTTCTCAGGGTTACTCAAGAAACTGAGGATTTCTAAATTCGGATATGCAGAACTATTTTTCGTATTGATGAACCCGATCTGATTCATCATGGATACTTCCGCGAACTTTCCTTGTTTGTGGACAAAGTATTCGAAAGCGTCATGCAAAATGTCTTGTTCTGTGTAGCTGTTTGCAAGATCAGGACTATACTTCATATGGAAACCTTTGAAAGCAGGATGGTCCTGCAAGTTATCACCAACAGGTAAATTTTCTACTACTCGTATACCAAAATGTTGCAGGTGATCTTTAGGACCTATTCCGGATAGCATCAGGAGTTGCGGAGAGTTTACAGCTCCGCCTGAAACTATCACCTCTTTTCTTGCTTTGATAATTAAAGTTTGTTTCCCGAGTTTAACTTCAACGCCAGTTGCTGTTTTTGAATCATGATCTATCACTACTTTAGGAACGAATGCGTGCACTGCAACGAACAGATTTTTTCTGTTTTTAACTTTTCCAAGGAACGCTTTGGCTGCATTCAATCTGGTACCGTTTTCCACTGTGAGAGGTGCATTGAAATATCCCAGGGGGTCGTTAGAATTCTCGCCTTCGACTGTTGGATATCCAAGCTCCCAAGCTGCTTCTTTCACAATATTTACTACAGGTTCCCCTGAAACCAAAAAAATGCTAGATCATGATGATATACAGATCTATACAAAACACGAACACAGAATCCTGAAGCTGAAATGAAGGGACCACGCCCAATTTACATCAGTCTAACAAATGGTAGTCTCCGAAATACATTCACTCATGATTCTGACTATCTGGACATCGAAAAGGTAAATCGATTGAAAACTGTGATATTTTGTGACCAAAACGTGAAAGTGATGTCGTCAATTGATAAGAAGTGAACAATATGGAACCAACATGATGGATTCAAATGTAATCAATCATATTCTCAATTTGTTGCCTGACCATAACACCTGAATATATGTCCCAGTAATCATCTTTTTGGTATTTTTATGTCTTCAATCTCAGTCTAACCCCTCTCTAAAGCGGTCGGAAGAAACTTCACTAATAGTTAATTTCCACCACTGTCCAAATCCAACGGCACATTAGCAACAACATCGCAGGAGAAAGCAAATATTTTTGCAGAGATGTTCGCAGCAATCTCCAGTTTAGATTCCCAAGGAAAAGTGCCGCCAGACATTCCACCGGTTGAGAGTCGAATGCCCGAAATCGTCGCACTATCAGACGAATTCTGCTTGGTCTCAAAACGAATAGGGCTAACGGTCCTGATGGAATCCCATCCATTATTCTCAAAAAATGTGCACCAGAATTAACACCAATTCTCTGCAAGTTGTTTTCCGTCTCGTACAGGTCGGGTATTTTTCCATCATGCTGGAAGACAGCTAGAGTCCAACCAATCCCCAAAAAAGGGAACAAGATAACCTGCCCAACAGCTACAGGCCCATTGCCCTGTTATCAGTAATCTCCAAAGTGATGGAGAAAGCCATCAATATTGAGCTTATCAAATATCTGGAGAGCTCAGGAATCATCAATGATAGACAATACGGCTTTCGCCACCGAAGATCTACTGGAGATCTACTTGCCTACGTCACCCATTTATGGCAAGCTTCAGTAGAAAAACACGGGGAATCTCTAGCTGTCGCGTTGGACATATCGAAAGCATTTGACCGTGTTTGGCACGAAGGACTCCTCTACAAACTACCATCATACGGCTTACCACCTCAGCTATGCCATATCATATCGAGTTTTCTTTCAGGCAGATCGCCTCATGTGGTGGTGGACGGTGTATCGTCTGATACCATTGGCATCAATCCCGGCGTTCCACAAGGATCAATTTTGTCACCAACATTATTTCTTCTTTAAATCAATGATCTGTTGGGAGGAACAACTTGCCCCATCCACAGCTTTGCAGATGATAGTACCCTCCATACTGCGTTCTCTTCCAGAATTTCCATTTCTTCCCAGGGAACTAAGAACTCACGGCGCAGGCAGGTCAAAGCTGTCAATGAAGACCTTGCTGAAATCACAGCCTGGGGAACCAACAACCTAGTTGAATTCAACGCCACCAAAACTCAAGCCTGTATTTTCTCTAGAAAGGCGGAACCATAGTGTAATGGTTCCATTTTACACCCTGTGTAAGTTTTGTTTTGCGGACTTTTTCAGAGTGTTCTAGCTCTCTCTGAGGCCGATGAAACATCACATCTGATATCGAAAACCGCATGAAGATCGGTAAATTTTTTCGAAAAATACAGGTCTTCGAGATAGAGTCAAATTATGAGTGGTCCATTTGATGTGTTGAGAACTGTATTCACAAAAATCTCCATTTTAAAATCTATTCAATTGTGCTCAAAGGTGAGCTAACATACCCACCTGATTCATAAGAATGCAAGCTCAGCAATTTCTTTTGTCCACTGTCGTCCATCAAATTCTCCATTTCCTCGAAACTCCTCTCGACATTGCTCCAGTCCCATCCAGTATTACCCTGGTGGGCCCAACGGTCGTAATCATTCTTGTTGCCCCTCGTGTACAGCATATAGTTTATGCTGCTGGAACCTCCCAACGCCTTTCCTCTGGGCCACTTGTTTCTCCCATTCTCTTCTCCCAAGAAGACTCCTTCACTTGGTTCTGTTTCGTATTGCCAGTCTTCGTGTGTGTTGGCCAGTTCACCATATAATATTGGAACCTTTGAAATTTGTATACACATTCTATTAGAGATTTCACACCCTATAATAAAAGTAAACTACCTATATCCCTCGGGATAGGCATTCAGGGTACTCAAAATTAAACAGGTTTGAGAGAATCCAACAGTATACAATGGGTTGATGATCCATGCCCATTAGGCAAACTCGTGCATGCTTTTTTGTTCCTGAGGTGGTACCTAGTAATCCTTCATGGACACCACAGAGTCCCTTCATGAAGGAATACTCACTAAACACTACACCTCATTTCGAGGCTCGTATGATCGAAGTCTCTGGTGACACCTAGGCCTGTTGGCCCATAGTATCTTACCTCGAATATGTCGTTATTGATTTTATCATTTACGACCCATGGTTTTTATATGTATGTAGTGACTTTGTTTGAGTCGCAAATTTAGATAAAATAATTATTGATGAAAAATGACTAATATTTGGGTTTTCATCGTTATACAAGTTGTTAGAAAACTAATAAAAAGCGTTCATTAGAAGACCTTCTTCTGCTAACCTAACCTATTAACGAATCCCCTGTACGACGAACCTCCTCAAGAAATATTGACATTTTTTTCAAAACTCTGAGAGAGTTCGTTGATAGGTTAGAATTCGTAAAGCACCTGAAGGTTTACAATTTGAAAAACTTCATATAAATTAGAAGAATACGAGTCCAAAATATTTTTAGATACAAGGTGCTGACTGCTGACTTTGCCATATTTGAGACAATATGCGCCATATTTAAGACAATATGATAGCTACCAGTAATCAACATTGAATACTGAGTAGAACAGAAAAAATTAAAGAAGCCTTGAAAGAAAAGGAAGAAGTTATTCACTTTTGGTTTAGTCAGAAATGTGGTTCTTCCACACATATTTGCCCAACCCTATAATGATCACATTAACAACAATCATGATAATGCTAACAATAGGGTCGATGCACTATACCTATATACATAAGTTGTGATAGACAATCTCAATAAATGCAAGTCATGATTACAGCAGAAAAGAAATAAATCAAATTCTGGAAGATAAGAATATCGATTAGATAATGAATTTTATATTTATACACGGTATTATTTAATTAATAGCTAAAAATAAAGGATATGGTTCTTTATAGTCCAAGAGCTGGTTGCAAATTTCGACCGTCCCAAAAGCATGTTAAACCATTGTAGTTTATCGAACGGCGCCTGTGCTAATCACTATCGTGAGCAAAATGATCAAAAAGTTGCACTTTCCTGTGCGGAAATTTGCACAGCGATTTATCTACTGCTATTATTCCCCAGGCAAACAGACGGCGAATGATCACGTCAATGTGACGTCACTAATTGGTGATTTTTCGTCAGAGACGTCACACACCAATTCATGACGTCACTATGATGTACTTTCTATGACGTGATAGTCATCTAGACCTTTAGTCGACCAGACTACCGAGCCACACGTGACCATTGCCTCCAAAAACTGGATGTCTTGAGGGAGTGTTTGTTAGGCTGTTGTTTTATTGGATGCGTTTGCTTCGGTAAATCGTTTGTATTGCGGATCTGTTCAGCTCTAACAAAAGCATTATAGTGAGGGAAATCAATTTTATCAGTTGATGATAATAACACATCTTGTGGATCAGCTCCCTTCACTCTCCACTGCGAAACTCGCCGAAGGCCACCCACCATCTCGAGGCCTTCTTCACCTCCCCCGTAGCTCGCTGGTGGGCTTGGTTCACCCTGATCACCTTGTGTACTACCGCTGTCGGAGCTTGATTAGTAAATAGTAGCCTAGGACTACCAGATAGGTACTTCCTGCCAGACTCCGGCCAGGAAAACTACCACCAGAGCTTAGCTAGTGATTGGAATGACACTCCAACAATCTGCTGATAAATCCAAGTAAGATCTGTCCATTAGCCATCTCCCTGAGTTTTGTGCTGCTGTAGGATATGCTACCCTGCTACTGCAAGAAATCGTAGCTAATTCTGCTTGCTTATCTAGTTATAGTGTAGATGCGACTGCTCAACAAGAAAATAGCATATCTGGGAGTATTCGCTTACAGTGCCTGCCTGAGTTTACCTTAGCCAAATCTTATATTAGTGATTGATGACATAAGTGTAGGTCTCCTATGAATATTTCCAGCGCCCCGTAAGGGCTAAATTGGCAAAATTGAACCTTGCTGAAATCTCTGCGCCTATTGCCTGGTGCGGAACCCATTGGTATATATACTATGGGGGCTGATAGGCCTTCTTTCCATAGACCGTGATTTTCTGTGAGGTCACAGCTTTGCTACTAGAAGGTCAAAAGGGTGACGATCATTGTTTCAACTTTGAATGCTCCCCTCTCCGCTGAGAGTTTCCTCTGCTGTTGTGAGCAAGAGGAAGATAATTAGTATCATATTTGGTAAGTGTAGGTAAATCAGTTTGGGGTTCATTCCCCAAGATCTGCGGCATACCGTTCTGTGATTCCAGGGGGAAAATCTGGCTTTGTTGATAGTTTTTGCCGTGTGGGCGTTCCAGGTGAGCCTTGCATCTATGGTGGCACCTAGACATTTCTCCTACTATCAGCTCATTTCAAGAAGAATAGTTCATATAAACATGATAAACCCCTCAACTGTCCAGCTATAGGGTGTTAAATATTCAAGAAAGAATTTGTTTCCTTTATATCATGACTTCAATACTGTTCTAGATATTTACATGAAATTTGGAATGAGCACCATGTGGTTGTTTGTATGTGAGGTGTGTTTCTGTCTATTTTTTATTCAATTAAAGTCAATTCATTAAAGTAGCCAAAGCGGTTTTTATTTTTTAACGCGTAAGGTGAACCGCACAGAAAATATTCAGAGGGGTCAAGTTGTTGCAAAATAAATGAAAATTAAAAAAATCATTTCTCTTTCTGAAATAAGCAAGGGAGTACCTTCATTCAAATTTCCAGCATACATCCAATACGGACTCCACTGGTGGTAATATTAAAAAATCTCCTGCATCAAAAATACCTATCCAGCTTTCATCTATAATAATATTATAAAGCGAAGATTTGATTGATTGTTTGTTCGTTTGTATGTATTGAATAGACTCCGAAACTACTGAATGGATTTGGCTGACAATTGGTGGGGAGGTAGCTTAGAGCCAGGAGAAGGTTGAAGGATTCTTTTTATCCCGGTACCATTAGGAAATTGAAGATGGCGGATCTAGTATATCGGACGAGTTTTGAAATTATTCAAAATTGGTATCTGGGGGTTTTCGGAGTCGGAGATTATGATTCACCCGTCAGAATTTGAAAATTCGGGCGGAATTTGGAAATTCAAGAAGGCGGAACCAACATGGCGAACGAGTTTTGTTTGTTGATTATGATCCGATTCTTTACAAAATTGGTACCTAGGGGTTTTCGTGATCGAGAATTATGCTTCCTCCGAAGAAATTCAAGATGGCGGATCCAAAAGGCGGATTTTGTAATTAGGATCCGATTTCATTCAAATTTGGTATCTGGCGGTCCTCGGGGTCGGAGATTATGATTCTTTCGTCTAAATCAGGAAATTCAAGATGCCGGGCCCAATATGGCGGCCGAGTATTGTAATTAGGATCCGACTCTGACTCTCTTCAGAATTGTAATCTGGGTGTTTTCGGTGTCGGGGATTATGATTCTCTTGTAAAAATTTGGAAAGGCCGAGATTTGGAAATTCAAGACGGTGGAACCATTATACCGGAAGAGTTTTGTGATTATATATCGATTTTATTCAAAATTTGTGATTGGGCGTTTTCAAGATAAAAAATTATGATTCCTTCGTCAAAATTCAAAATGGTAGATCCAATATTGCGGGCGAGTTTTGTGACTATGTTCCGATTCTAGTCAACATTTTCATCTGGGGTTTTAGGAGTCGGATATTATGATTCTTCCGTCAAAATTGGGAAATTCAAGTGAACTAATAAGAAGTTGAAATAAATGGTAGTTTGAAAAACTGAGGAAACACGCTTCTATAGATAGCAAAACTAAAAAGGATTAGAAAATGAAATAATAACAGTGTCTTGATAAATATTGAAAGGAAAAAATATATTATAGAAATAATGTATGTAGCAAAACAACGTTTGCGAGGTCTGCTAGTTTGAAATAAATAGTATCACAATATGATCAATATATTTACAGAGATATGACCTTTCATTTCAACAGTGAACATCCGTCATCTTGTAATGATCATAATTTCTATTAGCTACCGCATTTTGATAAGGAATACTAGTGCCACCAAAATTAACCAAAATCTTGGCTAGGTTCATAGACTATATACTTACATCACTTGTGGCAGATGGATATCCACCTGCTTCAAGAACCAGCACCGTCCACTTTCCATTCGAAGACAGTTGGTTAGCCACTACCGAACCTGCGGAACCACCTCCCACTACTATGAAGTCGAATTCGTCAAGGTCTTTCAGGTTCGGTCCATGATCTGGTGGGTACTGTTCAGGCGAGCCTAAAGAGCACTTGGCCTGGACCAGATGATTGACCAGAAGAAGGAACAACTGGGCAGCCGTACCTTCCAAATTATTTGGACAAGATGCAGCGATCTGTTCGGACATGCTGGTTATCAAATGATATAAGTACTTTCGAAATATTGTAGTTTGGTACTCTGGTCGATATCCTTATCAGTATTGTGTCTACAGGGTCATTCAGTATGTAAACTAACTTATTTTATTCTGATGCCAGCTATAGCTATCAACTATAACCCATGTCAAAGTACAACCTGATCATAAGTCCACGTGCTTTGGATAATGTTCTACAATTCAAATTTTTTTGAATAATATTCTGAAATGGTATACTCTCATTCTATTCTCAATATTCTAATATAATGAAACTTTTTCCTCTCCAAATTAGTTGTCAGATGATACCTTTATCAATAGATGATTCAGAGATCTATCTGGTATGGTCGGTACTTCTTCTCATTATCCAAAAATTACTGAAGTACATATAGTCATAATTGGATCTTTTTGGCTAGTCCCGCAAAACCCCATCGTCACACAAAATGACGCGTTTCCCAACTGGTTACGTACAATATTATTTTTGATTTTGACTTGAAAAATAGTACGGTCACAAACCAGCGATGAAACAGATTCGTTTGATAATTTTATTAACGGGAAATGTCTGACTCAAATAGATTAACCAAGTGATATCTAGCAAGAGCATAATAATAATAATAATAATAATAATAATAGGCTTTATTCATCATTCTGTAAAAAAAAACATGTTACGAAACATAGAATAATACATGAATGAAGAATGGGCGAGGTTCAGCTGATGAAGCTGTTTTTAAACCTAACCTTCAAATACATATATTATATAAAATATATAGTATTGACAAACAATGAAAAATAATATAATTCATGTACATATACACTGAAACTAAATATTCCAACATTGAAGTATTTATTTAATTTTTTAAATATTTATCAAATTTTGAATTCCGGAAACCACTGCAAACGTCATTGAATTATCATTGCCTTGTTCTGAACATAGCTTTTCAATCGTTTTTTGAAATTTTGTAAACTACAATCTTTGAAATCAATTGGCATACTGTTGTACAGTTTAGCAGCGTTATAAGAGAAACTTCGTGTATACATTGCGGTAGAATGTCTAGGAATCAGCAAGTAATGTTTATTTCGGGAAGTTGCATTTTGTGATAGTGGAACCAATTTCCTACGTAAATATGGTGGAGTTCTTGAATGCAAAATTTTATGCGTGAAGGTGAGGAGGTGCATTTCTCTTATCTGTTTCATTTTTAGCCAACCAGAATCCTCAAACGAGGTACTAATATGATCATACTTTCGTATCCCATATGAAAATCTAATACAACTATTTTGGATTTTTTGCAGCCGTGAAACATTCTGTTGTTGTAAAGCTGGTCCATAAATAGAGTCGCAGTAGGCTAATCTTGAAAATATCAGGGACTCGCATAGACTGAGTTTCAGTTTTTTTGACATTAAGTGTCTACTAGGAACTGCCGTAGTACATTATAAGATACTTTAACATAAATGATTGACGTGTTTTGTAAATCTCAGATCCGTATCAATCCATAAACCTAGGTTTTTGCTTTCATTTACAAATGGAATTACGTCATTGTTGATGCATATAGAAAGTGAGTCACGCACGGTATTTCTCTTGTTTTTGGCACCAAACAGCATTACCTGCGATTTCTTGGAATTTAATTTTAAGTTGTGAGCACTGGAAACATTAAATATCAGCTGAAGATTATCGTTTATATGTCTCTCAGCTGCTTTCACTTCACTGAAATTGAACGACATATACAACTGGGTATCATCCGCGTAATGATGTATTTCACTTAGTCTTACAAATTCGTGAAAATCACATATTATATAAAGCGCGAAGTCCTAGCACAGAACCTTGCGGTACACCGTATAATCTACTCAAGGAAGAAGACTGGTCACCGTCTAGGCACTCTAGGCTAACACTCTGAGTCCGATCAGTTAAATAACTCTCAATGAGCGCAACTGCTTCTCCAGAAAAACCGAAATATCTCAGTTTTTTGCATAAAACAGACGGGTCCAAAGTGTCGAATGCTTTACTGTAATCTAGCAGAATAAGACATGTGAAATACCCTTCATCAAGTTTCTTGAAAATGTCATCCGTAATCAGACTTAATGCCGTAGTAGTGCTGTATTGTGGGCAGAATCCTGACTGAACATCAGTTATAAGATTCTTTACACTCGCATAGGTTGTAACCTGTTCTTTTATGATCTTTTCGAAGGCTTTTGAAAGAGTAGGGAGAAGACTAATTGGCCTTAAAGCATCAGCACGAAACTCACTATTTTCTTCGACTATCCATATTTTAATTTCGTAACTGGTGTTGAGATGAACATTTTATCACCAGTTATAACATATTTTACTTCATGCACTAGCGGACCGTAAAATGCACGTTACAGTCCGGTTTAGCGGGCGTTAAGTTGCACTTTACCGCCCGCGGGCTCATTATGGCCCACGGGCCGTAAAGTGCGCTTTACCGCCCGCTGTTCTCAGTTTACTGATATCTACATATCAATTCATGATGAAGCACTGTTAGGCAGGACTGATCCAGATATGTTATCAAGTTCCGGGGACTTTCTATGCGGTAATGTTTCCAAATGTTCCAAGGCGGTATTGGTACCTGATGATAATGTATGGAATGAAAAGATACGTGAATGATTGGAGAATTTAAACAATTACGTTTTGCAGATGACGACGATTCCATTCAAGTCATGAACGGTATGACTAACTGCACTTTTGAATCTATACCATCCTTTCTAGAGAGTTATGAAATAAATTGCAACAAAAATATGTAGATAGCAAGATAAGAGTCAGCAAACCTCACATCTATTTCCTCAGGATTAAAAAAATATAAAAACGAATCGGTCAAGTACATTGAAGAACTCTAGTGACATTCTCATTTATATTTCATATCTTTAATAATCAGTTGGTATAGATTGAAACTTACTCAATATTATCATAATTGAAGAAATCATTTTCTATATTATCAATTGAGATTACTCCTGCTATCATAAATAACGACCAGGGAAAGTGAGGAACACATTAATTCGACAACAAACCAGTGGAAAACGAAATATACGCTATCACTAGAGTCACATATAATAATGATTCAAATGATCAGCTGATTGTTGGTGTAGACGTTCCCAGAACATCCACCCAGGGGGACGAGTAGTAAACAGGATATTGACCACCAAAGGGCCACAACTCGTTAGTGTTCAACTGGTTCCGGACAGCTTACCATCACAAGGCCATCATCGTATCTTGATACCTGATGATAGATAGATAATTTATTGACCTTTTAGGTGTACAGATGTGATACAAATAAGACAAGTCAAGCCTAAAAAAAATGAGGTACAGATAAAAACCTTCAGTATTAGAAACATATTGAGAAAGTTGCACAAATACAGACATATTAAAAAAGATATTAAAAAAATATACATATATGTAAATTGCCTATACTTATAATATACACAAATACACAAGATAGATAGTATCATTATTAAGCACAGGGCAGCCATATATTCTTTTATGGAGTAGAGGGCATTCGAAATGAGGAAATCTTTCAAATGTTTCTTAAAGTTGTATAGATTGAGATTTTTACACATACACATACAGGGAGTGCATTGTAGAGATTCACATCCAGAGAAGTTCTGCTAGATTTATGCATTCTGAATCTAATTGGCCTGATCAATTGACAGCTCCTGGTGGGATAATCGTGGAAGTCAGAATTTTTTCGGTAATCTTCTTTATTCTTATGAATATCCAACAAAAGTTGGTATATGTAAATAGATGGTAGCGTCATGATTTTTAGGGATTTAAATAATGGTTTACATGAATCAGTGTAGCCAGCACCAGCGATAATTCTTATTGCTTTCTTTTAAAGAATAAATATTTCAATGGCTTTCGTGCTATTGCCCCATAAAATTGTTTCATATGAAATTTGGGAGTGGAAGAATGCATAATATGCTGATAGCAGTGCCTGAACGCCAATAATATTCTTCAGTTTTCGGAGAAGGAATATGAATTTGGAGATTTTATTACTAAGCTGCTCTTTGTGAACTGACCAGTTCAGTGTGTCATCTAGAAAAATGCCCAACAATTTGACTGAGTTCTTGTTAGAGAACGTTGGAGAAGAATAGATTTGTTGAGTTTTATTCGAATTCAACATCAGATTGTTTCTTCAGATTAATTTCATTTAAAAGCACTTGTCTATCCTTCCCAGACGTGGTAAGGGTGGTGTCATCAGCAAAAGCAATACAGCCATAAGGAGGCATGTAAGTGAAGAGGTCATTGATATAAATTATAAAAAGGAGAGGGCCCAAAACAGATCCCTGTGGTACTCCACATTCGATGAGTTCCATCTCAGAAACATTATTCGAATCGAGTGCAACACATTGCTGTCTATTTGATAGATATAATTCAAAAAGAGCAAGAGCTACCCCTCTTATACCATATACTTCAAGTTTACTGACAAGAATTGAATGAGATACACAAGATGGTAACTTACCTTCGGGAGATCATCGGCCCATTACCAATACCTCGGTATCGGTCTTCTTTCGGTGGTTCAATGTTTGCTCTTCTCATTCTCTCCGTTTTCAACATCCAATTTGATTATCACTTCAATTTTACCACCATTGCATTGTTAACTGATCACTAACGATAGCACCATTCTGTATTTATCAGATATACATCAACAAATGCAAGACCTATCATTATTTTAACAGAAAAAAACCGTTATTTCTATAATTATTATCCCATTTTCGGATGGAAATAAACTTGTACCAAATCAACGCCTTTGTGAATAGGACCAACACTGTCATATTATCATCGTTATAGGTAGGTATATCGTATCGGAGAGATGCATTATTTTTTCAAGAAGAATATCCAAAACTGTTATGTTTGCACAATGAGGCTTGTATTAACTTGCGGTCTTGGGATGACTTACATGGGAATCATCGAGTGCCAGCACTATTTACCACTAACCAAAGCAAGACTAAGAGAAAGCAGATACATCCCTACTTTGCATTATGTCTACATGATAGCTTGTTTTATTTG